TGCAATCTTGCTGTTTCAAATAAAAGTTTTTTTTTTAAGCTGAGTAAAAATATTCTAAAAATGTGCATAATACAATAAACATTTTTAGGTACAAGAAAATAGAAAAGAAAAACTTTCTTATAATTTACAAGCTCTTTTAAAAAAGCAATTTGACCTCCTGAAAAAATTGTAACAGGCTAATAGTAATAGTAATACAAGCCATTTCCTTATAATGAAATATTTGGCATTCTTTGACCAAGCAGTTAGTGTTGTTATCAGTTAAACTTTATATTCTCTGATTTTTTTTAATTCCTGTTCTTCAGTTACTATCTTAAGTTTTTTTTTTTTATTTTGAGGGTTACATTTTTTTTTCTTTTTAAGCAAATCACCCCAAGCAAGCTGGGAGTGCCACTAGCACAAAAGGGGTTACAGAGAGTAAGAGTAAAGAAAAGTGTTTGGGAAAAGGATAAAGACAAGTACAGGGTTCAAGGTTAACGCATCAGAAGATGTCGATTGACACTACATTTGAATATTTGAAGTTGATAGCTATGGTAGAAAGGGAGATCCACTGACAGGAGGTATGAGATAAGAAGCTGTTGGAGTAGAAGTGATGGCTACATTAAGATCTTTCATCAGTGAAAGGTGGCACTGAGATGCCAACCAAGTAGCACGCCTAAATTTCTGCAGTTTGGGAACTAGTGAAAATATTGCAAATGAGGAAGAAAGGGATTGTCAGTGGTCAGGAATGAAAACAAGCATTACTTATAGAATAGGGCTATTATATGTATAATGTAAATGCATTGCTAATGATTTTACTATAGAAATGCATTGCAAATGAGAAAGAAAGGGATTGTCAGTGGTCAGGAATGAATGCAAGCATTACTGATAGAATAGGGCTATTATATGTATAATGTAAATGCATTGCTAATGATTTTACTATAGGAATGCATTGTAAATGAGGAAGAAAGGGATTGTCAGTGGTCAGGAATGAGGAAGAAAGGGATTGTTAATATTGAAAGTCTGACAACAAAATGTAAGTTGGGCACAGAAAATAAAAACAAAAAGAGAGAAAGAGAGGCAAAGAGAGAAGCATTTGAGGGGTTGGTGTCATCTGTTGTTTGTAGTGATCGTTTAAATCATGTTTCATTTAAAAAATTTATTAGTAAATCCATATAATTAAATTAACATATTAAATAACTATTATTATAGTGGACTCATTGATTGCTTTTAATGTGCTCATAAAATTGGCTTTGGTCTATTGGTTTGTAAAAAATAAAAATACTTTAGCTATGTCTAATATATATATAAAATACAAATATTAAACTGAATGGCAAGTAACCTTTTATTATTAAAATCTTTCTTTAATAATTATAATCATTTTGTAATATAATAAAAATTGATGATGTTTTTCTAATCAAAAATCCTATTAAACCCAGACTGTGTTGAGCGTCTGAGAGGGAAGCAAAAAGAAAGAGTTGGTCATAGAAATAGAGAGTGCAACACAAAGGGATTGGAGACAACAGAGTCATCTTAAATATAATCAGTTTTTTGTAGTGAGTGGTTAAATCATGTTTCATGACCTAATAATCTGTTGAGGACATTTCAGTATTTTTAGGCAAGACTATGTAACGTTTCTCATAACTCTCTTGGAATGATCATTGGTTGAAAAATACAGTGCAGCATTAAAATATTTGTTATTAAATCTGTGTAATTTGCTGGGATACTAATAGTAATAATGTATATACAACAAATTATGTACATTTAACAACAACCAATTTTATTGCCCTAGCAAGCTAAATAGAATAATTCAACCCTGAACTGCAAGTGACCTTTTGAAATTAAAATCTTTCTTTAATAATTATAATCATTTTGTAATATAATAAAAACAGATGATGTTCTTCTAATCAAAAATCCTATTAAACCCAGACTGTGTTGAGCGTCCAAGAGGGAAGTAGAAAAAAGAGTTGGTCATAGAAATAGAGAGTGCAACACAGAAAGGGATTGGAGATGGGGTGATGGTCATCTTAAATATAATCAGTTGTTTGTAATGAGGGGTTAAATCATGCTTCATGACCTAACGTGAGGACATTTCAGTATTTTTAATAAGAGACAATGTCATTTTTCTGATAACTCTCTGGGAATGGTCATGGGTTGAAAAGTACAGAGTGCAGCATTAAAAGATTTATTAGCAAATATTAGAGAACAAAACAGAAAGAGAGAGGGGGAATGTAGAGAGAGAGAGAGTGCAAAACTGAGAGGGATTGGAGATGATGCAGTTTAAATTAAGGCAGCAGTTTGTAGTGAGGGGTTAAATCATGTTTCATGATCTAACAATCTACTCCGTCTTATGACGATAAACTACATCCAGCAGCAAGGACTCTGATCAAGAGGTTTTGAGGAACATGGAACCACCTCTTAATTGCTGGTGTTCCCAGGTCCACTGTGACCCGGGGTGGTAGCACCTGTTAGGGTCCCAGCTATGGGTAAATAGTTAACCCCGAAACTGGGGTAAAAATGGGTTTTAATACCAGGAATACTTTGTTAAAAAAAAAAAAAAATATTAGCATCTATATATTTTTGAAGGAAAAATTATTACCAGAAATAGATTTTTGAGAAAACAAAATATTACCAGCAATAAAAACATTGTCGGCATTAAATAACCCATTGAGGTTGATATGCCATAAAATAAAATAAACCAAACCAATCTAAACCAAAGAATATATATTCTATTCATACGAATCTATCCTAAAAATGTTGTCAGCATTAAATAACCCATTGAGGTTGATATGCCATAAAACAAAATAAACCAAACCAATCTAAACCAAAGAATACATACTCTATTCATACGAATCTATCCTAAAAATGTTGTCGGCATTAAATAACAACATTGACCAAGCATGTTTTTCATTCCTTTTCTTCCAGATATACCATTCTGTCCATGAAATAAAGCTTTATTATAATACTTTTGATATACCCTAATATATAATAATAATAATATCATAAAATCTTTGCATGTGTATATGAAATATGCTTTGGAGTAAAGGGCATTAAATAAAATAAATAAAAACAAAACAACAAATGGCAATAAAGATGAGGGCAACAGTCTGAACAATGTAAATAATTACAATACCTCGCCTCAGAAATATAAACAGAAAACATAACTGTTATATAGGAATAAAGTGTCACTGCCGACACTGGAGTTTGAACTCAGATCACCAGTGAGCAAACACAGGTGATTCCATTTCTAATAAGTAGACTATGTGATCGTAAAGGAAATGTATATATGGGAATTAGTGTGGCGTCTAATTGATCACCATTTCTATTCTATCCTCTATTACTATACAGATCACTATTTCTACTCTATCATCTATCTCTATACTATTCACTATATGGATCACTATTCGGTGGTTACTATTCAAGCGAGTATTATTGAGCAAGTACTATTAGTGTGAGTGATATTCGAAGGTGTCTGACACCAGTATTGTTCAATGGCATTACTATAGTTATATCTGCAATCACAAAGTCTCTACTACAACAAGCATCACAAGAGTGGCAACGAGTATTCGTTGACATCACAAGAGTGGCAACGAGTATTCGTTGACATCACAAGAGTGGCAACAAGTATTCGTTGACATCACAAAAATAACATACTTTTGAAATGTCCTAATATATTACCATGTAATAGATGACACCTCAAAGGCAAAACTCTATGGCTTCTCTCCTGCCCTCTTCTGTGGGCAATCATTACATTTGTAAACTTTCTGATTTTCAGGGTGTGATTTTTTCTATCCATTACCATGAAGGCCTTAAGAAGATCTGTTCTGCTTCTGATGATCGGAGTATCCGAGTTTGGCAGCTACACTTTGCCAAGAATTCTGAAAATGATCCAAACAATCTTGACTGGCAAGGTGTGCTCAGTGAGTGCATTCATGTGCTATATGGCCATCAGGCCAGAGTGTGGCGAGCACATCTGACATCTACAGGACTGGCCAGTATTGGAGAGGTAAGTGGTTGAAAAGCTTGAAGCCATTATTTAAAGAAGCAGTTCTGGAATGTGGTCTCTAGAGATAATTTGACATATATATATATATATATATATATATATATATATATATATATATCATTGAATATAATAGACAAGGAAAATTTTATTATTTTTTTATTTAGTTTTTCTAATATTCTTACATTTTTCTGTTTTGATAAGGCAGTGTAAAAATTGTCCGTAGTGTCTACTGTCACAAGCGCTTTCAGCCACTTCTTTGGCCATTTTCAAGGTTACAACTATATCTTAAACAGACAATCAGGAAAAGAAGTTGATAACACTCAACAGAAAACTCCTTGAAAATGGCTAAAGAAGTGGCTGAAATGGACAATACATGTTGCAACGGATAAATTTTTACAGATATACAGAGTGCGATTGATAAATTATCGTCTAAATGATGCCAAAATGAAAATAACGCTGGAATTTCATTTTTTACAGATATACAGGGTGCGATGGATAAATCGTCGTCTAAATTACCCAAAAATGAAAATAACACTGACATCCCATTTTAACAGATATACAGGGTGCGATGGATAAATCGTCGTCTAAATGACACCCAAATGAAAATAACACTGACATCTCATTTTAACAGATATACTTGTCTTCAGTTCATCTTTGGTGTAAAAAAGAGTTTTGTTGGTCTCCCGCTTAACATAATCAATGGGGAGTTAGGTGGCCAGATGTAAGGGGTGATGTGGTTACAGACATTGTCTGACAGCCATGAATCAATTCTCCTGCTTGTGGGGCATGGTGCAGAGTCCTGTTGCCAGATATAGGGTCTTCCAGCAGCCACCCTCTTGACCCAGAGCAGCTACCTCCTTACAGCATGATGTAGGCCTCTGTGTTGAGTCTCATGCCCTGTGGGGAAGACAAATGGAGGCATTAACATCATCATCACTAGTGTTCAATCTAAACACCATGATGTTGACTGGATATATCATCCAACTCTTTACGAATCCTCTGCACTGTCCTCAGATTAACAAACACTCTAAAATGTTCATATTGGAGCTTCTCGTGTGAATGTAAATGAGTACAGCATGCCATTTCCAAATTTCTTGCAGAGTGAATTGCAAAATGGTGGTCTTTTTCTCACAGATGGTGTCCAACTGACCCTATTATACTATGCAGCCAACAAAATAAAAAAAAACAAACAACGCTCATGAGCAAAATTAAAAATATAAAATGTCGGCAATTTACTCATTGCACCCCGTAGACCAGTGTTTCGCGACCTTTTTACCCCTTTGTAATCCTTAAAATAAATTACATGTCTCAAGGAACCATAATAATGTATTTAAATATAAGCAGTTTGGACACAGAGGTCTTGTTTCAAAGACAGGAAATTCACCAAAATTGATTAAACAAATTAAGATCATCAAACAATAAAGAGTGCTGTTGAAAAAGAAACAAAATTGGGCCAAGAAATCCATGAAAATTAACTCTTCTAAAGTAATTTTCATGGATGAATCTCAATGGACCTGATGGATGAATGAAGGATTGCTAAAAATGTATTAAAAGTCAAGGCATTGTGGACGATATCCAAAACTTGTGTCTGTTTGAAATAGATGAAACATTTATCTGTACTGTCGTGTCTTTAGCTGATAGCAGCTTTAATCTTGCATTATTCAGTTTTGCTCATGGCCAGCATTGCCTGTTCTTGGAGTAGGATGAAAGCATGTCTGTCTAGTTCAGCATTTCTCAATCTTTTTACCCTTGTGTAACCCTTAAAATAAATTTCATGTCCCAAGAAACCCCTGCGCAAAAACAAAATTATATACCATATCTTTTTCATTTTATTTTCAGCGTAGTTCACGTGATATATTTTTGAATACTTGGTTTAAGGAAAAATTAATACTACTTTGTCAAATTTTTCGGTAATGCTAAATGAAATTCATATTGTTTGTTTATGATACTTCATCAGAGTGTTTTCATTCACACAAAAAAATTAACATAAAGAATAAACATAAGTAATCAATATCATATACTTATAAACATTGTACCTTATATAAACGTAAGTAAGCAATATCATATACTTATAAACATTGTACCTTATATAAACGTAAGTAAGCAATATCATATACTTATAAACATTGTACCTTATATAAACGTAAGTAAGCAATATCATATACTTATAAACATTGTACCTTATATAAACGTAAGTAATCAATATCATATACTTATAAACATTGTACCTTATAAAACGTAAGTAAGCAATATCATATACTTATAAACATTGTACCTTATATAAACGTAAGTAATCAATATCATATACTTATAAACATTGTACCTTATATAAACGTAAGTAAGCAATATCATATACTTATAAACATTGTACCTTATATAAACGTAAGTAAGTAATATCATATACTTATAAACATTGTACCTTATATAAACGTAAGTAAACAATATCATATACTTATAAAGATTGTACCTTATATAAACGTAAGTAATCAATATCATATACTTATAAACATTGTACCTACCTTATATAAACGTAAGTAAGCAATATCATATACTTATAAAGATTGTACCTTATATAAACGTAAGTAAGCAATATCATATACTTATAAACATTGTACCTTATATAAACGTAAGTAAGCAATATCATATACTTATAAACATTGTACCTTATATAAACGTAAGTAAGCAATATCATATACTTATAAAGATTGTACCTTATATAAACGTAAGTAAGCAATATCATATACTTATAAACATTGTACCTTATATATAAACGTAAGTAAGCAATATCATATACTTATAAACATTGTACCTTATATAAAACGTAAGTAAGCAATATCATATACTTATAAACATTGTACCTTATATAAACGTAAGTAAGCAATATCATATACTTATAAACATTGTACCTTATATAAACGTAAGTAATCAATATCATATACTTATAAACATTGTACCTTATATAAAAACGTAAGTAAGCAATATCATATACTTATAAACATTGTATATAAACCTTATATAAACATTATATTTATAAACATAAGTAAGCAATATCATATACTTATAAACATTGTACCTTATATAAACGTAAGTAAGCAATATCATATACTTATAAACATTGTACCTTATATAAACGTAAGTAATCAATATCATATACTTATAAACATTGTACCTTATATAAACGTAAGTAAGCAATATCATATACTTATAAACATTGTACCTTATATAAAACGTAAGTAAGCAATATCATATACTTATAAACATTGTACCTTATATAAACGTAAGTAAGCAATATCATATACTTATAAACATTGTACCTTATATAAACGTAAGTAAAGCAATATCATATACTTATAAACATTGTACCTTATATAAACGTAAGTAAGCAATATCATATACTTATAAACATTGTACCTTATATAAACGTAAGTAAGCAATATCATATACTTATAAACATTGTACCTTATAAAACGTAAGTAAGTAATATCATATACTTATAAACATTGTACCTTATATAAACGTAAGTAAGTAATATCATATACTTATAAACATTGTACCTTATATAAACGTAAGTAAGCAATATCATATACTTATAAACATTGTACCTTATATAAACGTAAGTAAGCAATATCATATACTTATAAACATTGTACCTTATATAAACGTAAGTAAGCAATATCATATACTTATAAACATTGTACCTTATATAAAACGTAAGTAAGCAATATCATATACTTATAAACATTGTACCTTATATAAACGTAAGTAAGCAATATCATATACTTATAAACATTGTACCTTATATAAACGTAAGTAAGCAATATCATATACTTATAAACATTGTACCTTATATAAACGTAAGTAAGCAATATCATATACTTATAAACATTGTACCTTATATAAACGTAAGTAAGCAATATCATATACTTATAAACATTGTACCTTATATAAACGTAAGTAAGCAATATCATATACTTATAAACATTGTACCTTATATAAACGTAAGTAAGCAATATCATATACTTATAAACATTGAACCTTATATAAAACGTAAGTAAAAGCAATATCATATACTTATAAACATTGTACCTTATAAAACGTAAGTAAGCAATATCATATACTTATAAACATTGTACCTTATATAAACGTAAGTAAGCAATATCATATACTTATAAACATTGTACCTTTATATAAACGTAAAGTAAGCAATATCATATACTACTTATAAACATTGTACCTTATATAAACGTAAGTAAGCAATATCATATACTTATAAACATTGTACCTTATATAAACGTAAGTAAGCAATATCATATACTTATAAACATTGTAAATTATATAAACGTAAGTAAGCAATATCATATACTTATAAACATTGTACCTTATATAAACGTAAGTAAGCAATATCATATACTTATAAACATTGTACCTTATATAAACGTAAGTAAGCAATATCATATACTTATAAACATTGTACCTTATATAAACGTAAGTAAGCAATATCATATACTTATAAACATTGTACCTTATATAAAACGTAAGTAAGCAATATCATATACTTATAAACATTGTACCTTATATAAACGTAAGTAAAATAATATCATATACTTATAAACATTGTACCTTATATAAACGTAAGTAAGCAATATCATATACCTATAAACAAATGTATTGATTTTATAAAAACGAGGTAAGATGTCACATACTTAAAAATGGGGTACCTTATGAGGATCGAACTTACTATTCAGTTGTACTTATTAACATTGTAGCTTATATAAACGTAAGTACAATATCATATACTTATAAACATTGTACCTTATATAAACGTATGGAAGCCAGTGAGGATTGAACTTATAAACATTGTACTTTTCTATAAACGTAAGTAACCATTACATATACTTTAAACATTGTAAAATATATAAAACGAAAACAGGTATTGTCAAATAAGAAAAAACATTGTACACTTATATAAACGTTGAAGACTGCAAAATTTATAATTGCTTTCATTGAATAATATAAAACGTTCTTTACAGAAATCATATACTTATAAACATTGTACCTTATATAAAATAACACTGCAGCTCATCATATACTTATAAACATTGTCCCTTATATAAATGGGCACTAATATCATATACTTATAAACATTGTACCATATATAAACGTTTTCAAATGATATCATATTTTTATAAAAACATTGTAACTTTTATATAAACGTTGTAAAGCAAGATCAGCTGGACTTATAAACATTGTTATATCCACATATAAACGTAAGTAAAGACATTCATATCATATACTTATAAACATTGTACCTTATATAAACGTAAGTAAAAATCATATAGGGTAAAAACATTGTACCTTATATAAACGTAAGTAAGAAAATCATATACTTATAAACATTGTACCTTATATAAACGTAAGTAATGAATATCATATAAAACTTATAAACATTGTGGCCTTTTATAAAACGTAAGTAACCAATATCATAGCTTATAAACATTGTTTGGTTTTATAAACGAAGGCAGAGATATCATATACTTATAAACATTGGTCCCAAGAAAACCATAAAACGATAAGTCCAAACAACTTTTTTTCATATACTTATAAACATTGTACTTTCTATAAACGTAAGTTCTTTCAATATCATATTTCAAAGATTGTATTATATAAACGTAAGTAAGTTTTATCATATACTTTTAAACATTGTACCTTATATAAACGTAAGTAATCTCGGCATATACTTTAAACATTTCCTTATATAAAACGTAAGAATATCATATACTTATAAACATTGTACCTTATATAAATTCTTTTCTAAGCAATATCATATACTTATAAACATTGTACCTTATATAAACTTTCTAAGCAATATCATTCTACCTATAATATAAATGTATTGATTTTCTAAGTGAGGCTTAGATGTGTACATGACCGAAAAGTATGGGGCACCCAGTGAGGATCGAACTTACTATTCAGTTGTAATAGTTTTAGCAAGACCAGCTTGCTAACCATTACACCACGCCAAGGCGCCCAATAGTAATTTTTTTAAGGAGCTTAGATGTGGCACAAGTTTGGAAGTATGGAGCACCCAGTGAGGATTGAACTTTCTACTCGGTCGTCTTGTTCCCAGTGTGTATTCAAGCTTGTTAACCATTACACCACGCTGAGGTGCCCAACCTATAATAAAAATGTATACAGAACGAAAACAGGTACTTGTTAAATAAGAAAAGGCTTGCTCACTCATGTAAGACGTTGAAGACTGCAAAAATTTATGAATTGCTTTCCTATGAATAATAGAAAACTCTTCTTTTACAGAAATCCAGAAACAGGTCTGAAAATCTTATCTTGAGTGTACAATCACACTGCAGCTCAGAAAGTTCTAAGTACAGGTCCCGTTCGCTGAATGGGCACTGACAAGTGAAGGCAGTTTCACATTGGCGCCATACAGACATCACTAAATATTTTCACAATGACTGTTAGATTTTTTTAATAACATAATAATCCGTTCCACCAATGTTGTATTTTACGAGAAGATCAGCATGGACATCCTATCATCAGAATTATATCCACAGATCGCTTGTTGACAAGCGGAAGACATTCAGCTGATTGATATGGGGCCTATATGGGGTCCACAATTCTGAGCCATACAACAGTGTAGTCAAAATGGAGGAGGGTGAAAAATGTAGCAGGCTTGAGTGTTTTCTTTCATCTCCAGCTTTGGCAAAAATTGGAAGACACACATTTCCATTCTCCCCACTGATCTAAAGTTTCCCCCATGAAGAGGACTAAAAACAGTATAGACCACATAGTGGCCTTTTATGACCATGAGAAGAAACCTCTATCCTAGCAGAAAGCTATCTAGTTTGGTTTTTAGCAAGAGGCAGAGATGGGCTAGCTTTAGTATATTGGTCCCAAGAAATCCATGAAAACTGATAGGATCCAACCAACTTTTTCCGCTATGAAACACGGCACTATTCTTTCTACTGTCTCTTTCTTCCCAGTGTGTATTCTTTCTACCAATCTCTTTCTTCCCAGTGTGTATTCTTTCTACCAATCTCTTTCCTCCGAGTGTGTATTCTTTCTACCAATCTCTTTCTTCCCAGTGTGTATTCTTTCTACCAATCTCTTTCTTCCCAGTGTGTATTCTTTCTACCAATCTCTTTCTTCCCAGTGTGTATTCTTTTCTACCAATCTCTTTCTTCCGAGTGTGTATTCTTTCTACCAATCTCTTTCCTCCCAGTGTGTATTCTTTCTACCAATCTCTTTCCGAGTGTGTATTCTTTCTACCAATCTCTTTCTTCCCAGTGTATTCTTTCTACCAATCTCTTTCTTCCCAGTGGGTATTCTTTTCTTCTTTCTCTCCAGTGTGTATTCTTTCTTCTCCGAAGAGTGTGTATTCTTTCTACCAATCTCTTTCTTCCCAGTGTGTATTCTTTCTACCAATCTCTTTCTTCCGAGTGTGTATTCTTTCTACCAATCTCTTTCTTCCGAGTGTGTATTCTTTCTACCAATCTCTTTCTTCCCAGTGTGTATTCTTTCTACCAATCTCTTTCTTCCCAGTGTGTATTCTTTCTACCAATCTCTTTCTTCCCAGTGTGTATTCTTTCTACCAATCTCTTTTTAACCGAAAATGTGTATTCTTTCTACCAATCTCTTTCTTCCCAGTGTGTATTCTTTCTACCAATCTCTTTCTTCCCAGTGTGTATTCTTTCTACCAATCTCTTTCTTCCCAGTGTGTATTCTTTCTACCAATCTCTTTCTTCCGAGTGTGTATTCTTTCTACCAATCTCTTTCTTCCGAGTGTGTATTCTTTCTACCAATCTCTTTCTTCCCAGTGTGTATTCTTTCTACCAATCTTTTCTTCCCAGTGTGTATTCTTTCTACCAATCTCTTTCCTCCCAGTGTGTATTCTTTCTACCAATCTCTTTCTTCCCAGTGTGTATTCTTTTCTACCAATCTCTTCCCTCCCGAGTGTGTATTCTTTCACAATCTCTTTCTTCCCAGTGTGTATTCTTTCTACCAATCTCGTTCTTCCCCAGTGTGTATTCTTTCTACCAATCTCTTTCCTCCGAGTGTGTATTCTTTTCTACCAATCTCTTTCCTCCGAGTGTGTATTCTTTCTACCAATCTCTTTCTTCCCAGTGTGTATTCTTTTTCTACCAATTTCTTTTTCCTCCGAGTGTGTATTCTTTCTACCAATCTCGTTCTTCCCAGTGTGTATTCTTTCTACCAATCTCTTTCCTCCGAGTGTGTATTCTTTCACCAATCTCTTTCTTCCCAGTGTGTATTCTTTTTTCTACCAATCTCTTTCCTCCCAGTGTGTATTCTTTCTACCAATCTCTCTTTCTTCCCAGTGTGTATTCTTTCTACTAATCTCTTTCCTCCGAGTGTGTATTCTTTCACCAATCTCGTTCTTCCCAGTGTGTATTCTTTCTACCAATCTCTTTCTTCCCAGTGTGTATTCTTTCTACCAATCTCTTTCTTCCCAGTGTGTATTCTTTCTACCAATCTCTTTCTTCCCAGTGTGTATTCTTTTTGTGTGGGGTACCAATCTCTTTCTTCCCAGTGTGTATTCTTTCTACCAATCTCTTTCTTCCCAGTGTGTATTCTTTCTACCAATCTCTTTCTTCCCAGTGTGTATTCTTTCTACCAATCTCGTTCTTCCCAGTGTGTATTCTTTCTACCAATCTCTTTCCTCCGAGTGTGTATTCTTTCTACCAATCTCTTTCCTCCGAGTGTGTATTCTTTCTACCAATCTCTTTCCTCCGAGTGTGTATTCTTTCTACCAATCTCTTTCCTCCGAAAGTGTGTGAGCTTTCTACCAATCTCTTTTTAACTTCCGAGTGTGTATTCTTTCTACAAATCTCGCTCTTCCCAGTGTGTATTTTTTCTACCAATCTCTTTCCTCCGAGTGTGTATTCTTTCTACCAATCTAAAAGTTCCCAGTGTATTCTTTCTACCAATCTCTTTCCTCCGAGTGTGTATTCTTTCTACCAATCTCTTTCCTCCGAGTGTATTCTTTTCTACCAATCTCTTTTTCCCTCCGAGTGTGTATTCTTTCTACCAATCTCTTTCCTCCGAGTGTGTATTCTTTCTACCAATCTCTTTCCTCCGAGTGTGTATTCTTTCTACCAATCTCTTTCTTCCCAGTGTGTATTCTTTCTACCAATCTCTTTCCTCCGAGTGTGTATTCTTTCTACCAATCTCGTTCTTCCCAGTGTGTATTCTTTCTACCAATCTCTTTCCTCCGAGTGTGTATTCTTTCTACCAATCTCGTTCTTCCCAGTGTGTATTCTTTCTACCAATCTCTTTCCTCCGAGTGTGTATTCTTTCTACCAATCTCGTTCTTCCCAGTATGTATTCTTTCTACCAATCTCTTTCCTCCGAGTGTGTATTCTTTCTACCAATCTCTTTCCTCCGAGTGTGTATTCTTTCTACCAATCTCTTTCCTCCAGTGTGTATTCTTTCTACCAATCTTTTCCTCCAAACTGTGTATTCTTTTCACCAATCTTCTTCCTTCCCAATCTGTGTATTCTTTTGGCACCAATCTCTTTCCTCCGAGTGTGTATTCTTTCTACCAATCTCTTTCCTCCGAGTGTGTATTCTTTCTACCAATCTCTTTCTTCCCAGTGTGTATTCTTTTTCTACCAATCTCTTTCTTCCTGTGTGTATTCTTTCTACCAATCTCTTTCTTCCCAGTGTGTATTCTTTCTACCAATCTTTTTTCCTCTGAGTGTGTATTCTTTTCACCAATCTCTTTCTTCCCAGTGTGTATTCTTTCTACCAATCTCTTTCTTCCCAGTGTGTATTCTTTCTACCAATCTCTTTCTTCCCAGTGTGTATTCTTTCTACCAATCTCTTTCTTCCGAGTGTGTATTCTTTCTACCAATCTCGTTCTTCCCAGTGTGTATTCTTTCTACCAATCTCACTTCCCAGTGTGTATTCTTTCTTTCCTTCCCTCCGAGTGTGTATTCTTTCTACCAATCTCTTTTCTTCCCAGTGTGTATTCTTTCTACCAATCTCTTTCCTCCGAGTGTGTATTCTTTCTACCAATCTCTTTCTTCTCCGAAGTGTATTCTTTTTCACTTTCAATCTCTTTTCCTCCCAGTGTGTATTCTTTCTACCAATCTCTTTCTTCCCAGTGTGTATTCTTTCTACCAATCTCTTTCCTCCGAGTGTGTATTCTTTCTACCAATCTCGTTCTTCCCAGTGTGTATTCTTTCTACCAATCTCTTTCTTCCCAGTGTGTATTCTTTCTACCAATCTCTTTCTTCCCAGTGTGTATTCTTTCTACCAATCTCGTTCTTCCCAGTGTGTATTCTTTCTACCAATCTCTTTCTTCCCAGTGTGTATTCTTTCTACCAATCTCTTTCCTCCGAGTGTGTATTCTTTCTACCAATCTCTTTCCTCCGAGTGTGTATTCTTTTTGACCAATCTCTTTCTTCCGAAAGTGTGTATTCTTTCTACCAATCTCTTTCCTCCCGAGTGTGTATTCTTTCTACCAATCTCTTTCTTCCCAGTGTGTATTCTTTCTACCAATCTCTTTCCTCCCAGTGTATTCTTTCTACCAATCTCGTTCTTCCCAGTGTGTATTCTTTCTACCAATCTCTTTCCTCCGAGTGTGTATTCTTTCTACCAATCTCTTTCTTCCCAGTGTGTATTCTTTCTACCAATCTCTTTCCTCCGAGTGTGTATTCTTTCTACCAATCTCTTTCTTCCCAGTGTGTATTCTTTCTACCAATCTCGTTCTTCCGAGTCTATTCCATGCTGTGTTGTTTTCTACATTGTCATAGAATTTCACATGTCGGAAAACTTTCTGAATACCAGTGTATCAGATATTTATATATCGTATTTTAGACATAATATGATTGATGTGGATCAGAAGCGGGGTGACTATTATTTGACACACATTTTTGAGATTCTCACATGAAAAGTTTTTTGCCATTCATCTGCCAAAGCTGTCATGATTAGGCAGCATACTCACCCATAGTCTTTCTTCTCACTCTATTCCGTGCTGCATTGTTGACTACCTTTTTAATAATCTTTAAGTTGTTTCTAAATTATTTTCAGGATGCTACGTGCTGTATTTGGGACCACGAGGGGAAAATCAGACAGAAATTTAAAGGTCATAAGGTGAGTGAAATTTGGTCATCTCAAATTTGTATGAATTGAATAATGTTTTTTTTCTTTGAATATTGGCAAACATGGATAAACATACCCACAATAAGACATAGTGTCAAAAAGACAGTTTTTCTCATGATGCTGCTTTTTTAACTCCCTTCACTCTTCAGCAATGTTATTGTTTTAAAAAAGGGATGATCAGAATTGTAACAAAACCTAAACATATGATGAAAGTGAATTTATAAATTTTCTTTGTTCTGGAGAATTTATAACAAAAATAATAAAAACAATTTGTTACATTTCTTTCTTTTTTTTTTTTTTTTTTTGTAAATATAAAATTATACTTGTAAATAAATAATCTAATAAATAAATAGAGATTAATATTTTTGTTGTAAATTCACAAGAACAAAAAATACATCAATTCCCTTTCATTATATGCATAGGTTTTATTACAATTTTAATCCTTGCTTTTTAAAACAATAAACATTGCTGAAGAGTCACTCCTTTTCTACCCTTGAGGCACTGAGAGGCACCTATTAAAAAAAAAATGAACAAATTGTTCTCACAGCAGTTGATAATGCCAAAAACGAAGAAGAGTATACAAGTCAAAGAAGAATTCTCTTAGAAAATTTAGCAAACATAGACTGTTATGCTCACAATAAGACGGTGTGTCAAAAAGATGGTTTTTCCCAGAACTTTTTTAGATTTCTGTTTAAAACTGTTTATAATATTATTTAATGGAATAGTTGGCAAAACATTGGCTAATTGCCAATCAATTCTAACTTTATAAAATGGTAAATAATAAGGATTTCCTTATAATTGGTTCACATATTTTAATAATTTAGTAAATGTTTATAAATTTATGAATAAAAAAATCGTTTTCATATTTATTTCTTTATAAAGTGGTAAATGATAAATATTGTATTGTTGTAAATATAAAATTATACTTGTAAATAAATAATCTAATAAAAATATCCCCTTATTTTTCCTGGTACTTCTTCTTCTTTTGTCTCCTCATTGTCTTCCTCCCTCTCCCTAAGAGCTTGCCTAGATATGAGAGAGCTTCATCTTTTCCCTTTTGCTGTAGGAATGTTCCTCCAACTATTGTTCATCTTCAGAGTCTACATTACTCTCGATCCCACTGTTGAGCTTGTTTTGCCCTGACATGACACTTTCACTTTCATTACTTTCCGGCTCGCTATACATTTCTTCATCGCTATCGTGTTGCAATCTAACTTGCAAACATCCCCTTTCCATCTTTTTCTATTATTATAGCATTCTCTCCAGTTTGCATTATGAATCTTAACTCTTGTAGATTAGATTCACTATTCTTTTTATAGAATAGCTTTTCTTTGGTAGCATAGAACAAACCCTCTACTTTGAGTGGCTCTTGAGCCTTGCAGTGGGTGAATAAATAGTTTAAAAAAAAGTTATTGCAAACATGGATAAACATGTTCACAATAAGATGAAGTGTCATAAGGACAATTTTTCTTATGACACGGCTTTTTTAACTCCCTTCACGATATTGAGTCACCGCATGAGGGTGTCATTTGGCACAAGGCCTTTTTAACGTGGGCATTCCCGAGCCATTAGACTCGGCCAAAAAATAGCCCATTTGAAACCATATAAAAGGGTTCAGGGCCGGTTTTAATCCTCAAGGAGACTCAAAATATCGGCAGCCTCCTTTGGGTTCCTCCAGCCCGTTCAGGAAGAGAGTTCAAACCGAGCAGTCTGTTCAAAAGTGAACTACTGACTTCACTCTTTGGCAATGTTTGCTTTAAAAAGCAATGTTTAGAATTGTAATAAAGCCTAAACATATGTCTATGCCATAACTAAACAGCACGATTGCTAATTTCTGCAGTCTAGTTCAGTCTATATCTGTCTACACCATTAAATGTCTCTTAAACAAAAATATAAGGACTATATAAGCATGAAAAAAATCATTTAAGTTACTGATTTTGTAAAGGATTCCTTTCTCTAATCCTTTCCTTAAATTTTCTTATAATAAATCAACAATACTTCTGAAGATGGTGAGACTAAATATCGAAATGATTAAAATTGGAATAAATCCTAAACATATGATGAAAATAAATTACATGTTTTTTTTTTTTTTGTTCTAAAGAATTTACAAACAAAAATATTAAACACTACATGTTTCAATGATAAAAAAAAATACAAAAAGAAACTATAGACCTTCTGATGAAGGTATGTTAAATATCAAAACATGTTAATCTCATATTTTTTTTTCCTTTGTAGGGAAAAAGCATCTGGAGCATGGCAATAAGTAAAAAGGAGGATTTAGTTGTAAGTTCTGAGTTTCATCTTTTCTGGAATTACCATATTCTCCAGGTTATGGGACGCTGTGGCTTGGAAGACGCATCCTAATATTGGAAAGAAATTTCTAAGCAAGAAAAAGTCATTCTCATACAACAACACATTCACCATGCGTCCATCACATACTGGCACCACATATTGTTTACATTAATCACTCATCCGATTTTGTTTGTATGGCAATGACACATATGTGTATATATATATATATATATATGTGTGTGTGTATATATATATATATATATATATATATATATATTTTCATTTTTTCATTAAAACAGGTTTCAAAGTTAAATGATTTAGAGTTGTTCTATCTAATTTATTTTTACCCAAATACACAATTATTTATATATATATATATATATATATATATATATATATTTATATTAAAACAGTTTTCAATTAAATAATTTAGACATGTTCTGTCTAATTATTCTTGATAGGATCCTTTTGTATTCGGGGAAAATAACTACACAAAAAAAATTATCCGCAAATATGAAAGGATCCTGTCGAGAATAAGCAGATAGAACATGTCTAAATTATTTAACGGAACCTGTCTTTTTATATATATATATATATATATATATATATATATATAATTGTGTATTTGGGTAGAAATCCCTCTTTTATACAAGTTTCATTAAAAACAACTCATGATATATATATATACACACCGTATTTTCTGGCTTACCAGACACTGCAGCTTGAAAGACACACTCTTAATACTGGAAAGAAATTTCTAACATAGAAAAATTCATTCTCATACAACACATTCACCATGTGATCCTCACATACTGTTGGTACATATTGTTCCTTACATCAATCACTCATTCGATTTTCTTTGTATGGCAATGCAATGGCTCACACACATATATAATTGTGTATTTGGGCAAAAATACCTTTTATACAAATTTTATTAAAAACAACTGAGATATATATATATATATATATATATGTGTGTGTGTGTGTCTTAAATAATTGTCGGACTTTGTCCATTTCATAATGTATGACGTCATTTGTTTACATTTGGATACGCATTGAGCAGATATGAATGAATGAAAGAAAATCATGGAGAATTGTGTTTAAAACCAGTAAAATCAACCTGTGGCCCAATTGGTTAAGGCACGTCAGGCTACATGAAGGTTCCTTATAGGATACAGGTTCGATTCCTGTTGGAGGATGCATATTTTCTATGAAAATTTCTCGGACATTCAGGCCGATAAATGTTGCTAATACTGTTTATTATAAAACAGAAAATTTACTTTAATATTTGCATCTATGAAAAGAACATATAAACATACAAAATGTCTTTTATATATATATATATATATATATATATATATATATATATATACTGTATTTTCTCTTTTTCATAAGATGCTGCATCTTAAGATATTAATTTCCTAATAATGGAAAGAAATTTCTAAGAAAAAAAAAATCTTTCTAATACAACATATTCAATGGAGCATCCCATCACATACTGGTACCATGTATTGTTTACATTAATCACTCATTCAATTTTGTTTGTATGGCAAATTTGTTAGTCAAGAGTATGAAAAGGTTAAGCCACTGCTACTAAACAGAGCATGTTTAAATTTGTGGCTTGGCTCCAGGAAGGATTATACTATCTTTGAAAACTTGTAAAAAACTAAGTACTGAGTTTACATCATATAAAAGACTGAATTAGATAGCTAATATCATATTGTAATGACTCAACATATAAATCCACGTCCCTATCAGTCAAGTCAAATAGGTGACCATCCATGCTTACTTGAGACTCAGTGTTGTCTTACATTTGTCTTGGAAGACGCACCCATATTTTTCAGAGTATTTCTTAGGAAAATAAAGTGTGTCTTGTAAGCCGGAAAATACAGTAACCACTGGATTGATTTTATTTTCATGAGATATAGCTTTTCCATGGTTGATAAAAATCAACTGTTTTAAAAAAGATTAATGGAAGGTCATAAACTGTATAATTACTTTTTCCCTAAATTTGTTATTTTAGATTGATTATTTTCTACTTTTCTTCCCGATAATCCATCTGCTAGATTGACTAGCCAATCCCTGTCACAGACACCTGCTCAGGCACATGTGTGTTTTGTTCAAAACCGACAGGGCTCACCTGTGGTTTATCTTGCAACTATGCTGAGCGAACTTTAGTTACAGCTTCTGTGATAAAACGCATCATCTGACATACTCAGCAGTTTAAACATCATCAGTATGCTCAAACCACTCGGTCACAATGACTTGTGACTTCCTACCCAGTTGCACTAACAAGGCTTGAGTCAAACGCATGGTATGGTTTTTCTAGCACTTTCTAAAGGTGCTGTGATTTATGGCTACATCATATTGAAACACCAGTTTCCATATGATCACTAGAGTTAAGCAACATCAGGCCTGGTCACTAACCGGATATGTGACCACTTGGAAATAGCAGGTGCTCTAAGCTTGAATGTGCTAGTAAAAATGGCTTATGGCCACATTATGTTGAAACACTAGTTCCCATACAATCACTGAAGTTAAGCAATGTTGAGCCTGATCAGTACGAAGATGGGTAACCACTTGGGAATACCAGCTGTAAGCTTGATTGTGTTAAAAAAATAAATGTTTTTAAAATCAATTCCACCCAATTTAAGGCAGTAAAGCCACTAAGACACAAGGGGTTACTGGGTGTGGAAGAATTAGAAAACAGAAACATTTCTAAGGAGCAAGAACAATAGAAGAAAAATCAGGAAGACAGTAGATAACGATTGACATTGCATTTAAATTTTTTAAAATCTAACTTGTCTGGAAAGCAAGAAACCAGAAGAGTGTTTCACAAGCAAGAAGTACGAGAAAAGAAACTGTTAGTATAGAACTTATGGTGACACCTTGCCAAATCAACTTTAAACTGACAGGACTGCTCTTTTGGGGTTCCTGCGTAGTACGTACCGCACTGGCCATGCAGACTACTTAGACAGCATATTACACCCCACTTACAATAGTGTCCAACGTATTTATGAAGATTGAGACATACCCATTAGTGTTTAAAAGTACGGTATATAACATCTTTGTTTCACCATACAGAAAGTTTTAGACCCACTAGAGTGACAGGGTTTAATTGATTTCTATTTTTTACCAAGATAAGGTCATTTGCAGTGGTGTGCAGTAATATGAATCTATTTTCTGGGTATATGATGAAATTTTTTTGTCTTTGAAAAATATTGAGTTATCTGTGATTGCATCAGATTTTTATCACACCCAGACACTCTTGTCTTGACTGTCGATTAGTTGACCTATGGCCATTGTCTGTGATGGATGTTGCTCTAAGGAAGCATACAAAAATTATAATGCTGCACGAACACAATGGCAAGCCATACCAGTGAGCAAATGAAAGTAATACAGATTGTCCTGGAAACGCTCCAGATTTAGATCCAATCAAGAATCTGTGGTCAATCTGCAAAGAACGACTTCTTAGAATGGACATATAAAGTACTAACATGTGCATTGGATCATGTTTCATAGGAAAAATATGAAAAAAAAGTAAATAATAATGGAATTATTCGTTTTGTTTCAATTAATTTGCACAAGGGTGTATTTGCTACCTTTCTGGGTGTATTAGTGTGCCCGGATGCACTCACTGAGAAATGCTGCTTTAGACAGACATTTATATATTCTAGTCTGCATTAAAACTAAATGTTGAAATGATTTCATTTATAAATATTAAATATTTTAATAAACTAATGGTGTTTCTATAGAAATGCACTTCTCTGAGAAATAATCATTTTTTTTTTTTTCAAAATTCTTTTCCATATTCTTATTAAACACGCCTGCATAGTTTCAGCAGTGTTTTTGGCTTTTTGTACTTTTCACTTTTTTCTACCAAAATTATATTGTGTTATATACCATACCTATGAACACTAATGGGTGTGTCCCAATCCTGATAAATACGTTGGACACTATTGTAAGTGGGGTTGATATGATGTCTAAGTAGTCCACCACCAGCAGTGGTTTATTTACACACCTCTGGCGAGTATTGTATTTTGTTGATGTTATAAAAATTACCATTTCATTTCCAACCTTCATTTTGGTTATTCCTCATTCAGTAACCTTTTCTAGGTTACAACAAAGATGCATTGAAATAATTTTTACTATGAAAATGCATTGGAAATGATTTTTACTATGAAAATGCATTGGCCAATGATTTTTACTATGAAAATGCATTGACCAATGATTTTTACTCTTGTTATATACTGTACCTATGAACACTAATGGGTAGTCCTAATACTCATAAATACGTTGGACACTATTGTAAGTGGGGAGGTGAGTAATATACTGTCTAAGTAGACCACCACTAGCAGTAGTTTACCTATGCTGCTGGCAAGTATTGTATTTTGTTGATGTTATAAAGATTATCATTTCATTTTCAACCTCGATTTTGGTTATTCCTCATTCAGTAACCCTTTCTAGGTTACAACAAAAGGAAACTAAAGCAGTTGTTTCAATTAATTTGCAAAAGAGTATGTAGGTCTTTTTTAAAATCAGCCACTAATTTACAATATCGGACCAATCAGACTTAGTATCGAGACAGGAGTAAATGGTTGTGTCATCAGCATAGATACCAAATTGAGAGCTGATGCAAAAAAAAAAAGCCAAAAAAAAAGCAGTTTCATTAACAGATGTTTAATATAGATCTTTCCTGTAATCAACAAGATGTGATCTGGAATGTAAATGGTTGTTTAGAAAGACAGTAACAATACAAAAATGACTTTTTTTTTTCTTTTTTCCAGGTTACTGGTGGGGGTGACAGCAGCATTCGTGCATGGTCAGTCCATTTGGATCTTTGTGCAAAACATGTAACTTCTAAACAACTGGAAATAACCCACTTGGAACCGGTTAGTAAATTGTTATTGTTTTTTTTTTTAACTAACAAATTGAGATTTGGACTACTTTTTCTTCTAAGTGCTGTATCCCTGTTGCTATCCCTGTTTTTTTCTGTTTTTTTTTTTCTTAAACAGTGAAATTAATAACACCTGACTTAAATTGGAAAAGCATACTAACAAAAGATTCTGCTTCCAATAGCAATCAAACTTGTATCCAATCTTTGGTTTGATGATAAACTACATACAACAGCTGTGATTGGGGAGATTTGAGGTTTTGGGGAGCATGTAACCACATCTTACTTGATGTTATTCCCAGTTCCACATTGATCTGGGGTGGTAGCACCTGTTAGGGTCCCAGATATTGGCAAAGAATGAATGCCCAAACAAAAAACACTATGAAAGTTTAAAAATAAATTTTTATAGTAAAATTACTAACAATACATTTTATAGTAAAATTACCAACAATACATTTTATAGTAAAATTACCAACAGTACATTTTATAGTAAAATTAGCAACAGTACATTTTATAGTAAAATTACCAACAATACATTTTATAGTAAAATTATTAAAATTACCAACAATACATTTTATAGCAAAATTAGTAAAATTGCCAACAGTACATTTCATAGCAAAATTAGTAAAATTACCAACAATACATTTTATAGTAAAATTACCAACAATATATTTTATAGTAAAATTACCAACAATACATTTTATAGTAAAATTACCAACAATACATTTTATAGCAAAATTAGTAAAATTGCCAACAATACATTTTAAAATAAAATTAATAAAATTACCAACAATACACTTTATATTAAAATTAGTAAAATTACCAACAATACATTTTAAAATAAAATTAGTAAAATTACCAACAGTACATTTTATAGTAAAATTACCAACAATACATTTCATATGTAGTTGAATGGATAGAATTGCATTCAAAACATATTTAGTTGAAGCCATAAAATTGTGTTCAAAATATTTAGATTTTGGCATTAAATAACCCATCGAGGTGTTGATGTTTTTCCAAATTTCTGACTGAATTGTGCTATGGTGCTCTTTTTCTCATAGATGGTGTCCAACTGACCCTACTATACTGTTTAGTTGACAAAATCAAAAACAAACACACATGTGCAAAATTATAAATATAAAATGGCGACAATTTACCCATTGCTCTATATATATATATATATATATATATATATATATTTCCAAATGTACTTATAATTCTTTACAAAACTTACATTGCAGCTGTTGACATATATATGTATGTTGTGGTCAGCTGACAGTGTTCAAGAATTGGAACCTTTTTCTTGCTAAAACAATTTGAGTTTGGATAATAGATTAGCTGAAAATGCTCTGACCCAAAGACCATGTGGACAGTTTTGACACGCACTATGTCCAGAAAAGAAATCTCTTGTATTCAGGAATGAAAAATATAATAAGAATCATAATTGCATTGCCTTGTCAGTCATATTTAATGAAACCTGTATAAAAGAGGGATTGCTGCTGAAATATATATAAATATATTCGTTTTCAAGATATACTTACATGTCTTTATAAACTTATGTTGCCTGCTGTTAACATGTATATACATTTTCAAAACGTACCTATTCATCTTTTTCCAAAACTTACAATGCTTGCGGTCAAGATATATATATATATATATATATATAGATAAAGTGTGGATATAAACTAAATAACGAGATATTACCAACTATATATGCATGTCTTAACATGCATATACAGATGAGCAAATAAAGGGTAAAATTGGTCTTACCATTTTTATTTCCATAATATATATATATATATATATTTAGAGACCTTCTTGTATGTTGTGCACCAGGTCTCTGTATTCAGCGCTTCAAAAAGTGTGGATGGTTCTGCACAAAACCTTTAACACTATAATCAAATCTCAAGGAACTGATCTGCTTAGCCCTCACACATCAAAGTTGACTGGAGAGTCGAGTATATATATATATATATATTAGTTAATTATATATATATATATATATATATATATAACTAAATAACGAAATATTAACAACTACATATGCATATTATCAATTACATATAGAAATGAGCAAATAAATATTTATTTAATTTAAGGTGTCAACAAGAGTGTCTAGTGTAGTTAAACAGAGCTATAAAGTATATATTAATAGATACATATATACGTATACAAATTCATCAAGTACAAATGGTAAATGAACTATCAGTTAGTTTACCATTTGTATCTGATTCATTGGGTAACCATGAAACTTTGAGATGTGAAACAAACATAGCTATATGTGTATTTAGATATATATATATATATATATATATATATGTGAGAGAGAGAGAATTAATACAAGTAAAAGGTTGGTCACTTAGCTGATTGATGCTATCTGCAGCGTCCCGACTCCATAATTTTGTAGAGAAACCCTCCAGGAATCACTTCATCCACTCCTCAGCAGATATCAGCAATTGACATGCTTGCACTTCTTGATTTTTCTTATTTATATGCACTTATCATTGGGGCAAATTTTTTTTGTTGTTTTTTTTATCATAGTGTATATGTGTGCATGCCTGTGCACCCATAAACACATTTTCGAGATGTACTTATATATCTTTACAAAATCTACATTGCCTGCTGTTGACATATGTATACCTTTTTAATGTCAGTCCCCAGTGCTTGCATCATGAAGTTATATGATATGGTACAGTATTGAGGAATTGTAGAGCCAAATTTGAATTTCACTTGAATCCATTACATTCACTTACATGCTAATACCCTTGGGAAAGGCATGAATCCTCTTCTTCTCCCTCCAGCTATGGGTAAATAGCAGGATAGACTGGGTTCTATAGCCTTGGATGGCAACTGGTCTACCGCAGAAAGAAATGGCAACCTACTGCAGGAAAAAAAATCTGCCTCGTCAGTCATGTATAGAAAGAGACATGATCGCCTAAGCATGTATCACACATGGCATATAACTGACTGACAGTACAGTACAAACTGTTTTCTGATGTATTTTTATTATCTTCTGTGTTGTGAGTATCATTTACGCTGTGTTGGAGATAATCTGATTAAAACCAGATGCCCATGGGTAATCGCCATTAGCATCTTGATAATCATTTATTTCGAGTAAATGACAATTTCCTATTTTTCCCCAAATGGGCCAGCACAGCCAGGCAACAATGTTACAAGAATGAAGTGGTGAACATGTTAACTGAGAAAAAGCAACAACAGCCAACACATTAAATGGTTTTATTCATCAATATCTTAATAAATCTTTTAATTTTGACAGCTGATAAAATAAAAATTTCCCATTTTACCCAAAAGGGCCAGCTCAGTCAGGCAAAAATGCTATAACAATGCAGCAGTAAAAAATTTTCAGCACCTCCTCATATAACTCAAATGTGAATATGTTTGCATGTCTTCATTCTGATTATCAACATGTTGATTTTTTAATTACAGGAAGCCAAAACTCCAAATTTTCCTCGCAGTGTTACCTATTTGAACTTTAACACCATACTTGTAATGACTAACAGTGGGTAAGTAACCAAATATTTACTATCATTACTAATTTTTTATTAGTATTTTCTTTCATTTTAATTTTAGCTGCTTTTTAAATGCAGATTGTCAGTAAACAGTGGAGAATATAAATAAAAATACAAGGTACTAGCCAGATTTGAACTCACATCCCTTGACCTTGGAATGTCTGGTTTACCATAACAGCTGCTCTGCTGACTAAACTACAAGAACTTTAACAGCAGGAAATCAAATTTAACTGTTCAAACTTACAATCTTTTTTACAGTCACTGAGTACTGTATTGTGTCTTACACCAGCAGTAGTCATCATATTATTAGGTTGTTACATAAATTAATTTTATTATAATTTATTTTAATACTTATTATTTATTAATAATTCTGATGCATCATTCAACAATCTATACCCTTCATTATTTATTAACCTCATGCTGATGAACGGTTCAATGCTTCGACAATAGAAATCATTTGGTTTTAACTTGAAAAATTCATCAAGCCAAGTTGTAAACTCCATGTCATTGTTGAATGAAACACCCCTCAAATTGTTAGAAAGTGACTGAAAATGGTGGTAGTCTGAGAGGGTTAAATCAGGAGAATATGGTGTAGCAGAACTTCCCAACTGAGCTCTTTCTTTGTATCCACAACTAGGTTGGTGTTGTGCGAGTAAATTGGTTGCAATGGAAGAATGCTGGAGTTTGTTTCTTTCAGTCAATATGTATGGCAACAATGTGCTTTGTTTCTGGACCTTATCTACTGAGTGAAGATTATGAGCAACAGTAACATGAGAGCTTGTCATCTTTTGGGCCAGTTTCCTAGGGGTCTGGCACAGCTTTTCTTTCATCAGGACATACGATTGGTTCTCTTCAAACTAAAGAGGTCAGCCAGAATGCGCAGAGTCAGACCATTTCTATGCCATTTTGCCAGTAATGAAGTCATCTCCGTACACAGCACAAATGTCTCAAGCAACTTTGTGACCTTGATTAAAAGCAAAGAGAAGATGTCAAACTCATTCTTGTCTATCTTACATTCCATCTCAAAGATAGGTCTAATCTGAAACAAAATTTCAATAACATTAGATTATAGGATGACCAGAGTAACAAAGAAGCAAAAAATGTTACAAGATTATTCTTCGATTGGTCACAGAATATCAGAAAAAAAAAAATGAATATATGTAAAAACCTAATATATTAATTTTCACATTTTTGTTAAATAAAGTGTTATTATCTATCTGTATTTCTGAGATAAGGTATTATAACTATTTACACTATTTGGACTGTTGTCCTCATCTTTATTGCTACATTCAAAATGTTTCAGCCTGGCCTTCTTCAGGATATGTCTATATTTCTGAGATGAAGTATTGTAACTATTTACACAGTTCGGACTGTTGTCCTCATCTTTATTGCCATATTCACCTTCAACATCTGTCTCTATTTCTCAGATGAGGTATTGTAACTATTTACACTATTTACATTGTTTGGACTGTTGTCCTCATCTTTATTGCCATATTCACCTTCAACATCTGTCTCTATTTCTCAGATGAGGTATTGTAACTATTTACACTATTTACATTGTTTGGACTGTTGTCCTCATCTTTATTGCCATATTCACCTTCAACATCTGTCTCTATTTCTCAGATGAGGTATTGTAACTATTTACACTATTTACATTATTCAGACTGTTGTCCTCATCTTTATTGCCATATTCACCTTCAACATCTGTCTCTATTTCTCAGATGAGGTATTGTAACTATTTACACTATTTACATTATTCAGACTGTTGTCCTCATCTTTATTGCCATATTCACCTTCAACATCTGTCTCTATTTCTCAGATGAGGTATTGTAACTATTTACACTGTTTGGACTGTTGTCCTCATCTTTATTGCCATATTCACCTTCAATATCTGTCTCTATTTCTCAGATGAGGTATTGTAACTATTTACACTATTTACATTGTTTGGACTATTGTCCTCATCTTTATTGCAAAATAATCATAGTCACACGCATGGCACATGCAATTAGAACAATCTACCCTTGTGCACTAAATAAAGGGTTCAATTCAAAATTCCAAGAAATATCACCTGAAGAAGGCCAGAGTGAATAATGACCGAAATGTTGAGAATATGGCGGTAAAGATGAGGACAACAGTCCAAATAATATAAATAGAAGTGTTATTGAACCACTATTAATTCTGAGGAGCATTTCTTTAATCTTTGTTTTACTTGACTTTCATTAAAAAAGGTAAAATAATGCAGATTTGAGTCTCACCAGAAACTTTATTTCTGATCTGTACAGTTTACTCTCATCTACAGACGTTTAACAAAAACAATTCAAACTAGGATAAATGAAAACACTAATCAAAAATGAATGATAACTGGTAAAATTTAATCTAAAAAATTCAGCCAATGATTACTACTTGGTGTAAAAGCAAGAATTACTCATCAAAAATGAATAATAATTGCCAAGGCTTCATCTAAGATATTCAGAAAACTTAAGACTATTACTACTTGGTTGAAAAGCAAGAGAAATAAGATGAAAGAAATACTAGTGAAAAATGAATAATAATTGCCAAGGCTTCATCTAAGAAATTCAGACAACTTAAGACTATTACTACTTGGTTGAAAAGCAAGAGAAATAAGATGAAATAAATACTAGTGAAAAATGAATAATAATTGACAAGGCTTCATCTAAGAAATTCAGACAACTTAAGACTATTACTAAATTTGGTGGAAAAGCAAGAGAAATAAGATGAAAGAAATATGAAAAATGAGTAATAATTGCCAAGGCTTAATCTAAGACATTCACACAACTTAAGACTAAAACTGGAAAAGCAAGAGAAATTGAAAGAAATATCAGGTCATCCCATAAGTTCTGTCCGAATTTTAACTTTTTTTTTTAAATGAACAAAATTTAAATTTTATAATGTCTAACGGAGCTGAACATTATTTTTATGTTTAGATGCATTTAAACTGAACAAATTTTATTTCGGAGAACAATAAAATTAAATTTTGTTTGATTAAAACCCTGCTAACATGGAAGTACCCAAGAATCATTTGAGGCACATAATGCTTTATGAGTTCAAGAAAGGAAATTCAGCAGCCGAAGCGGCTAGAAACATTCATTCAGTTTATGGAGAGGAATGTGTGAATGAAAGAACTTGCAGATGATGGTTTGCAAAATTCAGAGGTGGAGATTTCACCCTTGAAGATGAAGATCGAACCGGACGTCTAGTTGAGTTTGATGAAAAGCTTCTTGAAGCAGCCCTTGAAGAAAATCCTGCTTTATCAGTTGAGGAATTGGCAGTGGTTCTCAGTTCAAACCATACAACTGTTTATCATCATCTTCAACAACTTGGAAAAGTTTCTAAACTTGGAAAATGGGTGCCTCATAAATTGTCTGAAAACAACTTCAAATCCCGAGTTGACATCTGCTCTTCTCTCCATTCTCGCCAACTTGTTTCACCTTTTTTGGATAGACTTGTGACTGGTGACAAAAAATGGAACTTTTATCAAAATGTTAAGCGTCATAGACAGTGGCTTGGTAAAGGAGAAGGACCCCAGCCACAGCCGAGAAGGGAACTTCATGGGCAAAAAGTTCTTCTTTCAATCTGGTGGGATCGCCAAGGAATAATCCACTTTGAATTCTTACCACCTAATGCAACAATTAATGCTCACATATACTGTCAGCAATTAAACCAGTGTGAACCAAGCTTTGAGGAAAAAAGACCTGCTCTAGTGAATCGAAAAAAGGTGATGTTTCATCAGGACAATGCATGACCCCACACAGCAAGAATCATGTCACAAAAGATCGAAAACTTGGTTGGGAGAAAATTCCTCATCCACTTTATTCTCCCGATCTTGCTCCTTCAGACTACCATTTGTTTCATAGCTTACAGAATCATTTGGAAGAAACAGCTTTGTAGGAAGAAGTTAAAACTGACATTTGTGAGTTCTTCGAATCAAAGCCAAAAGAATTTTACAGTAATGGAATTAGTAAGCTTGTTAATAGATGGAAGGAAGTCATAGATAATCAGGGAAAATACATTGTTGATTGAATCTGTAATTAAATGTAACATTTGGTCAGTTGTTTTCTTTATTCAAAATTCGGACAGAACTTATGGGATGACCTGATATAGTGAAAATAATAATTATATTCAGGCTTTATAAGAAATTCAGAATAATTATGATATTACTATTTGGTTAAAATTAAGCTAAAATAAGATCCTGAGATCTACTTTTCCAAAAATGAATAATTTGCCAACATAAGGTTCATCTAGTTTCAGAAAAAGACTATTACTACTTGGTGGAAAAGCAAGAGAAATAATATGAAAGAAATATAGACAAAAATGAATAAAATTGTACAAAGCTTCATCTAAAAATTAGATAATTAAGACTATTTTACTTGGTGTTTCTTTTAAAGAGAAATAAGATGAAATTAATACTAGTGAAAATTTGAATAATAATTGCCAAATTCTCTAAAAAATTCAGATAACTTAAGACATTATTAATGGTGGAAAGGCCCTTTCTTAAATAAGATGAAAGAAACAAATTACAAAATGACAGAATGCTAAAAAAAACAATTCATCTAAAAATAAACAACAAAAAGACTATATTTAACATTTAACAAAATTTTGATTTCAAATGAAAGAAAATTTAGTGAAAATGAATAAAAAATTAAATTGGAAAAAGGCTTCATCTAAATTTTCAGACAATATAAGAATAAAAATAATTGGTGGAAAGGCAAGAAAAATAAAATGAAAGAAATAAAAATTCTATGATAAATGAATAATATATCATAAGGCTTTTTTCTAAGAAATTCTTTATTAACTTAAGACTATTAAATATTTGGAAAAATCATTCAAATAAGATGAAAAAAATACTATTGAAAATATGAATAAATAATTATAAGGCTTTATATCTAAGAAATTCAGACAACTTTAAGACAACTTTTTTACTATTTTTTACAAGAGAAATAAGATGAAAGAAATAAGAATGATGAATAAAATTGCTGAGGTTTCATCTAAGAAAATAGATCAGATAACTTAAACTATTACTTTTAGGAAAATTAGAAAGAAATAATCAAGCATAGAAATACTAGTCAAAATGAATAAAAATTGTCCAAGGCTTTATTCTAAGAAATTCAATATTTCTTAAGACTATTACTACTTTATTTTGTTAAAAGCAAGAGAAATAAGATGAAAGAATCTTAGACAAAATGAATAATAATTGATTTGATTCATCTTAATTTTTCAAATTAACTTTTCTAAGAAATTACTACTTGGTTTTTAAAAAAGATTTTAAAATCATTTTAGATTTGTTAAATACTAGTCAAAAAATAAAATTTTTTTTATCTAAGAAATTTTTTTGAAAAATTTAAATTTACTTTTTTTTGTTCATTTATAAAAAACTTAAATAATTTGGAACTTTTATAAAACTTTTAAAATTTTTTGTTATCTGTTCTAAAATATGCTATCCATTTATATCAATGAAAAGGAGGTAGGTTGAATTTATTTCTGCCTTGTCAAAATTCAGTTTTAATTGTTTTAAAAAATTTTTAGCAATTTATTTTTTTTTACATTGTTTTCAGAAATTCCACATTACTAAAAATTAGTCCATTAGAATACAAAATAATTTTATTACTTTTTTTAATAATTCAAAATAATTTGTTTAATTATATTTTTTTTTGTAATTGTACCAATTTATTTAAACAATTGAAAAGAAATAGTAAAATTTTTTTATTAATTTATTATTATAAAAATTAGAAAATTATTTAAATGTTTTTCTCATGGTCCACACTATGTAGCTAAGTCCAGAATAGAAAATTTGAGTGTCCAGAATAGAAAATGACCAAAAGAAGTTTGTAAAATAGATGTCTTGATGAAAGTGTTGGTTATACAGAAATTTTGGAGAGGTAAGAAAATTTCTTTGTTTATACGATGGGTATTTGGCTAGTTATTCCAAAACTGTTCAGTGTAAACAAATTTTGAAAGTCAAGATACTCAAAATATGTTTTGGTATTTAAGCCACCTTAAATTTTTTAACTAAATCAAAGTTTTCAATATAAAAAACTTAATCTGTCTCATAATTACATCCCAAATCCTAGGTTTTAGTTTTTAAAAAATTTTTTAAATTTCCCATTTTTAAACTAAAAATTAGTTTTAGGGTTTAAATTTAAAAAAAAATCCTCATTTCTTTGGTGATAAATTATAGGTTAATTTTTAAACACCTGAAAGCATCTATTTAGTTCCAAAATGGGAAAGATTTAGTTCCAATATGGTTAAGATTTTTTTTAAAATAAAGCTAAAAAAAATTTTTTTTTTAATCATTTTCATTAAAGAAAATTTTAGCAACTAAGATTTATAAGGGGTTAAAATTTTTTTAGAGAATATGAGAAAAATTAAATTAAGGAGAGAAGAAATAAAAGAACAAGAATTAAGAAGACAGAAGATAACGATTGAAATTTCTTTAAATTCTTTTTGAATCATTTAAAGGCAAAAAGATGGACTAGGTTGCAAGGGGTTACTGAGTGTTAGAGAAGAAAAAAAAAAAAAGCATATTATCTCTTTCAAAGAAAAATAAAATAATGAGAATTAAGATGATAGAAGATAACTTTTGTTATTTATTTTGAAATGAAAATTTTTTTGGTTAAATTGATGATTAGAATTTTTTAAAATTGAAATTTTATTAAAGTGAATTTATATATTTTTTGTTCTTGAGAATTTATATGGAAAAATAATAAACACTATTCCTTGTTTATTTCAAGAATAATTTTATATTTATTCACATTTTAAAAGCTAATACAATTAAAACTAATGCAATGTAATATTCATTTAGAGCAGGTTTATAAAGAAATATCACGGAAAAATTTTTTTATCTTAAATTTATAAACATTTACTAAATTATTAAAAATATAACCAATTCACAATTTTGGAAATATTTTTTTTTATTTTATAAATATTGAATTGATTGGCATTTGAGATTTTGATTAATTTGTCAATAAAAATATATAATAATGTTTATTATTTTTGTTGTCAATATCCAAGAACAAAATTCTGAAAAAATTCATTAATGTTTTTAAGTTTTAGTTTTAAGGGATTTTTAACATATTTTAAATGTAGGACCGTGTTGTTGTTGTTGTTGAATGAAGTAGAAATCCACACAGACATGGGTTAGGATTTTTCCTATAAGATATATTCATGATGAAAAATTTTTTAATTAAGTCCAAAGAAGATTTTCCAAAAAAAAAAGTTGTCAAGAAAAAAACATATTACCGAAAAAATAATTTACAAATATATATATAATATTCATAGTTAAAATGGAACAGTTACAATGGAAAAAATATGTTTTTTGTGTGTGAAGATTATATATATATATGTGTGTGTGTGTGTGTATGATTGAATTTTTATGTATTTTAATTTGGGAAAATTTGAAAAATCAATGTGAAATTTTTTATGTAAGTAAATTAAAAGCCTGAGGAAAAAGAGAGATAATTTTTAGGTTTTTTCCTTTTAAATTATGAGGGAAAAAAAAAAAAGGCAAAGGGTCATCGATTATTTATAGCCAGGGAAGAGAGACCTAATTTCAAAGGTTAACAAACTAAAGGAGGAGTTAACAATAAATATGGTAAATGTTCTGATGATCTTTCATCTTTTTGGTACCTTGACTTTATGAATTTAAGTATTTTTAATAAAAGTGGCAGATAGGTCTCATCATTTTAGAGTTGAAATGGTTTATGTAACTGTAAGTTCTATGCTAGAAATTTTTTTATTGCACTTCTTGTTTGTCAAACTTTCTTCCAGCTTCTTTCAATCTTTCCAGCCAATTTTTCATTTATTAAAATTACCACTTTTTAAAGCAAACATTGTCCTTTTGAAGTGAAGGTAATTAAAATCATTGTTTTTTGCCAAGAGAAAATCCATCCTTTTAATTTTTTTTTTCTTTTTTTTTTGAAGTTCCAAGTTTGTAATTGGGGTATTATTCTAAATAAAATACAAAGCCACAAAATCAAGTGCATTAAAAAAGTAAACACTTACTCTATTTATCTCTTTTGTTAACTTATACAACATATAATAATAAACACTATTTATTAGATTCTGTTTATTACTTTCCAAAATTTGTTTAACAATATTTATTTTCATTATGGCTCATTTAATTAAAAATTTTATTTTTTAAAAAAGTTTGGCAATATTTTTTTAGTATGAAAACATATTGCTTGTAATTATTTGTAATATATTTTCATGTTTTGACCCTAATTTAAGGGGTTCATTATTTGCCCATAGCTAGGACCCTAACAGGTGGTACTAAAACTTAGGTCAAAAGCAATCAAAAAAACATTGTTTTTAAAATGGTTCCACAAAAAGTTTCAAAAAACATTCAATCTACCAATTTATACATATTCTTTGTTCTTGAGAATTGGTAGTTTAAAATACCAAAATCATACCATTTGGATTTACTTTATATTATTTTATTTATTGTAATAGTTGGCAAAACATTGGTTAATTGCCAATCGATTCAAACTTTATAAAATGGTAAATAATAAGGATTTCCTTATAATTGGTTTACATATTTTAATAATTTAGTTAATGTTTATAAATTTATGAATAAAAAATTGTTTTCATATTTATTTCTTTATAAAGTAGTAAATGATAAATATTGCATTAGTTTTAATTGTATTAGTTTTTTTTTTAGAATGTTGTAATTATAAATTTATTCTTTTAAATAAAAAATCTAATAGTGTTTAATATTTTTGTTGTAAATTCTCAAGAACAAAAAAACATGTATAAATTTACTTTTATCAAATGTTCAGGTTTTATTCCAATTCTAATCATCACTTTTTAAAATAAACATTGCCAAGGAGTGAAGGTAGTTAAAATAATAGCAATGTCGAGGGAAGAACTGTCCTTTTGATAGCCCAAAACAATTTGAATATCCAAGTTGGCAAAAAAAGACAATATCAAGTAATATTTTTTCAAACAAACAAAATGTATTATAAATTATTTTTACAAATTTGTTGTTTATTATAAATTATTGAAATGGTTTTTTAAAATTCTAATTGCAAATTTTATAAAATGGTAAATATTAAAAAACATCCTTTTAGTTGGTTTTTATATTTTTTTATAATTTAAGTAAATGTTTATAAATTTATGAATAAAAGTTGTTTTCATATTTATTTCTTTATAAATTAATAAATTATAAATATTGTATTATTTTTTTTCAAATGTTGTAATTATAAAATTATTCTTTTAAATAAACAATGTAATAAATAAATTGTGTTTAATATTTTTGTTGTAAATGTTAACCATGTTCACCATAGTCTATGAATATAGAATACAGCGCAGTAGGTAACCTGTTCAATGAAACAACATTAAAGATTAATACTCACAAGTCAGACACTCTACTAAATCAGACTATATTGCTAATACCACCACCAGCTGTTCTGTAATTCTTCAGTCTTCGATATTAAAGGCTGGCAGTGAATATTCCTGGTAAAAAAACATGGCCGCCTTTATACACGTCGCATTGAATATTTTGAGCCTTCTGATTGGTTAACTCTTCTATTGGTGAACTATAAAATGGGTCATCTCATTTTGGCTGGCACACTAGTACTAAGGTACCCAAAAATTCCAGCAGTAAATTCTCAAAAAAAAAAAAAAAAAACTGTATAAATTCACTGTCATCATATGTTTAGGTTTTATTATAATTCTAATCATTGCTTTTTAAAACAATAAACATTACCAAGGAGTGAAGGTAGTTAAAATAATAGAAGTGACAAGGGAAAAAAACATCCTTTTGACACTGTTTTTTTGGGGTGCAAAGGTCCAAGATTGCTGAATTGTTTTCTTACAGAAATAGGAGTTATCTCCCTTAGTAACATTTGCATTCAATTTTATTTTTTAGGAACCTTTACCAATACTGCTTAATTCATTCTTCATGGGCCAATTTAATTCTTTGGACGATCCCAATGTATTTTTTAATGTTTCTTGCATGTCTGTGTCAAACAAAACATGTACCATTGCCATTGGCAGTTTGTCTGGGACTATCAGATTATTCCAACCTTCAGGTAAGGATTTATCTCCCTTGTAAAATAATATGGTTTGGCTTAGATTTGCATGAAACCAAGTGACATAAAATGCTATAAAGGCAAAACAATATTGGATTTTAAAAAATTAAGTCATGTAGGATTCTGTTTAAATACTAAAAAATAGAATGCCATAAAGCTAACTCCTGTAGTATACTGAATATATGTTCATCTTCTCTGTGCCATGTCCCTTCAGGAGGTGAGCAATCATGGCTCTCTACAACATCCTGTCCTTTATAAAATTAGTAAAGTTTGTTTTTTACTATCTCTTCTAATAAATGTTCTGCCAAAATTCAATTTTTATCCTTCTTCTATTTTTGTGGGTAGCAACGAGGACATTGGTTTTGAAGATAATATAATTAAAACAACTTCCTGGAAAATATTTTTCCATCTCTTTTTTAAAGTTTTTTTTTAATGATTTAAAATCTCACAATTTTGCCAACAATTTTATTTTTAGAATTTCATTTAGAATTCCATAAAATTTATTTTTTGTTCCCTTTTTTCTACATTGGTGATTAATTGTTCTAAATATTTATGATGGTATTAATGATATTTATATTTTTTATTTTGTAATCATTTTATTTCTGTTCTAATAACCATGGATAATAATTAAGATCATTCTTTCTTTTTTTATTTAAATGTTTTCTTTCAGGCATTGTATTCTTTCAATAAATGTTGATCATGTCTGATTTCATTCCTCTACTTTGTAGCTCTTAGTAAAAAGATGTCTTTTGCTATTTCTCCTAATCCCTGTTTTTGCCAACCATTTATAAACAAAAATAATTCTTCTTTTTCTATGCACCAGGGCTTTTTTAAGAAATGTCAGCATTGATGGCTTCCAAATTTCCTATCCTTTTGTAGCTCTTAGTTTGTTTTTAATTTATCTTTTTTCAATCACATCTAATCCTCTGTTCTTAAAAATCATTTATAATTATCAACTTGTTTTTTCTTCTTCTATGTATATTGCTCCCAATAGGACATTGTAAATCGATCTCCACAATTTCCTATTATTTGTAACTCTTAGTAAATGTTATCTTGTTTTGCCAAGCACTTACACAACTTCATTAGGTAGATTATGTGCTGATTTTCTCTTCCTTCTAATCTTTAATATATGCTGTGAATGTTAAGTTTTCTAAGCCCTCTTTCCTCATTATGTGCTCTAGAAATTTTGACTCTTTCAAATGGTAAATGTAAGTGTCCTTTTTGTTTCTATTTTTTCTTAAACATTGTCATCGTCTACATGTCCAATCCGTGGCATTCTCAGCATCCTTCTGTAGAACCACATTTCTGTTGCTTCAAGTTACTTTATCTGTGATGAGATTATCCAGCATTTAATATAAGCAATCATTTCATTGCCACACATCAGCCAAGAATAGATCTGGAGACACCCCCAAACGTTAACTAATATCATTGGAAAATATAGTGTGGAGGAAAAATGAATACAAGGTGCAAATTTCAAATAGGGGAATAATGAATGATGTTGTTTGGAATTTAACAGGTAAAGTAACAAGAATTACATGTATAGTAAAATCATTGGTAATGTATTTCTACAGACAGAAGTCATTGGCAATATATTTGAAAACATTTACTAACAGACTCAAATCTTTTTTTAAAATCTCATCAAAATATCTTTTTGTTTTATGTTAATGGTAATATTAGCCATATCCTTACAAGGAAACATTTGACATTCATTAATCGAGCAGTAAATGCTACTCAAGTAACACTTTTTGATCAATTCAGACTTTAATTGGGTTTTTTTTTAATATCCGTTTTCATCTCTAATGATAATGAATAATATTATCCTTTTTCCTTTTTATATTAAATTCAGTATTCATTTTATTTTTAGCTCATTTTTGTTACTCAAAATAAGACTTTTCTTCAAAACTGACCATTGGGTTGGGAAAAAGTGTAGTATCTGTTCTACTCATCTATAATGATAATGAATAATATTTTTTTTTTCTTTTTAAAAATAAATAAATTATTCATTGATTATTAAGAATGCCACTAAAACTATAAATATTTTTTCTTTAAAATTCTTCACCATTGGGTTTGGATCAAAGTGAAATATCTGTTCTCCTAAATCTCTAATGATTCATTTCAAATTATTAATCTTTTCCTTATAAGGAAACATTTTAGCATTCATTGACCAAGCAATAATAATAAAATGAACTCAAGTAAGGGTTTTTTTAAAACCAATGACCATTGGGTTGGGATCAAAGTGTATATCTGTTCTCCTTTGTCTCTAATGATAATGATAATAAAATTATTTTTCCTTATTTTTTTCCCACATTTAGCATTCATTTAAAAGCAATAAAAAAATTGTTCAAGTAAGGCTTTTCTTCACTTCCTGTACCATTGGGCTGGGATCAAAAAGTAAATTCTGTTTTTTTTCATTTTCTCTAATGATAATGGTAATATTAAAAAATTCCTTATAAATAAACCTTCAAAAATTTCATTAACCAAACAAATCACTTTTCCATGGACCATTTTTTGGATCAAAGTTAAATTGGTTTCCTCATCTCTAATGATAAAATTAGCCTTTTTCTTATAATTTTTCATTTGGCATTCATTGAAATGCATCCAGTATTAAAACTTCATTTTTTAAATCAACTTTTCTGGATTTTTTTTCTTTTTTTAATATTTTTATAAGAAAATAGATTCCTCAAGTCCAGTAATTTTTATTGACTCTTTTCCATATTGATGGAGTTTTTTCCTAACCTTTTTGTTTGAAAAAACAATGTAAAAGTTTAACATCTATTCATTATTTTCTCTTTGGGGTTATATATTGCTATCCAATTTTTTTTGCTGTTGTTAAAAATCCTCATAAATTATTTTCTTTCTGTTATCTGGTACAGTTCTTTGTTTCATTGTATTCTGTAGCTAAATCAGTCTTTTGAAAAAAATGGTCTTTGACCAAGAAATTCAGCATTTTCAATGAAAAAAAAACTATTTTTAATCATTGATTTTAGAACTGGTTATATACAACAGATATGGATTGAATATATATTTGAACAGAATGGGTCTAAAATTTGTACATGATGGCTATAAGAAAGTCTCAATCTGCCAAGGCTATTTAGGAACATAACACAAATTTTCAGGTTAATGTTTTGGTCTTGTAAAGTTTTCAAATGTTTAGTTTTTTCTACACTCAATTGCAGCCTATTCTATGTTCAATTTAATGGAATCAATACTAAATTCATGATAACTGATCCATGCACTGAGATATTCAATGTTTAGTATTTATTAATTTACATCCTAAATTTTTTATGATAGATTCATTTTAAAATTCATCATTGCTTTCATTCCCATTTTTTGTAACCTAGGGAAGGTTACTGAATAGAATAATCACATGAAGGTTGGTAATGAATGATAATACTTAGGACAAGAACAACACATATAAGATTTGCCAGCAGTGCATAGAGAAGTAGTCAACTGCTAGAAGTGAGTCAAGTGAATTCTACAATGGAACTTCAACTGCAGGATATCTACCAACCGCCCTATGCAGTCAGATGTGGCACAAGGCTGAATTCAATGTGGGGTATCCGAGACTGTATAAACCCACGTACATGACGGGGTCAGGTAGCTGTTTCCTGAGACGAGACTCTGCCCTTCAACATAGCCTCATCTGAGGATCATCTCTACCCGAAGGCAGAGAGTTTGACCAGCACAGCTGAAGACGAATCTTCAACTACAAACCAACATACAGTATTTACTACTGCGTTTATGTGAATGAGGGCATACCCGTTATCGTCTCTAGGTATACTACAATACCATTCTGTTTCGGAAAGGTTTACCTTGAGTCCTATTTTTTCAAATGCTTGCCAGAGGATGTTGATTTATGATAGAATGATATGAAGGCATTTTAATTCTGTATTCATTAACATCTCGTTTATTTTTTCTTTTTCTTTTCCAGGACAAAAATCTGATGATGTTTGCCTTTGCACTTGTAAATACATCAACTGTGATTTTCCAAACTATTACGATGGCAAAGTTTTCAACCTTCTCTGGATTGACGACATTTATTTATTTACCACTGGCCCAGAAGGACTCATGGTACACTTTACTATTGCTTTGTTTTGTTTGAATATGAATCTATATTTTCTGGCTTTAACAAGCCATAGAAAACAAATCATTTAATCAATGAAATACTGATTACCTACACAGACATGTCTTTTAGATTTATTTACATTCTCTGGAATATAAATGTATAAAAACTACCCTGGCCACAAAGTGAGGGATAATTTTATATAGTGATTGTAATACAGAAGTGATCCCCCACTTTATATCCACATTATAATTTTTGGCTTTAAATAACCTGCAAAGGGTTGATAAGATAGAGTCACAAAGCACTGCCTGGCGTTTCCAATCAGGCTTGGGCCTCTCCCTGCTCGGTATATTCGGGGGTAGTACACGCAGGCCCTGTACCCCACACATGCATATAAGACAAGAACTTTACGCTCTTATGTTAAAACGAGACCATTTGTGACATCACAACTCGAGTGCCGTTGTTGTGATATCACATTTACTCCAGCCACAGCCTGTAGTAGCCCGTCCCTCTTAAAGCTGGTAATACACACCAGACCAGACTGCAACTGTCAGTGTGCTTGAAAATAAATTTACTAACAGACCCAAAATTTGTTCAAATCTCATGAAAATTAATCCTGCATTCATTATTATCTGATGATTTTATTTTATTTCTATTGCCAGGACAAAGATCTGATAATGTTTGCCTTTGCACCTGTAAATGCATCACCTGTGATTTTTCAAACTATTACAATAGCAAAGTTTTCAACCTTTTCTGGATTGATGACATTTATTTATTTACCACTGGCCCAGAAGGACTCATGGTACACTTTACCATTGTTTTGTTTGGTTTGAATATGAATCTATATTTTCTGGCAAAGGGTTAAGCCAGTGTTTCTCAACCTTTTTAAGCAATGGCACACATAGGGCAATTGAAAATATCATGACACACTTAGCAAAATTTATAATCAAAAGTTACTCAATAATAAAATTTTAAACCAATTTAATAATCTGGATCATAATACACATTCCAAAAGAAATAATAATGATACTGGCCAATGTAATTGTAAGAATTCTGACTAATGCTGATTACTAAACAAATGTTTAACTAACTCTCTGGTTTATCTTAGTGCTATCTCTCCAATAGAGAATCCAATAGTTGAAAAATTCCATATTGGTAGTACTATGAATTCTTTTAAGACTAGGTGGTATCAACATATCTTATCCTTTACCAATACTACTTACAGAAATAATACATCACTTTCTAAATATTTTTTTTAATTTAAAAGATGATAATAATACTCCTAAGATAAAATGGAAAATTTAAATATGGCAAGCACATGTAGATCTTTATATGAACCCTGTTTTCTGTGTTTACAAGAAAAACTTGAAATCATCAGATATTTTGACAAAAATTCATTGTTAAATCAAAGAAGTGAATTAACAGTAAATTGTGAGCATAGTTTACCTTTCACCTTACAATTTAGTTAAACTTCGAAATTTGATAATGCTTTTTCTTATATTATAGTTGTACTGCATTGCACTATGTATGGCTTATCTTTCTATTTGTAAGATTAATTTGGATTTAATATAATTTTGTATTAATTTCCAGGGAGTATTGGTATTTGACATTTTACATTGATTGGTTAGTGTTCATATTATATGAAGGATCTTTATTTAACAGTTGCCTATTAATTTACCAAATAATTCTATATGTTAAAATTATTTACTAGTTTCTTAAAAAAGCTATTTATCAACTACAAAAAAAAAATTTATGTAGGAAACTTACAAAGCATATAATTTGTTCAGCATTTTGGTAATTTACCTCTGCAGCCTCCTTTTATTTCTTAGGAAACTGCATTGTCTGGTTGCATAATTTATGTAACCATATGTATCTGCTTTAGTTTATGTTTGGTTGCCATTAGATGCCAATCGATGGGTCATGACCCATTTATAAAAAAATGACTTTTAATTATTGCTTCTTTGCTTAGTCTAAATTTAACATAGGTCATATTTGATTAGTTGATCACACTACATAGGACTGGACATGTGGCAAGGACGTATGATGATTTTGGTGCCAAAAGTTCTTTTGTTTGTTATAGAGAACTCAATAATGGTCATAGAAATCTTGGTAGAATTTGGCTCATGTATAAAGATAAACTGAAAAACAACCTTTCTTGTGTCAACATTCCATTCAAGAACTTTGAAGAGGTAGATATGAAGAGATCAGAGTATCATTCTAGATGCCATTCAGGAACAATACACCATCAAGAAGTAAGTATCAGTCATCTACGTGAAGTACGAAAGAAAAATAAGACATCTAACATCTGGATACAATACATTCTCCTGTACTGTTTGTAGTCTTTTGTGCAATTCTTGAGCCAGTCTCAAAAGTCATGCCCATTATAAGCATGTAGATAATTCATTTGTGGTCATCAGAACCTCATACATCAAACTCGACAGGAGAGTCCATCATATATATATATATATATATATATTATAATTATTTTTTTTTAAATATGATTTCTTCGCTACATAAGAGTTCTCATGTTTCAAAAACGAGAGCTGAAAGCCTCAACATAATTATTAAAATTAAATTGACTTAAAGTATCAAGCCCTGTTTCATCCTCAAGTGAAAATTTAGGAATAACCAATCTTGAAATTTACCAACTTTATAAGCATGTTCATTTGCAAGATTAATTACTATGGAAACGGCTGGGGTGACTATTTTGATAAGGGGTCTAAGAGATAATTTTTATCCACATATCAGTCACCTTCGGAAAGAGGTCAAGCTGAGATAGGGTGGGGACATCCATTTCAAAGCGAATGATGGCATTCATGTGCATGCATCATCTGGTCAGTCAAAGCAAAAGATTATTTTTGGCAACATAATATGTCGTTGAGAGAATTTTATTTATTTATTTATTTATCCTTTTTTTTTTCCTAAAGGACTGTTTCATACATAAAAGCATCGCACTGAACTACAATTTGTTTTTTTGACGACTTTATAAAGGGTTTTTTCTATCTTGTGATTGCTTTTAAACCTTTTATTAGACTATGAAATTTGATTTTTTTAATGTGAAAATTTGTTGATGTCAGCAGAAAACCATTTGTCTATATATATATATATATATATATATAGACAAAATAGAACTATAAACATTTGTTTTCAAGGATTGTACTGTGGATATTTTTGCAACCATTTTTTTTTTTTTAATTCCAGCATTTTCATGTTTGATTGAACCAATTTCAAGCCACACAAGGTGACATCATTTAAATGGTCAAAATAGAAATATTTTACATGTATTTAAAAAAAAAACAAAAAAAACTTCATTATATGGTAATGCCCCTACTTTTGGCTTGTGCCACATCTAAGCTATGCTTGGAAAATCACTATATATATATATATATATATATATATATATATATATATATTTGCTGTGCACCAACTGATTAGTGGTAGAATCCCCAACTGATGCCAGTTCAGTTGGGTTTCGATCCAAGCTAGACTCAACCGGACGTCTAGCCACACTGATGAGCTGTGATATAGCAAAACAGTCTGTCTGTGGATGACTATATATATATATAGAGAGAGAGAGAGTGAGTGTATCTCAACACTAACAAACATTAAATTCTTACATAGGCCACACATGCGCCACACTTTCACGTAGATTAACTTGTCATTTATCAAAATTTAGTCAAATCTGCACACATATGACAAATTAGCAAAATAATATTAAAATAAGACAAATTTTAGTTGAGAACGCCAGAATGTTATATAGGACACAATGCAAAGAATGACTCCGAATTCTGAAGGCTGTTGTAATAAAAGGACAGCCAACATTAAATAAGGCATGTTTCTCAATAGGGGGAGCATACACTGAAATCTGTTTAAAAATTTTAAAAAATTCATAAAAATTCAGTTTGACCATTTATATGATGTCACTTTTAGCAACTTGAAACTAGTTCCATCAAATGTGAGAATGCTGGAATTAAAAACGGTCGCATAAATATCCACAAAACCACTCTTGAAAATGATTGTAGAAACATTCAAAATGACTTGGGAAGAAAATAATATCAAACAAAAATACATATGAACTTTGGCAAATTTGCCGATAACACGAAACACCTAATTTGGAAATTTGAAAAACGAAATAAAAAAATTGATAGACACAACTTGTCCATATTATTTAACTAAATATATTTGAGAAAACTATTTCTACTGTGTGTGTGTGTATATATATATATATATATATAAAAAGAAATATGTTGTAGTGGTTCCAAATAAAAATATGTATATTAAAAAAGAATGTGCATAAACGTTTTTTGGTTGTAATGTGGATTTGTTGAGAAAAATATTATACTTTGTTTTACATAATTTCATTACACCAGAAAAACGTGTCGTGAAATTATATAAAAACAAGTATAATATTTTTTCTCAATAAATCCACATTACAAAAAAAAACGTTTATTTAAACTATTTTTTTTTTTTAATATATATATATATTTATATATATAAATATATTAAGACATGTCTTATTAAATAATTTAGACAAGTTTTGTCTACTTATTTTTAATAGAATTCACTTGTAATTATGGACAAGTTTCTTAGTATCCTTATTAAATGACAAAAATTACAGTGTTGATTCATATCCATTTTATTCCGAGTACTTTTGACATTAGCACAATGTCATCATCAGGGTCTTGGATTTTCTCAAACAAAAATTGTTGCGTTCTTTATTTTTATAAGATAAAATTGTTGTGTTCATCTGAAAATTAAATTTTTTTACTTGTGAAATAAAAAACACTAAAGTTATGTACTCTGTGTGTGTGTGTATATATGTATGTATGTATGTATATATATATATATACTGAAATCTTGTATATTTTGTAGAGATTGAGCATTTTAAACTCAAAGGGTTCATCACTTGGCCTTGAGCAATTACATCAGTTCATCCTTCCACAGAGTAAGCAAAGATGGGCCACTACAGCTTGCTTCTACCCAGCAGAAGAAGCAGAGAAGGAATCTCTTGTTTGTGGAGATCGAAATGGCTCTGTGCATTTGTATTCTCTTCGACAAGATTCGCAGCAGGTAAGTTAAACGATCTCCTTACTTGGACAAGAATTAAGTGAGGTCAAATAGAATATTCCCTTCAATCAGGGTTTGGCACGCCGGCCTTCTTCGTAAGCTCCAGGGGTATGGGGTTACTGGTCAACTGTTTGATTTGATACAATCATTTCTGTCAAACCGTGAATTGAAGGTCGTTCTCAACGGATTCTCCTCCAGTTCCTATCCCACGAACGCAGGTGTTCCCCAAGGCTCCATCCTTGGCCCCTCTTTTTCATTATTTTCATCAATGACCTTCCTGACGCTATAGATTCCCAAGTTGGCATCTATGCTGACGACACTACAATTTACTCCTGCCTCCAAAACAAATCTAGTATCGGCGACAAAACTAATCTGGCCGTGTATCTTGAAATGGACCTCCAATCGGTTTGTTAACTGGGGCAAGAATTGGCTGGTCAACTTTAACGCCACAAAAACTAAATTACTCTCCATTAACCACCATAGAGATCCTTCCCTGCCCCCCATTAAAATATCTGATATCAACTTCCTGAGAGCAACTCCCTGCGTCTGCTCGGTCTCACGTTGACTGCTGACCTGAGATGGAACAAATACATTGAGTCAATTGCTTCTTCCACCGCGAGGAAAGTTGGCTCTCTGTGCCGCGCCAGGAAATTTTTTCTCCCCTGAATCGATACTTCAAATATACAAAACAACCATTCGCCCTTGCATGGAGTATTGCTGCCATATATGGGCTGGGGCACCTTCTGTTTACCTCGGAGTTCTTGACAAGATCCAGAGACGGATATGTAATCTAATTGGCCCTGATCTGGCGTCTCGTCTGCAGTCACTCTCTCACAGACGCGCCGTCGCCTCTCTCTGTCTTTTTCTACAAATACTTTCATGGTAATTGCTCTGATGAGCTGCTTTCACTGGTTCCCAGACTCCATGAATTCAAGCGCCCTACGAGGCTGGCATCCCGCTCCCACCCTTTCACTGTAGAAACTTTTTAAATGTAGCCGTCTCTTCTACTCCAATAGCTTCATACCTCGCACCTCTCGCCAGTGGAACACCCTTCCCAATTACTGTTTCCCTGAAAGCTATAATCTCCAACTATTCAAATGTAATGTCAATCGACATCTCCAGTTACCTTGATCTACCCACTATCCTTCTCCTCATCCTTTCTTCTATCACTCCTATCTGCTCTCGCTCCAAATCTTCCGCAACTCCCTGCATCCTAGTAGCTTCACGCCTTGCTTGGGGCGTAATGCTTAAAAAAAAAAAAAAAAATTCAGGGAGAACATATCTGTGTTAAATGGTTCTAAGAACTGACTCTTAATTTACATATGTCCAAACTGTTGTAGCATACCTACGGATGATAATGGATATGTCCCCATTCCCATAAATACAGTAGTGAATACTGTATGTTGGTCTGCAGTTGGAAATTCATTGTGGAATTCACTTGTGTTATGATGTTGATTTGGGGTTAGTAGAGACAAAAATAGTAACAAACAATAAAAAATTATTTAATAGGTTGGTAAAAGGTACAGAAATCACCTGATTAGTCAATAACTAGCTCAGAACCGTATTAACTTCTCGGTCTTCTGTTCTGTCTTCCGTCATGTCAATTGACATGCCACTATTTAAAGTCTTTGTTCACATTTTTTAAAGACAAAGTTCATCTTCAAGAGGGGTGGTAGGTTTCCGAAACATTTTCCTCCTTTGAGATTAATTCAAGGAATTAATGTCTTTTTCTTTTTTATCATCTGGACTTAAACGTTCCACCCTAGTTCTTTTTTTTTTGCTTGTCCTTCTTTGGACAACTGTTTCAGGCAATGGTGGAGTTGGTATATCAACAATAAATCATATAATACTTCCATTGGTTCTTCATTTTCTTTACTTATTTCTTCAATGACTGTTTTTCCTTAATTGGTTCAAAATGTCTTTTGTGACGTCCATTTTTTACTTTTTATCATGTATAAGATCTTACCAATTCTTTGAGTTACCAATCCATCTTGCCAAAATTCCTTCCTATTTTTGTAATTTTAAAAAAAAACATCTCAAAAAGATATTTCATATTTTCATGATGTGTTTTGTTCTGGTAACTCTTTTTCTTTCCAGCAGCAGCCTATTGAATACAGAATCTAATTTTTCTAGCAAACATCGGTTCAGCTTTGACATTTTTGATATTAGCAACAACATTGGATTTGAATATTCTGTATATAATTAAAAACTGCTGTATATTACCATCATCTGTATTAGTACCATTTGTTTTTTTAAAAATAAATGAATGTATCAACAAAAAAACACAGCCTGTCCATTTGACCTAAGATGGTAAAGTGAAAAAACAAACAATAAATTCGGTCAATTCCCAGAGTCTTACAAAACGTCTTAAATTCACTTCCTTGTGAATTGAGTTCCATTGTCGGTGACAATTTTTTCTGGTACTCCAAAAAACGTGCAAACAGTTCTGTAAAAAATTCTTCTGTTACAGAAGCAGTTGGTCTTTTGCAATTAAAATTCTCAGGCCACTTGGAATAGCTATCCACAACTATCAAAAAAATTACCATTCATGGGTCCAGCATATCTATGTGGAGTCAAATGTCGAATTCCATGGAACACCTGTTTTATCCATGGTGTGTATTTTACTTCCGGTATTTTTAAATGCCATTTGACACCCTCTACAAGTTTTAACTACCTGTTCAATGTCTTCTGGTGAAGGCAAAGGATATGTGTGGTCTTTTAACGCAATCATTTAGACCATATAACTAAATCGAATTCACACATCCGAATTTTATTATTCTTTTCTTAACATAAAGGATACAACAGGGCAAATAATCTGAAAATTCAATGCATGAAATAACTCCTAAATTTTCAAGCCATTCCAATTCTTTTGTTAATCTGTTCCAAAACACCAAATGGCACATTTCTTTTTAACGATTTGAAAATAAGTTTTACATTTTCCTTCACTTCAAATTTTGTCTTTCGTCTTTTGCAACATCCAAGACCTTCTGAAAATACTTAAAAAAAATTTTATTTTCAGATCTTTCACCAAATTTTCTGTAACCCGATTTTTTACATGGAGAAAAACATTAATTCTATTGCAAAAAAGAATTTATAGGAGTTCCCATAAATTAAAAAAAATATAATCCAATCTGTTCCAAACAAATTTGAAGCATTTTTGTAGCACATACACTTTAGACTTTAGTGTCTTACCAACAAATGAAATATTACAAGAAAATTCACCTTGAAAATGCAATTTTCTTCCAGAAATCCCAAAAGCCACTTTTTTTTTTCTTTTTTAAGCAAAGGTCTGCCTATTTTAATCCATGTTGCTGTATTAATAATGGAAATATCACTTCCAGTATCTAGCTGTAGTTTAACATTTTTTCCATTAATTTTTTACCTGTACGAATTTTCTTTTTCTGCCCCTCCTCAATCTCCTGACGTGACAATACAATATTTCACATTATCTTTTTTTTTATACTTCAATTTTTTTCTTTTTTTTTTACAATGAGTACTTATATGGCCTTTATTGCCACACGAATAGCAATTTTTGTTGTAAAAAAAAATTCACTTTTAAAATGACCACCACCGCATCCAAAGCACGTTGGTTTTTTAACATTTTTTTTTTTAACTATTCCCGTTTTGGTCGAATAGCATGGACACAGGATTTCTTTTCTTCAATTTGCGTATTGTCATGTTTTAAATTTTTTCAATTTTTGACACTCTTCCGTAACCTTCTGCAAAGTGATCTTGGGAATATTCGAGTTACCTTATGTCCTTAAAATTGCTAGAAGTCAAGCCTTGAACGAATATCAAACATTTAAATCAATCAATTGAAAGATCATGTAACATAAAAAAGTTCACACATTCTGTTAACATTTCCAGCATACGTAACAACATCCTCATCATCACGCTTTTTAAATATAAAACATGAAAAAAACAAGTAACAAACAAACTAAAAAATTCGCCAAAAAATACTAGATAAAGTATTAACAGTTTCTTCGAAAGAAATGTCACTAGTTTTTTTCTTGGAAGGACAAAATTCATGATAAATATTATTTTCATCTGTACCCAACTTTTGTAAAAAGTAAACTCACTTTTTGTTCATCAGTCCAACCATCACATTTTTTCAAATATTGTTTCAAATCTTCTGAAATACGCAGGAAATGTTATGCCCTCCTCTGGGTTAAATTTGAACTTTCGTAATAGAATTAGCAATACCTTCGGTCGTGAATGATGAATTTACTGGATTCTTAAGTAAAATCGCTTTCATATAAAACCTTTGTGTCATTTTTAAAAACTTGTAAATCCAATAGTTGTTCCCGAAACAATTTTTGTTGCTCTTGTTGCTGAATTTGACTTTGCACTAGAGTTTTCGTTAATGCAATCAAATCTTCCATTATGACAGAGTATAGATTACACAAAACACTTTTCAAAGACAGTCAAAAAAGGAAAAACACATATATATCCACAATAAGCACAAGTCTTACTTCTTTTTTGGCACGTTGAAATCCCATTTCTTCGTGAAGAACAAAGTTTTTTTTTTTTTTTTTTTTTTTTTCAGAAATAGGAAAAAAAAAATATAGTCTACCTAGAGTTGAAAAATTCTCCACTGTTATGATGTTGATTTGGGGGTTAGTAGTAGAGACAAACGCCAAATAACACGTAACAATAAAAAGGGTTTTAATAGGTTGGTAAAAAGGTACAGAAATCGCCTGAGTAGTCAATAACTAGCTCAGCTAAGAACTTCTTGGTCTATCTGTCTTCCGTCATGTCAACTGACATGCCACTATTTAAAGTCTTTGTTCACAGACGCAGACAAGTTCATCTTCAAGAGGGGTGGTAGGTTTCCAACACAACAACTTGACTCACTTTTAGCAGTTGACTACATCTTATACATGCCACTGGCAAATCTTATGTGTGTTGTTCTTGTCCTAAGTATTATCGTTCATTACCAATTTTCATTTGATTATTATGTTAAATAACCTTCCCTATCTTACAAATACATAATAAAAATCATTGGCCAATGCATTTTCATAGTAAAAATCATTGGCCAATGCATTTTCATAGTAAAAATCATTGGCCAATGCATTTCCATAGTAAAAATCATTTCGAATGCATTTTCATATTAAAAATCATTGGCCAATGCATTTTCATAGTAAAAATCATTTCCAATGCAGTTTCATAGTAAAAATCATTGGCCAATGCATTTCCATAGTAAAAATCATTTCCATTGCATTTTCATAGTGTTGTAGCATACCTACAGGTGATAATGGATATGTCCTCATTCCCATAAATACAGTAGTGAATACTGTATGTTGGTCTGCATTTGGAGATTCAATGTGGAATTCACGTGACTCACTTCTAACAGATGACTACTTCTACACACCACTAGCAAATAAGAGATGTGTTGTTCTTGTCCTAAGTTCTAATTCCAACCTTCATTTGATTATTCTGTTCAGTAACCTTCCCTAGGTTACAACACAAATGCAGACTACCTCTCTGCCCATCCTTAAATTATAACACCCAGCTTGCAACTCTAACAGTATCAGAACTCTCTCTCTCTCTGACGGCTGGTACTTGCCAATGAGTGACCAGGGGCTACTCTCAAGTTTTCATTTATCTATCTATTTTAATTCCTTTTTTTCTGTGGGTTGCCACTTTGAAAATCTTACTTCGTAGACTTTACTGCTGGTCATAAAAACACCAGACACTGCCAGCTTTGATAAAATCATTTACTATTCACCTCTATGTGGATGTCCTGATTCAGTCATGTAGGGGGACTCTGTGTCATATTAGTCTTTTGCTGACTGTAACAATCTACTTTGAGTGGATCTCGAGGCTTATGGCCATATCACATTGAAACACTGGTTCCAATATGATCACCAAAGTTAATCAACATTGAGCCTCGTCAGTATCTAGATGGGTGGCTGCTTAGGAATACCAGGTGCTGTAAGCTTGGATGTGCAGGTGGTGTAATAGTGAATGGCTTGAAATTGTTAAATGGAAAGCAGAGTTCCAATTCCAGTTGGGTTTGTTATATTCACTTACTATCATCTCTTTACCTATCTCAAAATTACGACAAGCGGCTGACAACTCTAACGTACAGCATTGGAACACTCTCTGAAGGACAGCCTGTATCTTGCCAACATGCAGACCAGAACTATCCCCAATTCTAACTTTGACTTTTTATATAAGCAATGTACGGAAATTTCTAATGACCAATTAAGTGCTACCTGATCGTAAAAGATTACATTTATTTATCTATTATTTTATTCCTCTTTGATGTAATGAATATGTATACACCTGGGTTCCCCCTCACAGTAATATGATTGGTTGGTGTCAGCCATAAATACAGACTAATTGACTACACCTACTGTCCTCACCTATTGCCTACAACTACGACGAGGACCAGTCCATTACGGTTACCTGTTAGATTGTCCTACCCAGTTACAGTAGTCAACAACCACTTTGCTACTTCGACAAATATATCCCTTTCCGAGACATATCACTCTTCTGTGTCACAGCCAAGTCCTGATTCTCTACTATGCCTATTTCTAGTTTACAACACATGGCTGGCAAATCTAATAGAAGGTATCAGAAATCTCTGACGGACAGCTAGTACTTGCCAATGTATAACCCAGAACTACCTTCAATCCTGTGTTTATATAAACTTACAAGCAGAAATTTGTAACTTCTGTGTCACTTGATCACAAATATTTTTTACTTGTCTCTGATTTTATTTCTTTTTGGTCAAGTGGGTGGCTGTTTTGAAGATCCTACTTCATAGACTCCACTGCTGGTCATAAAAAAAACACAAAACACTTGAGATTGAGATAGAATCATTTACCATCCTCTTCTATGTCAGTCCTGATCACAGCCAAGTTCTGTCATGTCAATTGCACACAGATAGAAGGCTGTAGAATGGATCAGCCAAATTATAGTGCTAACAAACACAAAGCAAGGAGACCGACAGTCCAAACAATTCTTGGAATGATAATACGTCTCCAAAAGATGGATGTTGTAATTTCTGTTATCCTCCTTGTCCTTCACAAAAGGAAATGATTATTTGTCATCCATTGTGTTTCAGGTAAGCACCCCAACACAAAGCTTCTATCGAATCCATGGAAAATCCGGTGTGACAGATGTACGTAGCCGCAAGGGTTTTTTATTCACAGCAGGAAGAGATGGTCAATACCGACAGTTTAATTCGTCCGAAGATAATTCACTTCAACTGCTAAACAGCAAGAAAGTAAGTGTGAGGTTTATTTTTAATGTTCAAATGTTGCAATGAAGGAAAATTTGTTACATCATGAGGCCTGTTTACATTTTTTTTTTTAACTTTTTTGTATTTTATTATTCTTGTTGTGTTATTGCAATGCTCAGAGCTTTTTACGTTTTTGCAACTATCAAGTAAGCAATATGAATTGAAAATTATTTTTGAAAAAAGCTAGTATGATATTTTTTTTTGATTATTTCATCCCATGCAAGGCAATAAAGCCACTAGGATGCAATGGTTTATTGTGTGTTAGAGAATATGAGAAAAAACTACTATTAAGGAGTGGGGACAATAAAAGAACAAGAATTAAGAAGACAAGATAACATTACATTTAAAATTTTGAAAATCAAAGTTGACTGGAGAACAAGAAGCCAGAAGGGAGTTCCACAAGCGAGAAGTGCAAGTGAAGAAACTGTTAGCATAGAACTTACGGTTACATTTAGCCATTTCAACTGTAAAATGAAACCGTGTTGCCAATCTAGTACTGCACTTAAACTCATAAATTTTAGGTATCATAACAGAAAGTTCTTCAGAACAATTACCATGAAAGTATTTATAGAAAAGGCATAGGGAAGGAATATTATGGTGGTGGGAAAGTGAATGAAGCCAAGATGCCAGGTCAAGACCAATAATACTGCAGATTCTTCTTTGGATTTTATCAATAATCCCCACATATATATCTGGAGCACCAGACCAGATGTGGCAGCAATATTCAAAGCAAGGATGAATGGTAGATTTATAAATATGTAAGATAGATTCTTCTTTGGATTTTATCAAGAATCTCTAAATATATAGCAGAAGCACCAGACCAGATGTGGCAGCAATATTCAAAGCAAGGATGAATGGTAGACTTATAAATATGGAAGATAGATTCTTCTTTGGATTTTATCAAGAATCTCTAAATATATAGCAGAAGCACCAGACCAGATGTGGTAGCAATATTCAAAGCAAGGATGAATGGTAGACTTATAAATATGTAAGATAGATTCTGAAGTGAAAACTTGTCTAACACCACACAGTGAACCAATTTTCTTAGCTGCAGAATTAACAATTGATTCAATATACTCTTTTCACATCACAGCTTAAAACAATAAGCTGAGAAGAATGAATACAATGAATATTAAAAGAAAAATGTTATTTTATTGCAGTCTTAGGGCTATTTACATTTTTACAACTATCAAATAAGCGGTATGAATTTCAAATTATTTTGGAGAATAAAGGAAATTATATTGAAAGAAAAATATAGGCCAAGCAGATTTCATTTATTTTGGGAATTAATGTACTACACACGTTAAAAATACATACAATGGATAAGTATGAGATATAATAGAGAAATAGTCAATGTAACCACTTTTATAAATATTGGATTGTTTAAGTAAATGCAAGTTCATTTTTACTTTTTTTATTTTGCCTTTCCATATATATATATATATATATATATATATATATATATATATATATATATATAATGGTAATTGTCCTGATGAACTTTCCCCTATATTAACTAGATTTCATGGTACTAGATTAGCAGCAAGTGTCTTCATTATGACCTTCTGAACAGGTGGAACTAAAGAATGGAGCTCATCTGAATATTTTCTATACAATATAGTGATAGAATAATGAAAGGCTTGTAATGTTGCTTCTTTGGGAAAGAGGCTGCAGATTGGAGAATAAGTCTTCTTACCAAAAGACTGTGAAAATGTCCTGGCTGCAAAAGGTCTAAACTGGTGGAACTAAAGAATGGAGCTCATCTAAACATTTGACATGAAATAAAAATTGAGTAGCAAAAGGCTTGCAATATTGCTTCTTTGGGAAAGAGGCTACAGATTGGAGAATAAGTCTTCCCTTATAAGATAGTGTAAATGTTCTAGCAGTAAAGGTCTGAACTGGTGGAATTAAAAAATGGGACTCATGACACTATCACCTTAATCAAATACATTCTATTTTATTGATAAATATAAAGACTTGTTGCATAAAACTTTTATTTTAATTTTCAACTTTTTTCTTAGTAAATTTTTAAAGAGGCAAATATACCAACTGCTATAAGGCATTTACTGTAGATGAACTGGTGGTTAAAGCGCTTCCTAAGCATTTTAATCTTAGTGAATTCTTTTTTCTTTTACTTAGAGTAGCATTTTTTATGTCCAAATTGTGATCGGTCTTGTTACGATGAGCAACTAAAGTGTTTAATGTATTGTTTTTTAAAATGTCCCTTTTGTGTTCATATAATCTTTTATTTAAACTTCTTGCACATATGTAGTTACTTTCTCATACACACACACACATATATATATATATATATATATATATATATATATATACATACACACACATATAATAGAAAAATAGTCAATGTAACCACTTTTATAAATATTGGATTGTTTCAATAAATTTAAGTTAATTTTTACTTTTTTTTATTTTGCCTTTTATATATATATATATATATATATTATGAAATGAGAGATTGATGGAAGATTGAAGTTTAAATACAGTATATTCGACCTTGCTAACCGAACGCTCCTTTATTGGGCCAAATTGGTAAAAATATCAAGCTAAATGACAGGTTCAAATCCTGTCGGAGGACGAATATTTTCTATGAAAATTTCTCGGATATTTAGGCCGGTAAATGTTGTTTAATACTGTTTATTATAAACAGAGCATTTACTTAAATATTTTTAAATAAAAAAAAATGTATAAACATAAAAAATGTCTTAAAATATATATATATATATATATATATATATATATATATATATATATATATATATACACATTTTATATAATTTAATAGTTCTGATGAACTTTCCCTATGGTACCTAGATTTCATGAACTTAAGCTCATCTGAGAAATAGAGACAGATGTTGAAGGTGAATATGGCAATAAAGATGAGGACAACAGTCCAAACAATGTAAATAGTGTAAATAGTTACAATACCTCATCTGAGAAATAGAGACAGATGTTGAAGGTGAATATGGCAATAAAGATGAGGACAACAGTCCAAACAATGTAAATAGTGTAAATAGTTACAATACCTCATCTGAGAAATAGAGACAGATGTTGAAGGTGAATATGGCAATAAAGATGAGGACAGCAGTCCAAACAATGTAAATAGTTACAATACTTCATCTGAGAAATAGACAGACCAAGAATTGTTGATTTTATTTTTTATTGGAATGAAGAAATCCCAGCATACATCAGTAGAATATGTCTATAAATTTCAGTTTAACCACTATACCATCTCTCTTTTTATACACTCCTCTTTTCACACTCTCTCTCAATCTGTCTCTCTTTGTCCTCCTCAGTCACTAGCTTTGTTGAGTAATACTCATCTTCAGAACAGGTGTATTATCTCAATAGAGTTGATTCAGGTTTCCCAAAATCTTATGATATTGGAATTGACAGCGAAGTCTAGTGTCGGCCTCTCTATATACAGTGTGTACCGTAATTAAGAATGATTAATTCTCAACTAATGGCCATAGTAACTTCTCTCTCTTTGCGTCCAAGGACAGCTTTGGTATCAGGGCCAGAATAAGAGTTCCTTCAATAAAATGCACAACACTATTGACAACTCTAGCAATTTTTTTTATTAAATATAAAGAAAAACTGGTTAGTAAAATGTCTCCATTATTTACTGAAGAACTCTCTCTACTTGTCAGATGGTGTCTTGAGAAATCTATTAACAAATGCTAACCATTTAATAATGACCAGCCAGTTGACACTCACTCAGTTCTGCTGTCATACATGTGTCTGCACTTTCACTCTAGCCACAGGAATAGCAGGTGTGTTCTTTAGCCATGCCAGGCCACTCCAAGCCAACCTTCTCCTGTGCCCGTCTCTGTGCCGCTCAGTCTGGGAAGTCCTCCTCCCCACCCAAAAAAAGAATTTGACATTGATATATTCAGTTTCTCCACCCCAACTTTCTTAATCTTAGGCAAGATTGTTAATTAACCATATGGTGCTCTCTCTATTTAGAATTTTCCTAGATATCTTTCTGTAAAAAAAATAAAATAAAAAAGATAGTAGTGTTTTGGGGCAGTCAGCATCAACAGAAACAAATCCCAAGCTTGGAAATTAACAAAAAACAGATGTTTTCTTTGTTTAATAGAATTTGGATTATTATTTTCTGTAAGAACACACACATTTGGACAGATAGCATAATATAAACAAACCCTGCAATTTAATTTCTCAGGACCAAAGAAATTTGAACAACACATTAATAATGTCTTATCAGCACAAAGTAGATAGGGTTGGATATCTTGGTTTTCCTTAATTTTACTGAATCTTGTCTAGTTAATTTTTGGTTTGATTCTCCTTGGAACTGTTTTTAAATTCATTTTATTATTTTAAAACATAAATTTTAATTTCTTTTTCATTTTTTTCTCAAACACTCAACCTTCTTCCTTGAGAATTTTAAAAATTATCCAATTAGTAGTACCCGCAAATCATTATCCTGTAATTTCATGCGATTAAACATTTAAGCAGAGTTAATTTCCTCTTTTACACTGGGAGAACTTTTTAACTGTCATGCCCTGAGATTGTAACCTACACTCTGGACAGACAATATCAGAAAAATGACAAGATGTGTAAACTAAATGTTCAGTTCTTAGAGACAGTGGGTGTGGCAGATGTATGTATTGATTGAGTGTTTTTCAAATCCTTTTTTTAATTTTGATCACTTTTTCTATGTGGAATAAGTAACGTTTTATTTTATTTTTTTTTTTTTTTCGTGGACAGGACTACTTGATTGCTCAGGGTATGATTTAATGGCACAGTTGTCTCTAGATTCAACGTTAAGGGGCCACTGAGCTGTTTACCTGCAAGATCAAGACTTCAGATTTGAGGGTCTTCTTAGATTTACTGTTTTCACCCCTCATCCATTTATTTTTATTTATGATTTATCAAGCATCGGCCCCTGATGAGTGTTTCAACATGAAACTCTTGAGTTGGTTGACGAGACGTCATTTGAACTTTTGTTGATTTATTGAATGCTATGAGTCTAGTTACCTATTGAGTGCTTTTTGACAGAAATTCTGCTCACCTGAAAAATGTTAAATTCTTATTGTTTTCACATAGTTTTCCAGTTGTATCATCATTTTTTGTATTTTCTTTTTTTCTGATTTTTATTTTAATTTTTTTTACTGATTTTTTAAAAAAATTTTTTTTTAATTTTTTTTCTGATTTTTTAAATTTTTTTCTGATTTTTTAAATTTTTTTCTGATTTTTTTTAAAAAAAATTTTTTTTCTGATTTTTAAAAAAAAATGGCACATTGGATAAAGGTTTTAGTTTGATCCATTGACAGGACCCAAAGAGTGTGAGTTCAATACCTGGTTAAGGCAGTGGAGAACTTGGAGAGGGGAATTGACAGGAGATAACTGACATCCATTAGACATGGCACATGGAACTAGAACAATCTAACCCAGTGAGCGAAATAAAGGGTTCAGTCCGACATTCCAACCACCTGAAGAAAGCCGGAGCGTACAATGGACAAAACGTGATAATAAGTATGCTGACAAACATGAGGACATTAGTCCGAATAATGCAAATAATGTACATAATACCTCATCTTAGAAATATAGACATACTGAAGGGCCAAAACGTAATAAATATGGTGACAAAGATGAGGACAATAGTCTGAATAATGTAAATAGACAGTTACTTCAATGATGCTAAATACTGTGAGGATTTCAATACACATTGGTGTGTTGCAAAAAATTTCTAGTTATTATATAAGCCAGGTTTTTCGAACCTGGTTGAAAATCACTGAGTAGTAGGCAATTTCAACTGTTGGGTGGGCAACGAACAAATGAACAGAAAATGGTGGGCGATGTAGAGTTTTAAGTATTAAAAAGCTATTTCAATATATCCTACCTGAAAGAAAAAAATTCAAAGAAGGTATACAAAGAGACTGTATTTAAAAAAAAAAAAAAAAAAAAGCAGGAGGCTAAAGCAGAATAACTGGTTCACATTCCTAGATTAGATATAAATATCCCTGCAAACAATAAATATTTTGGTATTGACTAAGTTTCATATCACATTGGTTAATGTTGCAGGTTTAGTGTCTAGACTATAAATCTAGGTCAGGGTTTCCCAACCTTGGCAATATCACCCACCGGCAGACGATTTCAAATGTTGAGTGGGCAAAGAGTAAATGAACAGAAAATGGTGGTCGATTGGAAATTTTGGTTGGCGATATAGGATTTTGAGTATTAAAAAGGTGTTCCAGAATATGCGACCCCAAAAAAAATTATTTAAAGGAGATATGCATAGAACCTGTATCAAAAAATAAAAAAAAAATTATTAACACTCTGGGATTTATATCATATTGGTTAATGTGGCAGGTTTAGTGTGTAGACTATAAATCTAGATCAGAGTTTCCCAACCTTGGCTATATGGCCCACCAGTGGGTGATTTCAACTGTTTGGTGGGTGAAGAGCAACTGAACAGAAATTAGAGGGCGATTAAAAATTTGGATGGGCGATAAAGGATTTTGTTAATCAAAAAGGTATTTCAAAACATGCTACCCCACCAAAAAAATATTCAAAGATATACAAAGAATCTGTATAAAAAAAAAAAAAAAACAATGCAGGAGTCTAAAGGGGAATAACTGGTTCCCATTCCTAAATAAGATATAAATATCTCTGCAAACAACAAATATTTTTGTATTTTCTGTAATTTACCCCCAGCTATGGATTAATTAGTAATCACTAAACCGTTATTATCATCAGAAAGAAAAATTACAATTTAGAAATATTATTTGGCTTTAAATAACCTGAAAAGAGTTGATAAACCGTAGAAAACAGATTAATCAGTCGATCAAGTCCTCTCTTCATCCCATAGGAAAACTGTCCGGTATTTACTGCTATATAAAAGGATTAATATTAAATAATAATAATAACTAATAATAATTAAATAACTAGATGAAATAATATTTTTTTTTTTTTTCGGATATAAATCAGATAAGGGAAGACCAGGAACAACAAAAAATATTTGCTGAATTTTTATTTGTTGTTAGTCGATGTATATACTTCTTAATTTTACAATTATGAACAAAAATCGTTTAAATTTTTGTCAATACTTTCAATGCTAACCCAAAACATAAAAGTAACCTTGACTACAAAAATAAATTATATATATATAGTTTTCAGTAGTCAAATGTGCTTTTTGTTCTAGAATACAGCTGTAGTAGTAGTAGTAGAATATGTTAGTGTTATTTTTGTCTGAATTTCTGGGCTGAGGAGTTACCATTATTTACACTATTTATATTCAGACTATTGTCCTCATCTTTGTTGTTGTTATCAAAACGTTTCGACTATTGTGCCCACCGGCCTTCATCAGGTGTATATTGATCTGTGTAACCTACAGAGAATTAATTTCTGGGATGAGTAGTTATCATTATTTACACTATTTATATTCAGACGATTGTCCTCATCTTTGTTGTTGTTATCAAAACATTTTGGCTGTTGTGCCCTCTGGCCTTCTTCAGGTTTATCTGGGCAAGCTACAAGAATTCTAAAATGAATTCTTTATTTAATCTACAGGAGTAGACTGTTCTTTTTCCAACTTCTCATGTCTATGAGTTCTTGCTCACCTGTTTCTACCTTAAGTGGCTCCTTAGCCTTGTATTTGGTTAACAGGATAAAAAAAACTATTAGAATTTTAAGGCATGAAAGACTAATGTCACTTGTGACTTTCACACATGATAACCATATGATTTTGTTTAAATGGAGTCAACAGAGTTAATCTTAAAAGTTTCCAGTCAAAAAAGGATAATTCTGAAAAAGGATAATATTTTCTTTTTTTTCAGACATACCTTTTCTTTTATTGTTCTGAAATGTTCTATGATTCTTCACAGGTTTTCAAAGGCTTTGAATGGCTTGACCAACTTCATTTTAATGATGAGGATGATCTTCTTATTTTGGGATTCCATTCTGTAAGTTTTTTTTGATTTTCTTTTTACATTTTTTTCTCTGATTTTGTTTTTTGCTGTTTTTTTTTCTAATTTTTTTGATTTATTTTTTTTTCCAATTTTTTTCTGAATTTTTTTAATTTCTATTTTTCTGATTTTTTTTTGTTTTTTTTCTGATTTTTTTTAAATTTCTTTTTTCTGTTTTTTTTTAATTTTTTTTCTGATATTTTTTTTAAAAAAAATTTTTTCCTGATTTTTTAAATTTTTTTTTCTGATTTTTTTTAAAAATTTTTTTTCTGATTTTTTATTTTAATTTTTTTTTCTGATTTTTAAAAAAAAATTTTTTTCTGATTTTTTTTTTTGATTTTTTTTCTAATTACTTTATTTGGATTATTTCTTTTTTTATAACATTTTCTTCAGACTTTTTTTTTTTTTATTCTAATTTCTTTTTTATTTTTTTTCTGATTTCTTTTTTCTATTTTTTTTCATCTAGCCATATATATATATATATATATATATATATATATATATATATAAAATTTCAGATAGTGTATATCTGTAAAAGAACAATGTGAATAAAGACAAAAAGAAAACTTATATGTTTTGTCCTCTGATGGACATTATCAAGGCAAATTTTCTTTGATAAATTCCTTCACAGAACAAAACACATTAGCTAAGAAAAGTTTACCTCTTTTCTCTGTTCATATATATATATATATATATATATATATATATATATATATATATTCATCCCTCTGGGAAGAGTAAATACTTGTTAGATCTGATGTGCTCTAACCAACTGAGCTACAAAGAACTTTTTTCTAATCAAGCAAGGCTGAATTGTGCTTCTAAGCAAAATTCTTCTCATCATACTCTTGAAATTTTCATATCTGCTCAGTTTCATATCCAAACATAAACAAAATAATTTTCTAAAGTAATATTTTTTTTATTTATAAATCCGACAGATTTTATCACTTTAAACCTTATTTTTAGTGGATACCTATATTTTAGCAGATGCTCCATTCACTTAGTCAACAGTATATTTATTTATTTTCATTGATCAGTCTGAATACTCAAGAAATCTTATTAAAGAAAAATATGCCGTTCAAATGTGCATCTGTCTGGGCCGAAGTAAAGCATCATTAGATCCGATATGCTATAACCGACACAACCACAGAGCAGCCATGCCGCTCAAGCAATGTTTGCTTTAAACGAAATCCCTCTTGTCGTAAATTCCTCAAAATTTTCATATCTTCTCAGTTTTGTATCCAAATATAAACAAAGTAATTTTCTAAAGTAATGGGCTTTTTTATTTATCTATCCGACAGATTTTTATACCTTTAAACGTTATTTTTAATGGATACTCATATTTGAGTAGATGTTCCATTTAATTATTAAACAGGATATTTATTTATTTAGATTCAAGAAATCTTATTAAAGAAAAATATACCAATAAATACCAGGTAATATATATATATATATATATATATAAAATAGGAAATAATCAACTGGTTAGGTAAATAATCCAAATTCCTTAGTATTTTAGTTATTATTTTTTAAAAATAGTGCTTATTTGCAAAAGTAAAATAAATATAATTATTTATTTAAAAATTTTTAACTCATGACATTTATTTCTCATGTTTTCAAAACAAGAGCCAAAAAAAACAATATATTGAAGAAAAAATACCTAAATTTTTTTTAAAATATAAATTTATTCAATTAATATATATATATATATATATATATTGGAATATATATATATAAATAAATAATTTATATATATATATATATATATATATATATATTCAAATTAAATTATTTGTAGACAGTCTAGAGACATTCAAATTTATATGAAACATTATAATCTTTATGAACCCCCAAAATAACACTTTCAAAGTAAAACAAAATAACAGCGTCTGTTTCTAGCCTTTTTTTACAAAGAAAATTAGTGGCACCTTCTCTCATAACTTCCTTCTCTCTTTTTCTCTCTTTGGGTTTTTTCTTCTCTACCCCTTCGATATCAATATATAACTTCCGTTAAGTTAACCGTTTCAATGTGTCAATATCTGCTTACTCACTCATGTCTTCTCTCTCCCCACTCACTTCCTCAATTTACATATGTTTAATAATATCCTGTCAAAAATGTAAATTTTTCTTTTCATTTTTTTAAGTTTGGAAGTAAAGTCTGATGATCCGTTTCATTTCTTTAAAAGGGCTGTGGTGAAATAATTTATTACATGGAACCTTAAAGTGGTTTGTTTTTATATCACCAGAGAATTTATTATTCTCTAGATCTTCAAACTTCACTTTCAAGTTTGAAAAAATAAAATTAAAATTTACATATTTGAAGGGCAGTATTAATCTTATATAAGGTGACAGAGAGGGTGATGAGGGATAGTGTGAGAGATATGGTCAAAATTAGGGAGGGAAGAGAGAGTTTTAGAATTTATTTTTATTTTAACAACAATACTTAATATTAATACTGAACATTGAGCTCTCTGGATTTCATCCTCCTTGGAATTATCCATACGGATTACCAAGATTTTCAATAATTAATTACATATGTATATATATATATATATGTGTGTGTGTGTAGATATGTAGAAAAATAGGAAAGAACATGTTAGGTAAATAATCCAGAGTTCTTTAGTATTTTTGTTTTTATTTTTAAAAAACTGTGCTCCATACAGAAGTAGAGCTTAAATTATAATTATTTTTTTTAAAATATGATTCCTTCATTACATAAGAGTTCTCATGTTTCAAAGACGAGAGCCGAAAACCTCAATATAATTATTGAAATTAAATTGAATGAAAGTATCAAGCCATGTATGTTCATTCACAAAATGAATTACTATGGAAATGGCTGGGGCGACCATTTTGATAAGGGGCCTAAGAGTTAATTTTTATCCACATATCAGTCACCTCTGTAAAATGTAATTTTAATAAATTTGTTTATTTCAAGATGCATTCTTTTTTTTATATCATTAAAGTCACTAATCTGTTTTTTTTATTTATGAATGATTCATGTCATATAAATTGAACTGCAAAACATATTTGATATATATATATATATATATATATATATATATATATATATATACACACACACATTTGTTGTTATTGCATATATATATATATATATACACACACACACATTTTTATTTAAAATATTAATGTATATATATATATATATATATATATATATATATATATATATATATATGCATATTTGTTGTTATATATATATATATATATATATATATATATTGCATATTATTTATTGCATATATATATATATATATATATATATATATTACATATCGATTTAACGCATTGAGGATATATATATATATATATATATATATATACACATATTGTTATTGATATATATATATATATATATATATATATATATATATACACATATTGTTTTTATATATATATATATATATTGTTAAAATATATATATAAAAATATACATAAAGATATATAGTCTTAAATAACAACTGCTATATTTATGGGATAAAGTAGGACAATATCAGAGATAGAGACGTATGTAAATATAAAAACAAACATTGAAGATAACACTCATATTAAAATATATATATATATTGTTATTTTCATATATATCGTTATCTCTCTCTCTCTCTATATATATATATATATATATATATATATATATATATATATAGTATATATAGTTTATGCAAATTTAGGTAATCCGTATGGGTAGACCTGAGGAGGATGATATCCAGAGAGCTCAATGTAAAATTCAGAGCAGATATGTTTGAATAAAAGACAGACCACGTTAAGATTCCATGTAATAAGCTATTTCACCATAACCCCTTTAACAGGGTTCTGGATCATCAGACTTTACTTCCAAAAGCTGAAATGAAAAATGAAAAGAAATTCACACGTTTTTTACGGACCTCATCAAGTATACGCAAAGTTAACGAAGTGAGGAAGTGAGGTGGGAGAGAGGATATGAGTGTGTCATATGTATCATTTTAGTTTCCTATTTTAACCCCAGTGTGTCGGCTGGATGTTGCTCAAATTTAACGCGTCTCGTCTCTAGATAAAGGTGGTTAAGAGGTGAGCGATAAGAACTACATTAAAGGAAGACGTTACAACAACCCCAATAAATTACACGACAGGTTTCATTCAAATTCTTAGACGCTGTTAGTTTGCGTTACTTTAACGTGCATATTTTGGAGGTTAAGGTTTGATAAATATCTAAATTTTAAAACAATCTACGAAGAAATTAATTTGAAATTCGGTGGAGTTTTGGGTATTTTCTATGAAGCAGTCGATTGGAAAAATCCATAGACAGAACATTGAAAGAGCAATCCAATTTATATTTAGTACTTTTTTCCACTAAAACTTTTATCTTATAGCTTGTTAGGTTGACATTTATTCGTTTGATTTTTGTTCATTAAGTGAACTCGTGATTGTTTTTTGATTTTTTTGTTCATTAAGTAAACTCGTGGTTGTTTTTTTATATCCAATTATCAACAGTTATTCCCATTTAAAACATTTATTTTCCACATTGGGGTAGTATCTTTTGTCTAGAATTAAAATACTAATCTAAACTTTCCCTTCGTGCAATTTAAAATTCACATCAGAGAAAGCCCTGAATTCATCTTTTAATAACAATTATTTCAATTTGGAAACAGATGTCACAACAAAAATCAGAAGGCCTTTTTTTTTGCAATTTCTTATATGCCAACCTAGTCATTATCTCTCTCTAAATGTTTATAAGAACCTTCTCTCTCTATGGAATATATATATATATAAAAAAAATGGAAATATATATATATATATATATATTATTATCAGAATAAAAATCTTGATAAACTAAGGATATATATATATATATATATATATATATATATATATATATATATATATTGTTGTACAGCAATAAAAATTATATATATATATATATATATATATATATATATAAACTAGAAACATACATACTGCCCTTTGAAACCCTCTTTTTTTTTTTTCCTCCTTTTATATATGCCATGTTCACCTCCACCAATGGGGCCAAGTGGCATGATAGTCATCCATCCAACAACAAAAGACAAGACTGGAAGAGTCATTATATGTTACCAGTAGCTCTCCCTAACCCTAAGCAGTTTGAATTAATTTACATTGTTTTGTATTAATCCCATTTCAAGGAGGAGCTAAAAGAAATTTGGGGACACTTATATTTTACATTTAACCAAAAAACAATGATATTTTTGTTTCTCTTTTTTTTATTAAATGAAAGGCCAATTTCTTGTCTGGAGGACAAAAAAATCAAAGAAACTTTTACAAAATCTCCTAATCGTAAAAACAAATGGCTGGGGATGTAAAAAGAGACAAGACTCTGCCCGTTTTGCTTATATCAAAGCTAGGGGCGTGGTTATTTGTGAGGCTCAAATACCATCAAACCAAAAAGTGCTCAAGGTAAGATATGCTATTTTGTTTGTTTTTTTTCTGTGCCTGATTGTTCAAATTATTTTTCCAAGTTATCCATATTAAACCTAATTTAGTTTTTCCTCTAATCTGAGAATGTTAACATACATGGAAAGGTGAATATTTAGTAAAAAAAAAAAATTTCAACTCTAAATTGCGGATACCTTGTTGTAAAGCTAGTATTGCTCACTTATATTCATAATGTAACAAGAGGTTAGTGAATGCAAAAGAAAAACATTATTAAGGAGCAAGAACAATAAAAGTAGAGGAATCAAGAAGACAGTAGATGACAGTTGACATTGCATTTAAATTTTTGAAAATCAAAGTCTCGTGGAAAGCATGGAGCCGGAAGAGGGTTCCACATGCAAGAAATAAACTGTCCGCATAGAAATTACAGTTACATCTAGCCAATTCAACTTTAAATTGATGAAAACCAGTTATTTATCCTTTCTTTTTCATTTGTTCAATCCATAAAGTTTAGGTACTCAGGAAGAAAGTAATATTTATTTTTGTTGAACACAAATAATGTGTCAAAAAAATGGGCATAAAAAGGCCATTTCATCTGTCTTATAATTAAAACTTAAAAACCTACCACAATCACTGAAAAAATTATACCACAGTATTCCTTAATATGTAAAACAACAAATTCTAAATACATATAAATATTAGGTGTTTTGGTGAATGTTATTTTCTCAATCAACACAATACCTCAGATTTTCTAATAATTTCACTTTTACCTTTATATATATATAATTTGTATATATATATATATATAATAAAAATAACTTTAAAATGAAACCCCAATGAATATTGAAAATGGTTCATAAATTTTTATTCAAATAAAACTAAACAAAATATTGTTAGTAATACATGACCCTCTCCAACAAATTTAATTGTATGCAGTTGAAATTTCAATTAACAGAATGAAAAGAAAGTTCATCAGAACAATTACCATGAAAGTATTTATCCAAAAGTCCTGACTTAACCAATATTTTTTGGTCGGGTTAGGGAAAGTGACTGAAGTGGGATGCCATATCAAGACCAATAACATTTGGAAGAACTTTTTGGAAGGGTAAAGATTCTCTGAATATATAACATACTACAAGACCATTGTGGCAGAAATTATTGAAAGATTCCTGGACAGTTCATGAAAGTTAACTGCATTGCTTTATCAAAAAATAAAACAAAACCTCATGTGAAATAGATTGTAGGTCCATGTCTTCTAAAAGTTCCATCATAAATGGTTTAATAAATGATTTTTTTAAGAAAAATTTATATTTGAATTTTCTAATATGGCTATAAAAAAAATTTCAAAATATAATTTTATATTTTTGCTAAAGTTTATATACATTGTGGCAATGGAAGTTTTGCATCGAGTTTCATGTCTTATCATTATGTTTCAAATATTTCTGCTGCATCCTGTATTTTCTGGTAAGGATTATATCTAAGCTATTGGTAGAAATAAGAAAATGAAATATCTAGTTTTGTTTATTTCCATAGGAACTGGAAACTGGGCAAAATATTACTCTCCCTATGGAAAATCAATGTAGAAAAACAATTTCATCTGAACACATTGCATGAAATTTGTCTATAACCCCAGGGAAAGTTATGGCATCAGGGTCATGAAATAGTTATAGATTCCTTAGGGGGGCAGACTTCATAAATCTTGTGCCTGGCTGTCACAGTATGAAAAAGTGATGATCTGTTAATGAAAATTTTGAAATCATGTTGTTAGGCATAGAAGTTGCCATTTTGTCTGTGCTGATTTAGTAGCGTATGCTTGTTGTGGAAATTATTAAATACAGCAGTAAATAAATGCTTTTATTTTTTACTGCATTTCTAATTGCAGAAATATTATAAAGGGCAAAAACATTCATAACCAAAATCTGGAAACTGAGCAGAATTAATTTTAATATGGAAAAATTCAAACACAAAAACCATTTATTAGATTGATTGGAATAAATAAAACTGGATACTATATCCCCATTTTTTGTTGTGAAGGATCAAGGTCATGCCATCAGAAATGATTAAATTCTAAAGAAATTGTTCATAAATTGCATCATGTCAAATGGAATAGTTTGTAAATCTTTTCGGTTGGACATTCATAAATGCAAGATGCCCAGCTGTTAAAGAGAAATAAAAAATGTCCAACAGAAGATGCTATAATTTATCATCCTAAAAGAAAATTATTAGATCACAAAGAAATTGTAAAAAAAAAGAAATTTCCAAGAAGTGTCTGTCGTATTCAATAAAATGATGCATGAAAGAAGGATTGCTGCCTAAATAGACAAATTTTAAATATTATCTATCTATCTATCTATCTATCTATCTATATATATATATATATATATATATATATATATATATTTGTTTGAATAAAAGACAGACCACGTTAAGATTCCATGTAATAAACTATTTCACCATAACCCCTTTAACAGGGTTCTGGATCATCAGACTTTACTTCCAAAATTCTGAAATGGAAAGTGAAAACAAACAGATAGTTTTTACGGACCTCATCAAGTCTACATAAAATTAACGAAGTGAATGTGAGGTGGGAGAGAGGATATGGGTGTGTCATATGTATTATTTTAGTTTCCTATTTTAAATTTGTTGTTAGATGTTGCTCAAATTTAACGCTTCTTTAATCTCTAATATATAGATGGCTAAGGGTGAATGATAAGAACGACATTAAAGGAAGAATTTAACAACCCCATTAAATTACGACATCTCATTCAAATATATTTAAAAGTAAAACAGACCACTTTAAGGTATTTTATAATAATTTTATTTCACATAGTCCTTTTAAAATGATGCGGATCATCAGGTTCTAATTCACTTCCAACAATGAAATGAAACAAAAATTTAAATATTAGCTCTGGATTTACATTGAGCTCTCAGGATTTTGTATCCTCCTTGGGATTACTTTTACAGATTACCAAGTTCTTCATAACTTATATATATATATATTGTCAGATTTGCACTCGAATAAAACCAAAGTTCTACAAACCCAAACCGGGAACCCTAGCAAAAGCTGCACAGCCATTTGAAAGGCTGAGCATGGACTTCAAAGGCTCTCTTCCATTTAAATCCCAAAACAAATATCTACTAACTGTTGCTGAGGAATATGTATGATTCCCTTTTGTTTTCATTTAAAAGCAAACAACAGTCATACACTGCCTTTGTATATATTTCTGTTCTCAATATTTCTTCATCTTCATTCATATATATAGCAGGACCTCTTTTATGTCCAATCAATTCTAAGAAGATTCCTATTTTCTGTTTCTTCAGGTTACCGTAAGCTGGAAACAAAAAAGAAAATCCTCAAGGAAATGGACAAAATTGAGATTTTAAAAAGCATAATATAGAAGATCATATCTGGCTATATTTCTGAATATCGAACCATCTGAGATTCCTACTCCGATGCAGAGATCTACAACTTCAGGCTTGGCACCAAGACTTCTCATCAATTCAAGGAGAGCTCGTCTGGTTGCAGAAAAAGCAGGACACACCCTTGTCCAAGAGAGAATCCAGTACAATCGTTGGATAAAACAGAGACTACAAGCTCATATCTCCCAGAGGCTCGAGGATTTCTTCAACAGAATTACCAATGAAGATCAGAGAAGGATCCAAAATGACCTGGATAAATCCTTCAGACATGAATTCAATGTTAAATTAAACAGATTGAAAGATCAGAAGGTGATGCATAAGGTCCATCACCCACCAGTGAAAGCAGTAATCAACATCAGCCAATATCAGCTGAGTGCCTCTGAGGAGTCAGTATTGAATAAGGGTCTCAACTTTGCCACAACCATCAGGCGGGTGCCATACTTGGACATTATTGCCAGAGTCAAGGAGGTGGCCTTGAACTTCTCTCAGGCTCAGGTGGATGAACTGAGATGGAAGGTGAGACAGACCTTGGAGAAGGCCAAGCCGCCCAGGTCAAACATCATGAAACTGGAGAGGCTGGCGATCGGATCCCTACAGAGGGATGGAAGATCATACAGTTAACATTTGAAAACCAAAACCTTCCAATTAGACAATGGGAAGTAATAACTGAGGTTCTGTATGCTATAAGAACACTATTGTGTACAAAAACTAATGCTACACTTCACAAAAGGTTTTTAAAATTTCTAAGGTGAAATTCGTCCAGGATCTCCCCCTCTTCATGGCTCTCACAGCCACGTATTGTTTTACTTAGAAACTATGTTCGACAAAGCAAGTATGATTCTCCTGTGAGTAAGTACCTACTCAAAGCAAACCTATTCTATGCATGCATCTAGCACCTCAATGTGAGACAATCGAATGCTTCCCTCAGAGATTTGACCCCTGCTGGCAAGTTATCACACCAGAGAGAGGACAATTAGTGAAGAGAAAAGACAATAAAAATTTAGTGGAGAGAAAGGACAATAAAAGAACAGAATTCATGAAGACAGATGATGGCAATTGATGTTGCATTTAAATTTTGAAGATCGTATGTGGCAAGAAACCAGAAGAGAGTTCCAAAAGCAAGAAGTGTGTGAAAGTATATTATTAAAATAGAACTTATAGTTACATAGCTAGTTCAAAAGTAAAACGCTTAAACCTAGTTGACAATCTAGTAGTCAACTTATCAGAATAACTGAGATATTTATGAAAAAAGAATTGTGAAGCCACATCATGGCAGTAGGAAAATGACTGAAGTCCAGATGCCAGGATGTTTCTGAATGAGTATCCTTGTCTTTATTTTTTTTATCACAATATTTAAGTAAACATACTCTGCAATTTTAACATTAACTATTTTATGAATATATTTGCTAAGGAAATAAAATTCTCTGAATTTTCTTTTTTCAGCCAAGCCATCATGGCCGACAACAGACAAATGTTAAACACCTTTTCTCCCGGATCGATTCAAAAGGTAATAATACATCATTTACAAAATGAGGTATCTGCTATTGCACAACAGTTAAGTCTTTTTCCATATAATTCAAAAATATGAGTTTGATTCTCACAAAGTGCTTTATAACTATGATCTTGTGTCAGCATAAGCTATTGTATGTCTTACCATAAAACCTTTCCTGTCAATGTGGCTTAGAATATGCAGAGAGGGTCACCTTCCAACATAGGGTATAAACCACACCTATACTTACTTTTTTACCAAAATGGACATAATATCTCACTTTTTGACTCAAATGTAAATGAGACCTGATGTTTAATTGTTTGATTCAAGTGTAAACCAGACCTGATGTTTAATTGTTTGATTCAAGCGTAAACCAGACCTGATGTTTAATTGTTTGATTCAAGCGTAAACCAGACCTGATGTTTAATTGTTTGATTCAAGTGTAAACCAGACCTGATGTTTAATTGTTTGATTCAAGAAACAAACCAGACCTCATGTTTAATTGTTTGATTCAAGCGTAAACCAGACCTGATGTTTAATTGTTTGATTCAAGTGTAAACCAGACCTGATGTTTGTTTGATTCAAGTGTAAACCAGACCTGATGTTTAATTGTTTGATTCAAGTGTAAACCAGACCTGATGTTTAATTGTTTCTTCAAGTGTAAACCAGACCTAATGTGTAACTGTTTCTTCAAGTGTATACCAGACCTGATGTCTAACTTTTTGACTTTAGTGTAAGCTAGATATATATTTATCTATTAATTGCAATTTTTGTTCTATAAAATTTAAATAGTCTGACATATGCGGAAGTGTCATTTATTACCTAACCTAAGCTAATCACCATGGAGTAATGCTTGGGTACCTCATCATAGGGTAATGGTTAACAAGCTAGTTTAGCAGACCATTAATATTGTACATTGTTTGATCTTTATTGGGTTCCTCATAATTATGGCCTTTTGCCTTGCATTTATGTAATGGTTAATGAGCTAGTCTAGTAGATTATTATTATTATTAAATAATGAATTTGATCCTCACTGGATCTTAGCAAATACCCATCCCCCCACCAAATATTTTAATTATTTTCTGTCTGTGACAATATTGTGACTGATTCAATTAGTCAAATTCCATAAATAATAACAAACTAACTTTTTGACCTTGATGCTGAAAAAAAAAACGATTCATCAAAGGACGATTGTTCCCTTGGCATCACTATTAGTGTAGAGGGAGAGGGATGCGCTCCGCCCGGTTTACTTGCCCATGGCATGCTATGCATGAATGAATACCTCTGGCTTTCAACTCAAAATGTGGAGAGAACTGGTTAGATGCTCAGCTGTACAGCAGAAACCCTTAGACCACATGCGGTCATGAGACTGCTGAATGATGAAACTGATAGTATTTCTTCTTCTTCTATGTGCCCTGTCCCTTCAGGACGTTGGCGATTATGGCTCTCCACACTTTCCGGTCCTTTGTAGCTTTTAATAAATTTTGTCTTTTTGTTATCTCTCCTAAACCCTATTCTTCCATCCATTTACACAAGCTCACTTTTCTTATTCTTCTATCTGCCGTGTCCCTTCAAGACATTGAGGATCATGGCTCTCCACAATTTCCTGTCCTTTGTTGCTCTTAGTAAATCTTTTTGCTATCTCTCCTAAAACCTATTCTGCCAACCATTTACACAAGCTCACTTTTCTTCTTTTTCTTCTTCTATGTGCTATGATCCATCAGGACGTTGGTGATTGTGGCTCTCCACAATTTCCTTTCCTTTATAGCACTTAGTAAATTTTGTCTTTTTGTTATCTCTCCTAAACCCTATTCTGCCATTCATTTACCGAAGCTCACTTTTTTCTTCTGCTATGTGCTGTGTATCTTCAGGAGATTGGGGATCATGGCTCTCCACAATTTCCTGTCCTTTGTTGCTCTGAGTAAATCTTTTTGCTATCTCTCTTAAACCCTATTCTGCCAACCATTTACACAAGCTCACTTTTCTTCTTTTTCTTCTTCTATGTGCTGTGATCCTTCAGGACGTTGGTGATTGTGGCTCTCCACAATTTCCTTTCCTTTATAGCACTTAGTAAATTTTGTCTTTTTGCTATCTCTCCTAAACACTATTCTGCCATCCATTTACCGAAGCTCACTTTTTTCTTCTGCTATGTGCTGTGTATCTTCAGGACATTGGGGATCATGGCTCTCCACAATTTCCTGTCCTTTGATGCTCTGAGTAAATCTTTTTGCTATCTCTCTTAAACCCTATTCTGCCATCCATTTACACAAGCTCACTTTTCTTTTTCTATGTGCTGTGTCCTTTCAGGACATTGAGAATCATGGCTCTCCACAATTTCCTGTCCTTTGTTGCTCTTAGTAAATTTTATCTTTCCTAAACCCTATTCTGTGATCCATTTACTAAAGCTCACTAAGTATGTTATATATTGTTTTCCTCTCTCTCTTGTCACCAAGCCCTCTTTCTTCATCATGTGCCCTAGAAATTTTAACTATCACTTGTTTCTTAATACATTGCTTAGACTTTGGAAGGCATCTTTCATGTTCCCAATATACCTTTGGAATTCAGTGTTGCATTTTTCATCCTCTGTTAAAATTCTTGCCAGATATTTAAATTGTTGTACTTGTTCAATTTTGGTATCCCCAATTTGTAATTTGCATGTTGGGCTGTCCCTTTTGCTAACAACCATACATTGTATTTTCTTGCAGTTAAGGTTTAGTCCTTTCTTCTTGATTTCCTTCACTCCCTCAACATATAGGAGGAATGATATTTCACAAGATTTCAGTACTATTTTCTTTGTTTTTAATGATATTTTTTGTTTCTTAATACTTTGCTTAGCTTTTGGAAGGCATCTTTCGCTATCCCAATGTGCCTTCAAATTTCAGTGTCACACTTTCCATCCTCTATTAAAACACTCGCCAAATATTTAAATTGTTGTATGTGCTTGATTTTGGTATCCCCAATTTGTAATTTGCATTTTGGGCAGTCCCTTTTGCTAACAACCATACATTCCATCTTCTTGCAATTGATTTTTAACACAATACGTGATAAAAATTGAAATATTAATAGTAATTTGTAGCTATGGTAAACTAGCATCATCTCTCCTAAACCCTGTTCTGTCATCCATTTTCTCAAGCTTACTAGGTAGGTTATGTGTTGTTTACCCCTGTCCCGCTTGACTTAAATCTGTATTGTAAGTATTAAATTTTCCAAGCCCTCTTTCCTCATTACGTTTCCTAGAAATGTTAACTATCTCTTCCTTAGTCTAAGTATAAGCATCTTTTTTGTTTCCATTTTTTCCTAAAACTTTCTTGTTACTCATATTTTTCAGTCCATAGTATTCTCAGCATCCTTCTGTAGAACCACATTTCTGTTGCCCCAAATCTCTTCTTCATCTGTGAGGTGATTGTCCAGCATTTACTGTGATATAGGAGGACTGATATTGCATAACAGTTCAGTACTTTTTTCTTTGTTTTTGTTGTTTCAAGTCTCTTCTTCATCTTTGAGGAGATTGTCCAGTATTCACTGCCATATAGAAGGACTGATATTATGTAACAGTTTAGGACTCTTTTCTTTGTTTCTGCTGTTTCAAGTCTCTTTTTCATCTGTGAGGAGATTGTCCAGCATTCACTGCCATATAGGAGTACTTATATTGCGCGACAGTTCAATACTCTTTTCATTGTTTCTGTTGCCCCAAATCTCTTCTTCATCTGTGAGGAGATTGTCCAGTATTCACTGCCATATAGAAGGACTTATATTACATAACAGTTCAGTACTCTTTTCTGCGTTTCAAACAAGATTTTCCTGTTTCTTAATACTTTGCATAGCTTTTGAAAGGCATCTTTTTCTATCCCAATGCACCTTAGGAGTTCAGTGTTGCACTTTCCGTCTTCTGTTAATGTGTGTTCTGACATTGGTAATCTTTTCAATTGATTCTTGTTTTCAGGTCAAATACACCATGTGTGCATCACATGCAGTGATGACACCACAGTCCAAGTGGTTGAGCTTTCAAATGGTATCCTTTCATTAAAAAAACCAAATAGTTACTAGAAGATCAGGAGTTCAATCTCTGCAATAAGCATCAACGACTTTGAGTTTAAAATAACGTTTAAAATCTCAATCCTTCTGTCTGCCATTATAACATCCGTAATTAAATGTACAAAGAAATAGTATTTATAATTATGTTTTTATTATTTTTTTTTTACTAACGTTCACACAATACAGGGCCCAAGAGTAACTCAAGGTAGAGGGTTACTGTGTGGTGTTGTATTAGCATAAGAAAGGGAAAGAAGTGAAGCTCTTGCAGCTATACAGAAAAGATAACGGCTAACTCTAGTCGTGAAGAGGTTATGGTTTAATTAGTGAATAACATTTCCAAGTTCAATCAGAAATGGTCAAAGTATAGGGTAGAAATAGAGATTAAAAGGAATTGGAAACCTATTCCTAAACGGAGAACAAGGGATAAACTGCTACTCCTGTTCAAAAGACTGGGAAGGAGTGTGAACCAAACAATAGACAAATCTATCTCCTCCTATTGAGATAGAAGAAAAAATAAATAATCATACTTATTATAAAACCCAGGTTGTGTGTGTGTGTATCCTACATTTTTCAACCGATTTCAACAAAACTTCACAGGACTACGTAAAATTACCTTGCAGTGGTTCTGACAGCACCAAAAATTGGAAAAACACAATTGTTTTTGCACGAAATCAATTTGAAAACACAATTAAGAGGCATCACTGTCACCAGAATGAAAGAGGGACAACTCATATTGAGTTATACTTATTATAAAACCCAGGTTGTTTGTGTGTGTGTGTGTCTGTGTTCCTTTATATATGGGATCAGATTTCCTACATTTTTCAACCGATTTCAACAAAACTTCACTTTTTTTTTCAGGTAGTGTTTCTTATTGTCTTGCACACTTTTTTTTTTTATTTTTACATTCAGAATGCTTTAAAAAATTCCATTTACAAGACAATTGTTTATAATAAAATTCTATTCAATCGGTAAACTCATAAGGATTGAAAACAATGTTTTTGTTTGAGTTTGACCAATTCGTTGAAAATAAAAACAAACAAAAAAAACTAATTAAGACATGTGTGTCCGTCAACCTTAAACAATAATCTTTGTCAATTTTATTTTTCAGTCTTTATGATGGTCGATACTTAATCTATCTCTTACTGTTACATCCCTGGGCAACGCCGGGCTCTATTGCTAGCTAGAGAATAAAATTTCAGAGTTCACTTGGAAATGTCAGAAGTATCAAGTTGATGTAGGACTTAGAAGGAACCTGAGACCCAATCCTAAACAGGAAACAAGGGATAAACTTCTATGCCTGTTCAAAAGACCTGAAAGAAAAAAATGTCCATATATATATATATATATATATATATATATATATATATAACCTAACCTAAACAAAATAAACTATGAAATCTCCACAAATATCCTTAAATGCCTATAATTTATAACAGAAGGCAGTTTATACCAACGGTTTCCCATACTTAATACTTCTCATTTTTCACTCTTGCGTGGTCATGTGTGACGTCATAAGCTGCGACGCGATTTTCGCTTCCGCGTCTCGTATATATGAGTTTGTCGTTACTTGGAAATTTTTCATGCAGCAAGGGCGGACTATCATTGTTGTTTCATCCATGTGTTGTTTGATTTATTGAATTTGTCATCTTTGATAATGGCTTATGTTAGCTGAAAACTTAGATTGGATTTAAACATGTATCAATACGGTGTTTTCCTTTCGTCTTTCAATGATAATGTGATTAAGCTTATCAGACAATATGAAAGGAACTTACTTAAAATAAATAGACAAAACTTGTCTATATTATTTAATGAAACATGCATTAATGAAAAATTGCTGTCTAAATATACACAATATATATATATATATATATATATATAAGCTGTTGTCTTTGCCATCCTTTTGTACGGCTCAGTCGTGGACTCCATGCAGGTACCATATACGCCAGCTGGTTGTTTTCCATAAAAGCTGTCTGTGTGCAATCTGTGGAGTTAAGATTCAAGATAGGACATCTAACGTAGACCTGTTTAACAGGTGTAATATTGGAGGAATCGAGTCTTTTCGCATACAGTCTCAGTTAGAGTGGACTAGTCATGTCTTGAGAATGTCTGATGACAAGATACCCAAGATCCTAATGTACAGCCAATTAGATCAGGGCTATGAGAATGTAGGACGCCTATGGCTAAGATACAAAGACAAGCCGAAGAGCAACTTGTCAGCTGTCAAGATACCACATAACACCCTTGAGCACTTAACATTGGAGCAGGTAGAATGGAGATCAATGTGTTTTAGTGAACTCAGCAGTTTACAATCTGCTTGTTTGAATCATCTTCAAGAAGTGAGAGCAAGATCTAAAAGGTCAGCCAATCTAAAAATGATCTCATCTCACAATCCTCACTCTTGCTTCATATGTGGCCTCCTTTGTAAATTACTAGTTGGTCTTAGAACATAATATTATAATTATTGTTTTTAAAGAATATGTTATCCAGAAATTATGTTTCGAAAGTGAAACTCAAATCTTAAATTAAACTTAAAAAATTAAACTTAAAATTTAAAGCTCAGTTCCATTTTCAAGAGATGCTGAGAATAACTCAGCATCGCTTGAAAATGGAACTGAGCTTTAAATTTTGAGTTTAATTTTTTTTTAAGTTTAACTTAAGATTTGAATTTCACTTTTGAAACAGCAATTTCTGTGTTACGATGGATACATATTCTATAAAAACTTAAATAAATATATATATATATATATATATATATATATATATATATATAATATTTCATATAGGGGAGCTACAGACAGTCTTTAGATATATATATTTTTTTTTACATTGATGTTCACCCTGTACAAGGCCTGCGAGCCACTTGAGGTAGAAGGTTACAGAGTAAGAGGCACAGTTTATGGGGATATATGAAGCAGATATTGATTAACCCTAGACTTAAACAGGTTAAGATTGTAATGATTGGTAATTGATTTCACAAACCACTGCTTTGTATGAAATCATTATTAGATACATGAAATAAGTATTGGAGTAAAGGTCTGTAAACAAAAAACAAAAAAACATCCTTTAGCTACACCCTAAATAATTTTCTCCCAAAAGATGTTTGCTATACCCTCTTCTATTTCAAGACTTTAATAACATTCCGCAATGCACAAGCTTTTTTTATTTATTTCTGCTACATGGTTTTAAAAATTCCTTAGCCGTTTTCCATAGACCATGCCAAGAAGATGGATCTGAAGGTTCTTTTAGTGCTGCCAGGACATATATCCAGTGTCCAAACAATCACTTGCCTGAAAACTCTTACTCCACCATGTTGGGAAAATGGACAGAGTTATCTGCTCTTCTCTGCCGGTGGGCGGGCACAATTCAATTGTTGTCGACTCACGTTTCTGGCACCAAACAACCAGGATGATGACCAAACGACAGTTTGTATTCCTGAGCAGCTATGTAGAGAATTTTTGGTGAAACGTATTCCCAAGCATTGGGCAACAAAAAACCTTACAGTCGATCCTGAAACAAGAATTATGGACGTGACAGCATTTCATGGTCAAAGTGTTGACCCAAATTTTCCCCAGAATATTGTTTTTGTTGGAATGGCTTGTTCTGATGGTTCTGTACGGTAAGTATATTCTCTTCAATGTTTTTTTTTTCATATCTACTCATCCCCTACTCTTGTTTAAAAAACTTGAAAAGAGTGTCAACAGGATGATAGGCAAAGCTATTACTCCAATTGAGAAAAATAAATAGTATATAAAATTTCAGTGTTTAGTCAGAGGTGTTAGTAGTATAGAGCTGAAGCAGACTTTAGGAGGAATCAAGAACCGAATCCAAAACAGGTAACAAGAGACAAAACTTTACTCCTTCAAAAGACTGGATATATATTCTTTAAAATTTAAATATATATATATATATATATATATATATATATATATATATATATAATATTTCATATAGGGGAGTTACAGATAGTCTTTAGATATATTTTTTTTACAATGATGTTCATTATTTACAGTCAAACTAATATCTTCATCTTTGTTGTTATTATCACAACATTTCAGCTTTCTGGGATAGGGAATTATTATTTACATCATTTACAGGCTAATATCCTCATCTTTGTTGTTATTATCACAACGTTTTGGCTTTCTGGGATGAGGAATTACAATTATTTCCATTATTTACAGTCAGACTAATATCCTCATCTTTGTTGTTATTACATTTTCGGCTTTCTGGGATGAGGAATTATCATTATTTCCATTATTTACAGTCAGACTAATATCCTCATCTTTGTTGTTATTATCACAACGTTTTGGCTTTCTGGGATGAGGAATTACAATTATTTCCATTATTTACAGTCAGACTAATATCCTCATCTTTGTTGTTATTACATTTTCGGCTTTCTGGGATGAGGAATTATCATTATTTCCATTATTTACAGTCAGACTAATATCCTCATCTTTGTTGTTATTACATTTTCGGCTTTCTGGGATGAGGAATTATCATTATTTCCATTATTTACAGTCAGACTAATATCCTCATCTTTGTTGTTATTACATTTTCGGCTTTCTGGGATGAGGAATTATCATTATTTCCATTATTTACAGTCAGACTAATATCCTCATCTTTGTTGTTATTACATTTTCGGCTTTCTGGGATGAGGAATTATCATTATTTCCATTATTTACAGTCAGACTAATATCCTCATCTTTGTTGTTATTACATTTTCTGCTTTCTGGGATGAGGAATTATCATTATTTCCATTATTTACAGTCAGACTAATATCCTCATCTTTGTTGTTATTACATTTTCGGCTTTCTGGGATGAGGAATTATCATTATTTCCATTATTTACAGTCAGACTAATATCCTCATCTTTGTTGTTATTAGCACAAAGTTTTGGCTTTCTGGGATAAGAAATTATCATTATTATCATCACAACATTTTGGTTTTCTGAGATGAGGAATTATCATTATTTACATTATTTCCAGTCAGACTAATATCCTCATCTTTGTTGTTATTATCACACCATTTCAGCTTTCTGGGATAAGGAATTTTTATTTACATCATTTACAGGCTAATATCCTCATCTTTGTTGTTATTATCACATTTTGGCATTCTGGGATGAGGAATTATCATTATTTACAGTCAGACCATTATCCTCATCTTTGTTGTTATTATCACGTTTTGGCTTTCTGTGGGGAGGAATTATCATTATTTACATTATTTACAGTCAGACTAATATCCTCATCTTTGTTGCTGCAATCATAACATTTCGGCCGTTGTGCACTCTAGCCTACTTCAGGTGTCTGTGGATCCAGGTAGCCGCTACAAAATTTTAAACTGAACTGTTTATTCAATCTATCGGAATAGATTGATCACATTTCACTGTCTATGTCTAGGAATATTTTGTTTTGGTTAATTGTTCAATTAATCGTCTTGAGCATATCTGTACTACCCAGCCCAGTGATTGAACTCAAAATTATGCCACCACATTTACTGACCAACAAGTTAATCTTCTTGGCCATCAGTTAGAACTTTAGGGCTTTAGATCTAATGTTCTTCCCACCTCTGCCAAAACTTTAGCCTTTATGTCAAGCTTGGCTGCCTTTGCCACCACATTTTTTCTTATTTTTAGTTTTACATTACTTTTACATTACTTTTGCAATATCAATCTTTTTTGTTGTGCCCCATTGTTATTACTTGTTCTTTCTTTTTTAATTAAATATAAGACATCTTTTTTTTTTTTACTTTTTTTTTTTTGGCTTTTTCTTACGTACAGGGTTTTCAGTTTTAATGAAGAATCTCGCAAGCTCCATTGTCTCTGGCAGTCTTCTGCATTTAGCAACTGTGTCTTACAAGTCACCCACTTTGTCCATTCTTCAAACAACACTGTTCCTTGCAGGATATTCCTCTTATCTGCTGCCACAGATGGCTATATATACTTCTGGGAAATCACTTCCATTTGCCGTTCACAACTTGTAACCGATTCCAGAGAGATTCCTTGTGCTCCTGAGAATGAGACCTTTAATGATTTTGCCACTGTTGAAGCTGATTCCTTAGAGATTCTTGGAAATGCATCCACTGACAACGCGGAGGAATCCCATGACAGGAAAAGAGTGGGAACTCTTTTAACAAATGGATTGAGCTCCGATTGTAAGGAAGAATCAGATTTCAATATTTCGGCAAACATGTCTGGAATAAATAGTTTGCATATCAAGCAATTTCCAGGTTAGTACTTTGGTGTTATGAACTTGAGCAGAGATGGTGCATTTTTTCCCAAAGCTCCAACAAATATGTTCTAAATAATGTCTTCATTATCTCTGAGAATATTAGGCCTAAATCCTGATATATATTTTCATTTTCTCTTTCTACTATCTTTTTCCAAAACGAACAAGCTTTTTCATATTTGTGTTTGACTATTTTGTAATTTGCCTTGCTTCTAGTGTTTTTGTTTGCCTAACATTTGATATATTTAAAAAAAAAAAATGTTAATTGTTTGGGAGCTTCTAAAATAATTAACATATATATAATGTTTATATTTACGTATATTACATATATGTAATGTTAACTTTGTATTTTCTACTACCATTCCTTTTTTATTTTAATTGTTTGACAGCTTCTAAAATAAGTAACATATATAATGTTTATATTTACGTATATTACATATATGTAATGTTAACTTTGAATTTTCTACTGGCATTCCTTTTTTATTTTAATTGTTAGTTTAAGTATTAGTACTATCAAAAAAGCTGTAAAAATGATTTTATTGTATGTTAAATAATGGCTTTTTAATATCCAAGTATTTTTAGGCTTCACATAAAGCCAAATTTACACAATTATTAGAAAACATTTTCACTAATTTTCATCTAGCTAAGTTACACACACACTGCACTCTACTCAAATTAAATTTTAAAAGGAACACAAATATATCAGACGGATAGCCATTAAGTGAATCTTGTTTACCACAGATGTTTTCAACTATGTCCGTGCGTTTCCCTTATAAAGGCTTTAAGATCCTGGACAGTAGCACACCAACAGAAAACAGAGAGAGACTGCATGCACACATGGCTGACTGCCCATCCAACCATTAGGCTTTGTAAATGACCTCTTGTAAACACAGTAAATGAATGGACCTGATCAAAGCGACAAGCACGACTTGATAACTACCAAGCAGTCAGCCAGGATTAAGGGCTCTTCTTTTTTCATACCTTGTACACCACACATTGAGCCCGCTACTCATATATGTAATATTAACTTAGTATTTTCTACTGGTATTCAGTTTTATCAATTGATAGTTTAAGTGTTAGTACTGTCAAAAAGGCAGTATAAATGATTTTATTGCATGTTAAATAATGTCTTCATAATCTCCAAGTATTTTTAAGCTTCACATAGAGATAACTTAAAGCCAAATTTACACAATTATTAGAAAACATATCTCTAACTACACACCAATTTTTGTCTAGCTAAGTTATACACACTCTGCACTCAACTCAAAACAAATTTTAAAAGAAACACGAATATGTCAAACTGCTAGCCATTATTGAGGTGAATCTCATTTGCCACAAATACTTTCAACTACGTCTGCACATTTCCCTTATATAGGTTATAGGAACCCAGACAGCAGCACAGTAGCATTAACTGGAGAGGGACTGCACGCACAAACAGCTGACTGCCCGTCTGACCATTAGGCTTTGTAACCGACCTCATGTAAACACAGTAAATGAACGGACCCTATCAACGTGACAAGAACAAATTGATAGATACCAAGCAGTCAGCCGGGGTTAAGAATAAAATCTGGTTTACTGATAGAAATTGTTCTGTTTTTCCTTTATGGGTAACAATTTAACTGAAGGGTACTTTTTAAGCCACAATTGTTTGACCTGAAGAAGCTGCAACCTGTCGACAAACCTGATGTCTGGTCTGAGGGCTTGGAACATCTAATACAAGATAGATTGAAGGCAAGAGACACAGAGGAAAGCAACACATAACATACTTCATGAGCTTATAGCAGTAGGTGCTGTTAGAAATTGTTCTGTTTTTTCCTTGTGGGTAACGATCTGGCCAAAGGGTACTTTTTAAGCCACAGGTGTTTGACTGGGAGAAGCTACACCCTGTTGACAACCCTAGTGTTTGGTCTGAACTGCAACACATCATTTTGACATTGTGTTTTTTTTTTGTTTTTCTTCATTTTTAGATGGCAGCTTAATTTTGGGCTCTGGTGGTGATGACAATGCATTTTTTGTGACGTCTTTTTTACTTTCTCCGCCTGATTCAACAAAAGAAGATAAACTGATCAATTGTCAATTTTCACTCAAAAATCAATTTGGACATGCAGCACAAATTACAGGTAAGCTAAATCAATATCTATGTGGGTCATAGTTTTAAAAAAATCACTGACACAGCATTTCTTTAAGGGAGTGCTTAACATTTCTCGGCCTGACTTCATGCATCTACTAAATTGTTGGCTTATGGCCATATCACATTGAAACACTGGTTCTTCATGCAGGGTGGTAGCACCTATTAGGGTCCCAGGTATGGGCAAATAGTTAACCCCGAAACTGAGACTACATCCACATCCTGGGTATGACGATAAACTACGTCCAACAGCAAGGCCTCTGATCAGGAGGCTTTGAAGAGCATGGAACCACCTCTTAATTGCTGGTGTTCCCAGGTCCACCCTGACCTGGGGTGGTAGCACCTGTTAGGGTCCCAGCTATGGGCACATAGTTAACCCAGAAACTGAGTTAAAAAGCATTATAAAAGTGTAAAAATAGGTTTTAATACCAGAAATACTTTGTAAAAAATTATTACCAGAAATAAATTTAAAAAAAAAAAAAATGTGTTACCAGCAATGTTTTTGAAAAAAACTATTGCCAGCAATACGTTTTTGAAAAAATAATATTACCAGCTATAGGTTTTTGGGAAAATAATATTACCAGCTATATATTTTTGGAAAAATAATATTACTAGCTATAGGTTTTTGGAAAAATAATATTACCAGCTATACATTTATGAGGAAAAAAAAATATTAACAGAAATAGATTTTTGACAAAACAAAAATATTACCAGAAGAAAAAAAAAAAAGGTTGTCGGCATTAAATAACCCATTGAGGTTGATATGCCGTAAAACAAAATAAACCAAACCAATCTAAACCAAAGAATACATATTCTATTCATACGAATCTATCCTAAAAATGTTGTCGACATTAAATAACACATTGAGGTTGATATGCCATAAAACAAAATAAACCAAACCAATCTAAACCAAAGACTACATATTTTATTCATACGAATCTATTCTAAAAATGTTGTCGGCAGTAAATAACCCATTGAGGTGTTGATATGCCGTAAAACAAACCAAACCAAAACTGTTCTTGATACATAAAAATTTATATAAGTGCCACAGCATAAGGAAGGTCTAAAGAAAGCTAATCTAAAAAAATTCATTTAAAAAATTTTCCCTTTTTTTTTTTTTTTTTTTTTTTTTAAAATATAAAAAAGTGAGTGGACTAGTTTATTTAACCTTTAGCATGCTGGAGGCATAAATTATCGCTGTAGAATTCTCCCCCTTTGCACATTGTATATGCATTGTCAAGTCGAGAGGGTTGCTATAAATAAGCACTTGTCAACTATTATTATTTCCGGAAATAACAGTTGAGAAGTGTTTATTTATAGCAAACCATATTTGTGACAGAATGCACCTAAAATGCAAAGGGGGGGTAAATGGAAGATCAAATTTTGGGCTCCACTTCCCAGTGCTTAATGGTTAAGTAGAGCCAAATTTTCTTCTTTCTTCTCAGTCACTCAATGTTGAGCACTTTTCATATTCTACAGGTATTCACATCATAAACAAAGAATTTATTGTCACGTCTTCAATTGATCAGCGGATCTGTTTATGGCATTTGCAGTTATGTGATGCAGAGAAAAAGGTAATCAAAATTTTTTTTTTTTCTAATTCTTCTATAGTGGAGTTGTCCAACAATTTGAACAGACAGGCTTATAGCCACATCACTTAAAACATTGGTCCCTGTCTGATCACCATAGTTAAGCAACATCGAGCCTGGTCAGTACATAGATGAGTGACTGCATGGAAATACCAGGTCCTGTAGGTTTGGATGTGCAGGTGGTGTAATGGATAATGACACGGAATTAGAAATGAAAGAGCTGAGTTCCAATTCCAGTTGAGTTTATATTCATTTACACATAAATACCCTTGGGAAAGGTATGACTCCACCTCTTCTCCCCCCAGCTATGGGTTAATTAGTAAAACTTGTATCAGTAAATTATTATTATCTACCCCACCCCCAAATTCTTCCGATCTAGAAATATTTTCTGGCTTTAAATAACCTGCAAAGGGTTGATAAGCCATAGAAAATCAATCAATGAAATATCTTTTAGATTTATTTACATTCTCTGGAATAGAAATGTATAGAAACTATAGTGGCCATAAAATGAGGGATCCGTTTATATATTGATTGTAATATAGAATTGATCCCCCACTTTGTAAACATAGTTTCTGGATATAAATAACCTGCAAAGGGTTGATAAGCAGTAAAAAATGAACCAATCAATCAATCAAATACTGATTAGCTACACAGGCATGTCTTTTAGATTTATTTACATTCTCTGGAATATAAATGGATAGAAATTATCGTGGCCACGAAGTGAAGGATCAATTTATATATTGATTGTAATATAGAATTGACCCCCCACTTTATAATCACATCATAGCTTCTTGTTTGTTTGTCGTGTCCTGAGTATGACAATAAACTACATCTGGCAGCAATGCCTCTGATTGGGAGGTTTTGAGGGTGGGTATGGTTGAAGGCATACAGTTGCATTCAAAACATTTAGATTTCAGCATTAAATAACCCATAGAGGTTGATATGCTGCTAAAAAAAAATCAACCATTTATCAAATTCTAACTAGGTATGAATTCACCTCTTCTCCCCAGCTATGGGTTAATTATTAAGACTTTTAGCACTAAACCATTATTATCTCCCCCCCCAAAAAAAAAATTCTTACAATCCAAAAATATTTTCTGGCTTTAAATAACCTGCAAAGGGTTGATAAATCTTAAAAAATGAGTTAGTTAATTAATCAATCTGATAACGGACATTTTTAAATAAACATTTTTGCAACAAATTGAGTTTTGGACTCTTCTTAAATAGACTGATCAATTTCTAAAAAATGGCGAAAACTTTTTCGGGGAATAATTTTAGTAAATTATTATTCATTAGACGTTTATCAAGCTATGATATTTGTTAGAATTAAAAAATATTGATTTATTTTTTTTATTGATTTAGGAGGGAGGCTCCTGTTCCTAATACTGATACAGTGTAAAATTGATCCTTGACATTTTACAGAGTTATCTGGACTTATTTGTTATTTACAGATGTCAAGTTTGAAACTGTCCTGACATTAATGATATCTGCATATTATTTTTTTTTAATTTTGTGAATTTTTTTATTTTTATTTTTTAGCTTTTTTTTTTTTTTTTTGTTAACTTGTTTTCTTGAGTTGGGTGGAGTCTTTTTCAAGACACCTGCACAAACTTTGGAAGGTCATAACTATTTATCTTCTTTTTTTAATATGCTAATATTCACTCAATACAAGGCTGACTAGACACCTTTGCCCATTAAGAAGTTCAATTTCCGTTTGTGTTGGTGTAAACAAAAAGTATGGCAATAGCTATGTATGTTCAACAAAGGAATGGAAGAGTTATAATAATTTTAAAACAGAAGGCGTTTATATTTTTGCACCCTCAAAAAAAGAATTCAGTGGCAGGGAGAATAATTCTAGAAAAAAAATTAGCATGGTAAAAGTTAATGTGACTTATAGAAGCAGACCCAGAAAAAATCATTTACGGCCCACTCGACTATGTGAATGTTCTGAAGCAATCAAACAGTGACACAAGAGAAAAGACAATACAAAACATGTTTTCAATATACTGGGGCGCAGTATTTTTATTAAGTATAGAATAGTCCATTATTATTATTATGGGAAAGATCCCATAACAATTGGTTCGGTTTTTTACTGCTTATCAACCCTTTGCAGATTATTTAAATCCAGAAACTGTATTTACAAAGTGGGGGATCAATTCTATACTACAATCAATATATAAACGGATCCCTCACTTTGTGACCCTTATAGTTTCTATACATTTCTATTCCAGAGAATGTAAATAAATCTAAAAGATATTTCATTGATACATCGTCATTTGGCATCATCTAGGGGTGGAGATAAGTGATACTTGGGTTATCTTTGTTGTTACTTCTGTCTTCTCATGACAAGCAGAACAGATCTTCCCTTCAGCCAACAAGAACTCTTCTGCCCATCTCTAACTGTGACTCTCCAGATCTCAACAGATGATGACTTTTGACTGCAAATATCTCTGACTGCCCCCTCTGTCTGTATCTACATTGTAATGGATGGCTTTTAAATCTGGTCCCTATGACCACTTTGAACTATCACTGGCCATTCTAGAATACGGCCTATGACTGGAATTTCCTACCTTCCATCTGAATGGCACTTGATCCCAAAAACTTTCATTCATTTATTTATTTACTTTATTTCATTTTCCTTCTAACTGCAGACAAAGAGTGGTTACTTTGAAGCTCTCACATCTTGATTTTAATGTGGGTTGTCATAAAACCAGGATAAATCATTTACAGCCTACTTGACTATGTGGATGTTTTAAACCAATCAAGCAGAGATCAATTGTGTGACACAAGTTTGCAATTTAATCCATATGAATAAGTTTGACTTTCTGGAAAAGAAATTATTCTGTTTCTAGCCATAATAGTTTATTTGGCCATTTCTGCTTGAAAGATATCAGGAGACAATTAAACATAAAACATAATATAAACATAACAGTGGACACTAAGGCCATCACCTAGCAGTAACAGCCTTTTTCATGCTTAAATCTATTCTTCAGGCCATTACATCTAAGCATGGAACAGACTGTTTCTGTTTGGTGTTGACCTCACTGTCCACTTTTACATATGTTCTATCTTGGATATTGAGCACTTTTACCTATAAATATAACATGCATACCTTAAAACTATATTTTTATCATAAAACATAACATTTATATGTTGTTTGTTTTTAATGGTTTATTCAGGGTTTTTTTTATTGATTTTATTGGGGGGGGTAATAGTTTATACAGGGTTTTTTAATGGTTTATTCATTTTTTTAAACCATAAATTATCAGAAAAAATATTATTTCCTTGTTTTGTTTGTTGAAGTAAAATTAGTCCTTATTTATTCACCGACTAAACAACTTTGCTCAATGATGACGTTCAATTTCCATTTGGGTCAGTGTAAACAAAAACTGGGAAAGGTTCAATTTAGTTTATGATAAGCAGAAAATGTAACACATAACTTGTTTATTAGCAGTTTATTCAAAATTTTTTTTAACCATAAATAATTTGCCTTAATAATAAGTTCCAAGAAAGGAAAGTTTTTACGCAATCTTATTTGTACATTTTGCATCCTGTTAATGTCTTGTCAATAAATGTAAATTTAATTCAGGTTTTATGACAGTATTTTGAGTTTTTTTTTTTTTTGTTAGGTTTGCATCTTTTGAATAATTGGAATAAGAGATGTGATGTCCTTTTTTCTCTCATTCTCCCTGAAAAAAAAATATTTTAAAAATTAATATTAATATCTGACTGAATTTTGTTGGCTTTTCAAACCTGGGTAGAAGGTTTCTCTTATTAGAAAATTCATGTTTTTTTTCTGCAATCTTCTTTTCTGTCTGAAATGCTTTAAATCTATCTTCATAAATTTGTTTATAATAAGCAGAAAATATAATGCATATCTGTTGTTTGCTAACGGCTCAGTCAAGATTCTTCTAAACAAATTGACAGGAAAAAAAAAAAAATTAAAAGAAAAAACTTGTAGTTCAAACGAAAGATTTATTTTATTTATTTATTTCGTCGGAAATACAAGTTTTTTTTTTTTTTAATTATGCACCTATCAATGGAGACAAGCATCTTAACTTTGAGGCAAAAAAATTGTTTTGCTTCATTTGTTAAAGTAAAATAATTATTTACATTACTTACATGCAGACTATAGCCCTGATTTTTGTGATTGTCATCACATTTCAGCAGTTGTGCTTTTTACATTAGTCGGACTATTGCCCTCATCTTTGTCGCCATATTTGTCACAACGTTTCGGCCGTTGTATGCTCCGGCCTTCTTCAGGTGGTTGGGATTTCGAACTGAACCCTTTATTTCGATCACTGGGGTAGACCGTTCTAGTTCCACGTGCCATGTTTGATGGATGTCAGTTATCAGTTATCTCCTGCTAATTTTCCCTCTGAAAGTTCTCCACTGCCTTAACCAGGTATTGAACTCACCTTCTTTGGGTCTGTCACTGGATCTAACCAACGCCTTTATCCACTGTGCCATGTGTCCTTGAGGACATTATATTCAAAAATATAGACAGACTCAGCAGTTGTGCTTGTCAGCCATCATCAGGTGTGTGCTGATTCAGGTAACCCTTTATTTATTCTATAGAGATAGACTGTTCCCATTCCACTACTTACGTCTGGGGATATCTCATCTAGGTTTTTATTTAGTATTACTCCATTATTTCTCACTTCATTTCGATTGAGTTGAATTGCTGTAATATTCTCCAATGACTTGACGGTGTTAATCTTGAGTGTTGCTACTCCTTAATTACAAAGATTTCTTAGCTGCGTATTTGAAAACCAGAATCAGTAAACTTTTAAATTCCAAAAAAATATATCTTTCTTTTATTTCTCTTCACTCCAGTACGTGTGCGTCCTGTGCAGATATGTTGAAGTAGCTGATTTATCCAGCATGGCAGTTTGGATATACAGGTAAGCAATAATGTTTCTTTTCTTTATAATTTTTGTAAAGTCTGATAAGAATATGAGACTAAATTTTTCATCTGCAAAAAACAGTTTATTCATTTATGGTGTCAGTCAAATTAATATTGCCTACAGAAGGTAAATGGTTTTCAGGAACCTTCTTCAAGCATTGCTTATTTTGTATAGCATGCTTATTCTTTTCCAAATAATTTCGGCTGCGGCACAAATGTTCATTGAATCAATAATTCCTCCACTTATTTTATAAATTGAAAAATTCCCAATAGCTTGACTGTCCCCAGGCGGCACTTCTATTTGATCCAAAATGTATATGTGTTATAGTTTCATTTACTTATCAAACATAGATTTTAAGCTATCATCTATTGATAGAAAATTGGGAGGTTTCTTTGTTTTTTCCTTAAAGAATGAGCAGGTCTTTTCATGTAGGGCCTGCAAATTTTGTATATAATCATTTCATTTACTTATCAAACATAGATTTTAAGCTATCATCTATTGATAGATAATTGGGAGTTTTTTTTTATCTCTTCAATAAAGAATGACCAGACGTTTTCCTGTAAAGCCTGCAAATTTGTGTAGGTATAATATAAAGTGTTTTTTGTATTATAGGTTGCTATATGGCCTCTATCTTGAAAGGAAAAGGTTAAAACATTGCAAGCTTGTCTCTACTCTTGTATATCAAATACTAGTACTAGAACTTAAAATTAAATTATTTCATTCATCAGGTCACAGTACTTATTTGGTATTGCACACTTTTTCAAATAATTATCCCTGCAGTATAAATGTTCAAGAGACCAAAAGCATCTATGTCCGGGAGGGAACCAAATTATTTTCCAGATGGCAAACCCTCTCTCACAGACCGGATGTGGCATACCCTCTCACTGCTCTGTCGCCATCTGCTCAGATGAACTGCATTCTTTGGTTTTTGCCAATTCTAACCTTCACAGCTAGGATCCACCATGTTACTCGTATTGAAGCAAACTACCTACATTCCCACCGTATTCCATTAGAGAGAAGTAAGTTTCAATTGATCAGCTTCTGCTGCTCTGGGGAATCAACTCCCAAGATGATGTTTTCTTGATTACTACAATCTTAAAATGTTCAAGTCCAGGGTTAACTGTTATTTTCCCCACCTATCCATATAATTTACCCCTTAATGTAACCATCTACCTTGAGTGGCCACCAGCTCTTGTACAGGATGGATGTCACTGTAAAAAAAAAAAAAATAGGAATTTCCCTGCTCATTTCCTTAAAAAAAAAAAAAATTAATGTAAAATTTCCACCAGCATGACTATATTCATTTGGTAGAATAGAATAAATGGACAATAGTCTCATTAGCTTAAAATCTGTGTTTGCCAAGCTATCTAGATATCAATCTGTTTATATCTATCCGTCTATTTCGGGTTGTTTATATATATCTATCCATCTCAGTCTGTTCATATCTATCTATTTCGGGTTGTTTATATATATCTGTCTATATCTGGTTGTTTATATCTGTCTATCCATCTTGGTCTGTTCATATCTGTCTATCTATCCATCTATCTCGGTCTGTTCATATCTATCTATTTATCTTGGTCTGTTTATTTCTATCCGTCTATCTCGAGTTGCTTATATCTATCTATCCAGCTCAGTCTGTTCATATCTGTCTATCTATAAATCCCCGTCTGTTCATATCTATCTATCTATCTATAAATGTCAGTCTTTTTAGGAATGGATTTTTCATTTATTACTCCAACATATTTTCATTTATTACTCAAGCGTTATGTTTTAATGGATGCCCATATTCAAGTTGATGCTCTGTTTTTATTTCTCAAACAGTATATTTATTTGTTTGCATCTACCAGCTTGATTATTCAAGAAATGTTGTTAGAAAAATATGTGCCTTCTGGCAATATTTGAACTCGCATCCCCTAGAGGAAACTATCATTAGATCTGGCATGCCTTCAGGCTTCCTTTGACCAGGACGTTTTTTATGGCTGAGATTTTTTTATCACTTTAATCTGTCCAGATTGATAAGAATCCATTCTAAAAAAATTCTCTTAACATTTAGATAAAAAATTTTGAGAGATCTATGATGGGAGAAATTTTACATGAAAGCACAAAGTTGACTTTGTCTGATTGACGGCTTTTCCTGATGGTAAGGCGTGTCGGGCAAAATGGTGAATGAGTGATGCAGGTTTTATTGCTAATGAAGAGCACAAATTTTTCTTTAATAAGATTTCTTGAACTTTTAAGCCGGTAGGTGAAAATAAAAAAATAAATAAATATACAGTTTCATAAATATACAGAGCATATACTCAAAAATGAGTATCCATTAAAAAAAAAAACAAAAAAAACATTTAAAGTGATATAGTAAAAACATTGGAAGGTTAGCCACTTCTCATGTGTACTGGCACGATTAAATTATTTTCTTCAGTTTTTCTCTCTAGCAGCCAATAGCAGTGACTATGTAGAAAAAAAAAACATTGTTTTGTAGATAAAAAACTTGCTCTAATCCTGTGATGTTATTTTGCTCCCTGTATCTATCATGGTTTCTGTGTAAAACAAATAGAAGACATTATTTTTAGAGTATAGCTAATGATGATGGCCATGTAGAAAAAAAACATTGTTTTGTAGCTGAAAACTTGCTCTAATCCATCAGTGTTATTTTGCTCTCTGTATCTGTCATGGTTTCTGTGTAAAACAAATAGAAGGCATTATTTTTGGAGTATAGCTAATGATGATGGCCATGTAGAAAAAAAAACAAAAAAAACATAGTTTTGTAGCTGAAAACTTGCTCTAACCCAGCGGTGTTATTTTGCTCCCTCTATTTGTCATAGTTTCCATGGAAATAAATAATAATATTTTTGGAGTATTCTTTATAGCTATTTGCTCACTGTTGCTTAACCATTTGTTACTTATGTACCAAACACAAGTGTTTTGTTTCACCTGTTTAAAAAAAATTATTTTCTTCAATTTATATCAAAATTCCCAGAGGAATGTTAATTTGAACTGGCACACTTAATTTAGGAGTTGAAAATTTCCACCTGGCATGACGATTCCAGACAACAATTGTATTCCTTACCAAAAAAAAAAAACGTAATCCATTGCTGAAATTCAAACAAAAGCAATCTTGCAAAGCATACCTTTTTTTCTGGCACAAGGCTATGGGAAACAAACTTTTAAAATGCTGGCTTTTAATTCTTAAAGAGTGATAACTGGCACTAGTTAAAAGTATGCAACTATCTCAGCGACTATGCAAGCCACAACAAGCTTAGCTGACAGCCAAATCAGCATTGTATGTCCTGACATTTGTCTTTATTTGAACACAGCCTTGAGAATTAAGATTTTGGAATCAAATAGATAATGAAAAAGAAACAATGGCAAAGCAAGCCAAGTTTGACAGCAAGGCCTTAGCAGCAGTTAAAAAAATTAGTGGCAGCAAAGGTGGTCAAGTGTGACAGCAGCAGGCAAGTAATAGGAACATTAGGTTTAAGACTCCAAGTTCTAACATCAGGATTGTCCAACAGTATAATGGCCTAGAAGATTAAAGTGTTGGTTCATAAATTTGTTGGTATAGTTATTGAGTTCAATCCCTGGGTTGGGTAGTACAGACTTAGACTCGGCTGAAAACAGGTTAAGCAATAACTGATTAGTACTAAAAAGACACAGGCAGAGAAAACAACTTTCTCATGATTCTCCTAACAAGGACACATCTGCGGTGTTCATAACATTTTTATCATAAACATGGACAGCAGAACAGGAACAATGTAACCCCATAAATTAAATAAAGGGTTCTATTCAAAATTCCCTGAAGGTTACCTCAATCAGCAGACACCTGAAGGCTGGAGGGTACGATGTTCAAAACATCGTGATAGCAACAAGAAACATGAAGAATGTAAATAAGAAATAGAAAATGTGTTCTTAATATTCAATTTACCGTAACTTCTCAGAAATAATATGCATTTTTTTTTTTTACTATAAATTACAGGTGGTAGTACAAGTGCATATTATAAATAGGTTTAAACAAAAATATTTTTTCGTTATTGATTTATAATAATAAATACGTATTTGTTGTTCTAAAATAAGAAAGATATTATCCCAATTTTCATTTTAAATCCAACAATAATAATTGTAAGATTTTTTTGTCAATAAATTTGTTTATCAGTAACTGCATTTTTTATTTGATGAAAAAATAAAATATCTATAAAAAGGCCAATTTTGAAGAAATTAGAATATCAAGTTTATTGAAACTTTAATTTTCATCATCAGCACTTTCTATTATAGAATCAATATCTAAATTGTCATTAAATAATTTTGAACAGGACAAAGATAATATTGTGAATGATAAATTATCTTCAGCCTCTTCATTCTCTTGCCAAAGGATGTCATCTTCAGAGCCATCCATGGCTGTCATGAGAAAACACTTCTTGAAACCATTTCTTTATAACATCCTCACTGACGGAATCCCAAGATTCCTGAATCCATTTTACAATAAGTTCCAACTCTGGTTTTTTCCTATTGGCACCAGCAGTAAAACATTATTTTAGCCACTTAATTTTGATTTTATTCTTAATGTCAAAGTCAACAAAATGTATTCGTAATTATTTTTTGTTATTTTTTTTTGATAAAATTTAGAGATGTGTATTATACATGGGAATAGATATATTTCTTAATTTTTGGATCATTTATTCGAGTGTATATTATTTTCGAGAACTTATGGTATTTACAAAAATTGGCTTTCTCTGAGGCCACTCAGTGAGGACTAAACTCAAAACTATAGAAAATCTGACACAAGACCTCAAGTGTGCTGACACCTAGTAAGGATCTGTAGGATAACCTTGTGCAAGTTCAATCCCCACCATTGTGGCCTTGTGCCAGACTATATTTTGTTCACCAAGTAGCTTTATTTTTTTTTCTATTAAAAATATGTTAGACAAATGAATGACAAAGGGAAAAAAAATTCTGTGTAACACATTTGGCCCCTTGGAAGGACTTCATTGAACGAAAGTATGGAATTACATGTGTAGGAAGAAGAGGGGGTATATAAAAAAAAAAAAATGCAATCATCAAAAAATGCTGAAGAAGTTGGGATGCTGAAATTTAAAATTTTTTAATTAAAATTCATGTAAATAAACAATCTAATAAATGGAGACATAGTGGAGTAACAGCGGTTCAGATCAAGGAATCAGAGGGCCGAGTTCAAATTCCAGTCAAGTTTATTACATTCACTTATGTGTTAATACACTTGGGAATGGTGTGCATCCATTTATTTTATGAGTAAATATCAGGATGGATTGGGTCCTAGAGCCTTGGTTGGCAGTCAGCCTAGAAGAAGGAAAACTCTGAATTCAAACCAGCCGGAAGAGGGTTGGGCTCCATCAGGCTATCTTGCCTAAGACACACCACTTCTACTACAGTCATAATAAGATTATATATATATACACCTAGTGAGCCAGACAAACTTACCTAGGTTTCACCTAAACGGATTGTCTACGGTTGTATTGAGCTCTTTTGTTAGTTAGTTGTTTACTCGTATCGGGGTTTTTTCTTTGGGCTTCAGACCTGCATCTGTGCGATTTTTTTTTGTCGGCAGAAGTTCATGTTTGTAGCTCTTTCTTTTTTTAAAACCTTTTTTTCCCCTCGAGATTGATTTGATTATTAGCAAATCAAAAATTTGAGGGTTTTTCTAAACGAGTCTAGTTATCTATAATTATATATATATATATATATAAAAGATTAATGATGAGAGTAGTATTAAAAAATGCTCAATACACATGTGAAAAAACAAAAGTAAAAATAACATATCAAGCTTTTAACTTTAAAAATCAGGAGGTCAGTTGAATCTGCTACCTTGCTTTCAACCTTACAGTATCCTCAGACGATTTTTATCAATTGTCATTTGATAAAAAATCACCTGAGTATACCGTAAGGTTGAAAGCAAGGTAGCGGATTTAACTGACCTCCTGATTTTTTAAATATATATATCAAGTTCATGACATTCATTTACGTGCTAATATCCTTGGGAGAGTTATGAATCCATCTTTTCAGACTGGGTTCTATAATATAACCTAAAGGAAAATAAAACTCTGAATTCAAACCAGCCGGAAGAGGGTTGGGCTCAATTAGGCTATCTTGCCTAAGACACACCACTTCTACTGCAGTTGCAGTGTGTGTGGTGCACCCATGACCCTGATGAGTTATGAGACTTGTGATTTTGAAATAGTGTTTAATATTTGTGTTGTAAATTATCAAGTACAAAGGAAAATATATAAATTCACTTTCATAGGTTTAAGTCTTATTACAATTCTAGTCATTTTTTTTTTTAAACAATAAACATTGTCGAGGAGTGAAGGTAGTTAAAATAATTGTGGAAATGAAAGTTTAATGCTTTCATTATTAAGTATCCTACATCGTGATAATAGAAGGGAAGGTCTGCCACAAAAGGTGAAATGTAAGAACCTGGATGTAAATTCACCATGGACGATCTAGCAAACAAAGCAATTTTGTGTTCATATAATCTTTTGTTTAAATTCCTTGAGGTTTCACCTATGTATTCCTTGTGGCAATCATTACATGTAATAGAGTAAATTCCTCCATCAAGTTTTACCTTATTATTATTATTATTTTGTTTTGTATTAAGTCTGTTACTGTTTTGGAAGTACAGGGTGAGATGAATAAATTGTTGTCTAAATTACACAAAAATGAAAATCACACCGACATCTCATTTTAACAAATATATTTACCAAAATTACACAAAAATATCTTAAAATACTAAAGAGTAAATTTATTTAATAAAATCACCATGAACTTCAACCACAGCCTCTAGACGACTTCAGAATCTCCTGCATCTCTTCTGGATGGTCTCCTTGTTTAAGTTGGTGAATGCTGCCATAATCCTTGCCTTCCGTTCATCATTGGTGTTACTATGAGTTTTGTTGGTCTCTCACTCAGCACATAATAATCAAGGGGGTTGTAGTCTAGGAAGTTAGGTGTCAAGATTTAAGGGGTGATGTGGTTGCAGAAATTGTGTGGTATGGCACATGCTAGACATGGGTCTCTTCCAGTAACCACCCTCTTGACCCAGGACAGCACTACCTCCTCAAAGCACTTGATGTAGGCCACCATGTTGAGTCTGAGGCCCTCACTAACAAATTTGGGAGTTCTTTTCTTATCAGAATGATCACAGTGAGTTTTCTGAGCTGCCATATCTTTGTAATCATCCAACTCTTTCCAAATCCTCTGCACTGTCCTAAGATTGACACACAAACATTCTGAAATGTTTGTATTGGAGCTTTTCGCATGAATTCCCAAGCAGTACAACATGCCGTTTCAATCGTGACATGGTGCTTTTTCTCACAGATGGTGCCCAACTGACCCAACTATACTGTGCAGTCAACAAAAACAAAAACAAACAATGCACATATGCAAAACTCATTGCACCCTGTAGTTTGTAATTAATTTAAGTGGGCAAATGTTTCTGGGACTTTATTCTTTTCTTTTTTTTTTTTTATGTGATTCAATACATAACATCCCCTCCCCCCCCAACCACTGGAAACTTTTACACAATGTCTAAATTTTTTTCATCTTTATATTTCAGCAATCACCTGTACATTGCAGTGTGTGGAGCTGGCTTATGTGTTTTGTCAATCAACTTGCAATATTTTGATGGTGGAAACACAGACAGAGAAAACGGTTTTCTCATGACTCCTCTAACAAACACGCATCTTCTGAGATGCCCATAACGTTTTTTCATAAAATAAAATATTTCAAATTCATGGCTATGTAGTTTTAATTGCAAAAACTCTATTTTCTTTGTCATCGAAATTGTCAGATATATACACTACAATTCAAAAGTTTGAAGCCACCTCCCACCACACGATGAACTTAACAGAAAATTTAAAAAAAACAATGGAATCACTTATGAAACTTAAACACTGAGAAACTTCTGCAACAAAGGCCAAAGATTCATGCTGCAGTAATCAAGGCTAAAGGAGGATATTTTGACGAGAGCAGAATTTAATCATAAATGCTTTTTTTCTTTTTGTCTTAATAAAATTTCTAATAAAAAAATCATGTCTCACATTTTTAACCATGTATGATAATTTTTTCTTACTTAAAGCACAAAACTACTTTTGGGGCCAATTTAAAAATTACCAGGCATTGCCTCAAACTTTTGAACTGTAATATATATCTGTCTATAGCTCTGAAATGAGGTATTATGTACACTATTTACATTATTCAGACTATTGTCCTCATTTTGTCTCCATATTTATTACAATGTTTCAGCCGTTGTATGCTCCAGCCTTCTTCAGGTGGTTGGAATATCAAACTATTCTAGTGCCATGTCTAATGGATATCAGTTATCTCCTGTTAATTCCCCTCAAGGACAGATGGCACAGTGGATAAAGGCATTGGTTAGATCCAGTGATAGGACCCGAAGAGTGTGAGTTCAATACCTGGTTAAGGCAGTGGAGAACTTGGAGAGGAGAATTAACAGGAGATAACTGATAATTGACATCCATTAGACATGGCATGTGGAACTAGAACAGTCTACCCCAGTGAGTGAAATAAAGGGTTCAGTTCAGCATTCCAATCACCTGAAGAAAGCCGGAGTGTACAACTTGTGATAAATATGGTGACAAAGATAAGGACAATAGTCTGGATAATGTAAATATTGTATTATTTACATTATTCAGACTGTTATCCTCATCTTCATTGCCATATTCACAACATTTCGGCCGTTGTACGCTCCTGACTTCTCCAGGTGATTGGAATTTCAAACTGAACCCTTCATTTCATCCACCAGGGTAGATTGTTCTAGTTCCATGTGCCATGCCTCTTCCAGATGTCTCAGTTATTTCCCCTAAACTCAACTCTCAATAAGATCATCAATACAGTTCACAATGAAGCGAGAAAACAACAACTTGCCTTCCTAGACATACTAAAATCTCGAAAAGAGCTGTGTGTTCCTCTCCCATCATCCATAAAGGGGTCATCTGCTGCTTAAAACATCGAGCAAAAGTCATAAGTGGCGACCCAGAAACATATGAAGAAGAAATATTCAGTATAAGCAGTACCCTACAACGTAACAACTCCCCTGGGTACATTGCAGCAGCTCCGACAAACTGGGATAGAAGGATACAAAAGGATAACAACACTCAGAAAAGAGCTTCAGTCTGCCTACCCTATGTGAAGGGATTATCGGAAAAAATACAAAAGATCTGTAATCCATATAACATCAGGGCAAACCTTCAAAAGTGGTTCAACATTTTGCAGATACCCCTTCCGAGTAAAACTCCCTATAAAGGAGAACATGACTAAGAACTGTGTGTACGCCGTCCCTTGCAGCTGTGGTAAGAAATACAAAGGAGAAACAGACTGCAAGAACATCATAAAGCAGTAACACAAGGGGAAATAGAAAAATTAGGCATAGCTGACCACATATGGAGGGAAACTGCACCTGTGGGATGTGAGGTTAACATAATAGACAGTGAACATCACTGGAAAATATGAAAACTTAAGGAATCAGCATATATGCTAGGCCACAAAAATCTGCTGAGCTGACCAAGCATAGAAATGAATACAATATGGAGTGCCAGAGAAAAGCAATGAATAACAACAAAAAGTGCAATATAAGCTCTGGTAAAAAAATGAAATAATAATAAGAAGAAAAAATTGCAATATGAGCACTAGTTAAAAAAATATGGTTGCTGAAACATTAGCTTTTATATGTCCCAGAAATTCATACAAGGTTGTCCTCATGGCCCAGTGGATAAAGATGGTGGTTAGATCCAGTGACTAGACCTAAAGGGTTGTGAGTTCAATACCAGGCTACAGCAGTGGTGAAAAAGAATCCAGACAAAGCAAAGAACAAGAAAAGCATACAAATAACAGCCTGAGGCAATATGGGTATCCACTAAAAATAAGGCAATATATGACAAACTTTTCTTAAGTGAATGTAGCAACTGGAATTTAAACTCTGCTCTCTAATTTTCTCATTTATATAATATTACTCATGTCTATCATATCTCTACCTCCATCTGAAAACACAATTATAATAATTTGCCACATGCAAAAGCTAAAAATAATGGAAGCATTAATAAGATTAAAAGCCAACACTCAATAACATCAACTCTGAACATGGCCACAATGTGCTGACCATGTTTGGAAAATAATACTAAAATTCTATCATTCCAGATACATATTCAGTTAAAAAAAATTATGACACAAAAAACATGCTTGATAATGGCTAATAGTGTGCATTGACAAACACAAGAAAAACTGAATAAAAAGCTAAATCTTTTAATGTAACTCTCTATATATATATATATATATATATTATATATATATATTACAAAATCGACAAAGTCTGACAATTATTTTAAGACATTTTTATGTTTATACATTCTTATATATAGATATCTTAAGCATGTATCCCGCATGACATATAACTCACTGACTGTTCAACCATCGATTCACTGAAAATGTGTATTAATTTTAATTGCTCATATACCAAATGCAACTAAACAATGTTTGTATATTCCTGTAGATGCTGTATAGAAATTGATACCAATGTTGAAATGGGAAAAGTTAGTATGGAGTTGTAGAGGTTAATACATTTTATTATTATGGTAAATATAGGTCTCACACACACACACACATTATATATATATATATATATATATATATATATATATATATATATATATATATATGCATGTTTCATTAAATCATAGAGACAAATTTTGTCTATTTATTTTATGTAAATTCTTTTCATATCATCTGATAAGCTTAATAACATTATCATTAAACGAAGAAAGAAAATCACAATATTGATACATATTTTTTAATCCTATCTAAACAGAAACAGACTATCATTATTGTTTTGTCTGTGTATTGCTTAATATATTGAAATGTAATTGTCATCTTTGATAATGGCTTATGTAAGCCGAAAGCTTAGATAGGATTAAAAAATGTGTATCAATATTGTCATTTTCTTTCTTATTTTAATGATATGTTATTAAGCTTATCAAAAGAATTTACATTAAATAATATAGACAAGTTTTGCCTATTTTATGAAACATGCATCAAAGAAGAAATGCTGCCTAAATAGACACAATATATATATATATATATATATATATATATATATGTATGTTTTGAACAATAAAAAATATTAAAATCTTCAGACACACTGGGTTGTATATTAATATTCCTTCATTTTTATTATTATTTCATTTAGATTCCTTGACTAGTTTCGGCCAGCATGGCTATCAACAGGAGAAAAATAATTTTCTGCTTGCTGGTAGCAGTGAACTACTGAAATGAATATATATGTGTTTGGGTGTGTGTGAGGCATGGTGGAGTAATGGTTAGCTGCTCGCATTAAGGAATCGGAGATGACACACATACATTTTATATATATATATATATATATAAGCAAGTGTAAATGGATATAAATCCGACAGAATGAAGAAATTTTGAAAAAACAAACAAAAATCCTTAAATGTAGTTAAAAATGAATTTAGGTTTGTATTTTCAGTGGACAGTATATATAATACAAACCTAAATTCATTTTTAACTACATTTAAGGATTTTTGTTTGTTTTTTCAAAATTTCTTCATATATATATATATATATATATAATGTGTGTGTCATCTTTGATGGTGAACATCTGTTATAATGTCCATATAACCACACTGATGATGGCTCATGTGAGCTGAAAGCTTAGATCGATGAACAGCATAAAAAAATACCCAAATGTTGGACAATTTTTGTCTGTATTTTCTCCCAAAATTAAAGTGACGACACGAAGTCTTAGAACAGCTCATGATCAAACATAATAGAGATTCGTTGTCTGCTATATTGAACAATATATGTTTGAATAATGATCTGCTGCCCTATTACACTATATATATGTTACATAAAAAAAAAATATATATATATATATATATATTTAAGACATTTTTATGTTTATACATTCTTTTTTATAGATACAAATATTTAATATGATACATGACTGTCGAGGCAGATTTTTTTCACCACAGTAGGTTGCCTTTTCTTTCTGCCATAGTCCAGTTGCCATCCAAGGCTATAGAACCCAGTCTGTCCAGCTACTTACCCACAGCTTTAGGGGGGGGGGATGGTGAGAAGAGGATTCATACCTTTCCCAAGGGTATTAGCATGTAAGTGAATGTAATGGATTTGACTGGAAATTGAACTTGGCTCTCCTATTCCTCAATCTGAGCCGCTATCCATTACCCCTTTTCCCCCCTCAGTAGGTTGCCATTTCATTCTGCGATAAACCAGTTGCCATCCAAGGCTATAGAACCCAGTCTGTCCTCCTATTAAGAATAGAATTCATACCTTTCCCAAGGGTATTAGCACGTAAGTGTATGTAATGGATTTGACTGGATTTCAAACTCGGCTCTCCAATTCCTCAATCCAAGCCACTATTACTCCACCATGCCTCCTAATAATATATATATATATATATATATATAGATAGATAGATAGATAATATTAGTGGTAAATATACATACATGGGTATATGTATGTGTGTACACGCCTATGTGTATGTATATACGTGTATATGTTATTGCGTATGTGTGTATTCGCATGTGTGTTTGAACATAGAAATATAGGTCCTTGCTCGATTAGATAATCGTTATATTTATTTTTCATATGTTTATATTTGATTTGTAACCTTTAGTCGATATTAAATTTGTCAAATTTTCTCAATTACAAAGCGGCCCTTTCAGTAAATGTTCAAATTTACTTTCCTTCACCCCATCTTTCCCTCCCTCTTATTCTAACATTAGATTGTCTATGGTGTGTGTATGTCACCACGAAATGTATCTTTATGCATTAGACATCCGACAACATTCATTTTTCTCTTACTTAAACACCTTCCACCCATCTCTCCTAAAATTCTCTCTGTTAAGGTTTAATCTCCCCTCCTCCTCTTACACTCTCTCTAAATTCTGTTTTTATTTCGGAGTTGTTTTTTCGGTTTTCTTTTCAATTTGTAGGTCTGATGAATTGGATCGTATTTACAATTCCAATGGAATAAATTATGACCATGGAATATTAGTATTTAAGCCTTTTTATTATATATATATATATATATATAAAATAAATATACTGTTTAATAAATAGAGTGTCTACTCAAATATGAGGAATATCCATTAGAAATAATGTTTAAAGTGATAAAATATTATATTTTATATAATATTCTGTTTATACATTATTTTTATAGATATAATTTATTTAAGTAAATGCTCTGTTTTTTCATTAAACAGTATTAATTACAGAAAATATATTAAATAATTGTTGGACTTAATCCATTTCATCTGTTGTTACTGTATACATTAAGATACATTTCATGAACAGAAATGATTGATCAAGAAAAATCGTCAAAGGTGTGTGCTTATAAACAGTAATTCAAACTTTGCAAACCAGACACTTCTTTCTGGCTGAAGGGTTAACATCATGTCAGATCAAATGACCGTTCTCCATAAAGGTTACAGGTTCAATTCCTGTCAGAGATCAGATATTTTCTACGAAATTTCTCAAACATTCAGGCCAGTAAAGGTAATATTAGTGTTTACATAAAAGACAACAGTAGTTAAAAAGCAACAAAAATAAATTAAAAACATAACAAAGGTGAAAAAAAAAAAATTAATAATACCTACCCCATGTTTGAGACATTAAGATTTTCAAGTTGTCCTTTCAATAAACAGTGCCTTGCCAAAGATAAGTTGATGTTTAAAAGACACATGGTCAAATGAAGGCAAAGCACATAATCAAATCACAAGACTCAAATACATGAGGACAATGTAGTTTGGACCATATGAAATATTTTGTTTTACATTATGAAATCACCCCCTCAAACAAAAACCAAAGACCAAAGTATTTTCTGATATAAATGTGACCACCAGATTTTCCATTTATTTCTCTAGACTGTTTTATAAATGAAGGATTAAAAAAACATCCAACTCTTTTTCAAAATAAGGAGTACTTGATTAAAATTTATCAGTTATTCACAGTGAAGTGCTTTTATTTGTTGCTTTACAAAGCTGAAAAAAAATTAGATAAAATATTGTCAATTTTAGCATTCCAAACAATAAAAAAATTACCAACTTCAAATGGAAAGAAAATGTCCAAACTTGTACTAAATAAACAATAACTATAAATGAGAGTTGGAAGATTGTACAGCATCAATTTTCCAAATGGAGAGAGCTTGCTTTGAAAATCAGTGTTTAAAATCATGGTGTACCTTCCCCCCTTTTTTTTCCTTATCCGGATTTGAACATCATTAATGTGAAAAATGCAACAATCTCAGTAGTTACCAAGTTGAATCGGGCACTCAGTGAGGAACAATGTATAAAGCAAACTTGCTAACAATAAGAATTTTGTAATTTTTTATACAGTAAACTAATCTTAAAATTCAATGATACTCTATCGCATTTCCCTATGCTGTGAAAATTATTTATTTGTTGGTGTCTTGTGTTCTATCCAGCAGGTCTGGGTCCATACTGTAATTCTATGCTTCTCAAGGGGACATGTCTCCTTTCACTTCATACATATTATTATTATTAATTATTATTTGTTGTCCCCTTGCATTGTATTCTATAGGGCTGGGTCCATACTGTAGTTCTATGCTTCTCTAGGGAACGTGTCTCCTTTCACTTCATCCATATTATTATTATTATTATTATTTATTTACTTGTTAGTCCCTTGTGTTCTCTGCTGCATAGTTGGGTCCACACTGTAGTTGTATGCTTCTCAAGGGGACATGTCTCTTTTCACTTCATCCACATTATTATTTTTATTATTATTATTTCTTTGTTGGTCACTTGTGTTCTATCCTGCAGGGCTGGGTTCACACTGTAGTTCTATGCTTCTCTAGGGGACATGTCTCCTTTCCAATCAGATCTGGCTCTTGTAAAGGTAGAGCATATCAGGAGGAGTCAGGTACTTACTGGAGTGGTACAGAGAAACTAACCATTTTTCCAGCATCTTTAGCAATGGACCACGTATAGATGCATTTTACTTGAGGTCTGGGTGGGGGGAGCTTAAGTCCCTTAGGTGTTCAAGGCAAAACACACACACAAAACACAGAAAGGGTGTGCTGAAAATTTCTTGGCCCAACCCACTTCCCCAAAAACCTGACCAAATAATCAAGCATTAGATTTTCTTTTTAAATTTTTTCAATGCCTTCTTTGAAGTTTTCATCAAATTCTCGGTTTATATTAGAGAATAGGAGATGCTCAAAGAAGATTTTAGATTATGAAACAAAACCGAAACAATGAAAGCGTATCAAATAAAACAAAATCAGGTAGCATACGTCCAACCCCCAAACTTTACAAAAGCTTCATAGACTTATAAATATCACAAAAATGTGAAAAGATGCATACATAGACAAAAAAATAAAGAACGCTGGTTGTGATAAAAGCAGTGTGAGAGAGAGAGAGAGAGAATAACAGAGGACAGAGAGAGAGAGAGAAAAGAAGCTATTGATAAGCTGGAAAGACTAAGGCAAGTTCATTGATGTAGCCATGCTGTGTTGGCAATTCTACACCAGAATCAGGTGAAGTGGTATAAGTAGAAATGTTCTTACTTTATCCAAAACAAGTAGCAGGAACAAAAAAAGAAAAGGGGGGAAAAAATGCATGAAAAGATTAAAGACAATGTTAGAGTTTAAAGAAAGAAAAAAAAAAAATTTTAATAAAAATGTAAACAAAAAAGCAGAAAAAAATGTTAAAAAAAAACAAAACAAATCAAAATAGAAAAAAATAAAAAAACAGAAAAAAAGCTACCAAAAAGAAATGTCATTTGCCAGTAATTTTTTTTTTTTTTAAACCTTACCACCAATCTTTTCCCAAATGACATTAACCATTTTATCAAAAACTTTCAATGCAAATTTTAATAATCCAAATTGTCTAGAGATTATTTTTCTCAAGCAAAAACCAAAGGAGAGTCTAATATATATAGTTTTAAAAATAAGGATAATATTTGTCTCTAAGGCCCTTTCATGCAACATCTCATTATTAGAGACAGATATTTTCCTTATTTTTAAAACAATATCAATTTTACCCTCAACACTCAGAGGCGACAAGCTGTTTCCATGCTAGACGCAATCATCAGGTGGCCTGATGATTGCATCTAGCATGAAGCAGCCTGTTGCCTCTGAGTGTTGACTTCACTGTTCACTTTTATATGTATATACGCTCTATCTCCGATATTGAGTACTTTATCCCATAAATATAGCATACCTTAAAACTATATTTCTTATATATATATATATATATATATATATATATATATATATATATATGACAGAGAGATTTACTAGGCCACTTAATGACATTTGAATAAAAATCAACAAAATTATAAAAATATACTCAATAAGACCAATGACATTTATTATATATTAGTAGGCCTTTTGACTAAACAGAAGCACAAAGAGAAATATTTTAAAGTTGGAATTTTCAGACATGCAGGTGTGCTTTTTCAACAAGACAATAAATAAACAATGAAGTGGGACTTTTTTTTCATATGTTCTATTACTGCAAGAAATTTGATTTTGAGTTTGCCATGATTAGGGTTGTAGAGGTTTTGTAGAAGGCTCTCCGTCGAAACTGCATTCTCTGAGAGTTTGAATGTTTGTATGTATTATAATTATAATAAAAAAGGCAAGACAAGTTTTACCATTCATGATAAAAAAAAAGAAAAGAAAAATAGCCAACCGGTTTCACCCTCACTCAATAGAGCTGGAATCGAGGGAATAAATGTTACAATATGAAATACATGAAATGTATTAAAGGTGGGACAATCAGATTGAAATAATGTCAAGACCCAACAAACATGCAGATTACAGAGGGAAGGCTGTCTGGACTTGACATAGATTGTTTCAAATATAAGAAAGTATGAGCACAAAAATGGTAAAAGAGTCAATGCTGAAATTGGTGGCACAATTTTGATTATTTATCAAATGCTCTGTTAGGTCTTGACGTTATTTCAATTTGATTGTTCTGCCTTTAATACATTACATGTTATTTCATATTATAACATTTCTTCTCTCAATTCTAGCTCTGTTGAGTGAAGGCAAGACTGGTTGACTATTTCATTTTTTTAAATCATGAACGGTAAGGCTTGTCTTGCCTTTTTTATTTCCATAATAAAGTTCTGTACTAAGAAAATTATTAATTATCAAAAAGTAGTTGTACATCAATGTCAAAATAAAGGTAAATTGTTTCTGTAAGGAACATGCCATGAAGGGCTATACAACTATTTGGGTAAGGCATGAATCTGCCAACCCTGGACAATGTCATGCAATGCCTAAACCGACATGCAAATGGTGTAATGGTTATAGTGGCTCGGAACGAGAAATCAGCTAGCCAAGTTTGAATTCCAATAGATTCACTTTCATATAAATACCCTTAGAAAAGGTATCTCCCATCAAGCTATAGATTAAACCAGTGTTTCTCAACCAGTGTTCCCCAGAACACTAGGGTTCCACAAAAGGTCACTAAGGGTTCTGCAAGAATCAGTGATAAAGAGGCTAATGCATTTTTTAGTAATTTTTGTTATATATATAATTAAGATGAAAGTGGGTCCACATGTGCTTCTTATAATATGCAGATTTAATAGCAGGCCAGTCAATGAAATTCCAGGAATAAAAACACAACAAAATGATAAAAATATTGCCAATAAGACCAATGACATTTATTATATATTAGTAGGCCTTTTGACTAAACCAAAGGCACAAAGAGAAAGATTTTAAAGTTGGAATTTTCAGGCACACTTGTGTCCTTTATCAACAAGACAACAAATAAACAATGAAGTGGGACTCACTCTTCCAAAAAATCATGTGTTGTATTACTGTAAGAAATTCGATTTTGGTTTAGTAGTTTGCCACAATTAGGGCTGTGGAGGGTTTGTAGAATGCTCTGTGGAAACTATTCTCTGAGTAATCCTAAATCACTGTTTAATCCTTTAATATGTGATTCTATTTTGAAAATGTATTTTAACTCAGATTTATGTCATTCTTGTTGGCTCTTAAATGAAGACACTAAAAGCACACATCTGATATTATCAATGCTGTGGTTTAGTTGGTTGAAGTTTGCAGAGACAGGAAAATTGTTGTTTATATACATATATATATATATATAGATAGATAGATAGATACATCATTTTGTAACTACATGGATATGCAGATAAATACCTATTGTATCTTAGCAGTATGTTGATGTTTTTTTTTCATTTGGTGCCATATGAACACCTCTATGAGTTATTTAATGCCAAAATTTAAATATTTTTTACACAAATTTATTGGGGGGGGGGAGATAATAATGCTTTTAGTGATACAAGTCTTACTAATTAACCCATAGCTGGGGGAGGAAGAAGAGGTGGATTCATACCTTTACCAAGTGTATTTGTGTGCAAGTGAATATAACAAACCAAACTGGATTTGGAACTCAGCACTCAAATTAACAATTCCGAGACATTGCCCACTAAACCACCCACACATCCAAGCTTACCGCACATGGTATTTCCAAATGGTCACCTATCTAGGTACTGACCAGGCTCAATGTGGCTTAACTTTGGTGATCATATGGAAATCTATGTTTAAACATAATATGGCCATAAACCATTTCTACCCCGCACATCCAACCTTACAGCGCACAGTATTTCCAAATGGTCGCACATCTAGGTATTGACCAAGCTTGACATTGCTTAACTTCAGTGATCATACGAGAACCGGTGTTTAAACATAATATGGCCGTAAACCATTTTGACCCGCACATCCAAGCTTACAGCACCTGGTATTCCCAAATGGTAACCCATCTAGGTACTGACCAGGCTTGGCATTGCTTAACCTCGGTGATCGTACAAGAACTGGTGTTTAAATGTAATATGGTCATAAACCATTTCGACCTGCACATCCAAGCTTACAGCACCAGGTATTTCCAAATGGTTACCCATTTAGGTACTGACCAGGCTCAACGTTGCTTAACTTCAGTATGTTTTGTTCTAATCATGTGAGGTGGAGGACACACAGATAAAATTTAGCCTTATGTGAATTTATAAATAATAAAAAAAAAAAGAAAATATGGCTTAAAAAACAAATTTATTTGTTTTCAGTGAAAAAAGGTTCATAACAATAATAAAAAACATCCCTGGGTTAAAAGTGACACTGTAGTTTCTCAGCTGTGTGCTAAGGAGTGTAATGAGAACAACCTAAGTACCAAACTTACTTGCTGTCTGTTCCATAAAGGCCATTAGCCTTAATATAGTCAATCACAGTATCAGGAAGAAGATATTTAACACTTTCCCCTCGGCTTAAAGCTCGCCTGAAAATTTAAAAAAAACAAAAAGTAGATTTTGTTTTTTTCTTTTTACATTAAAGGATTGGAAAAAAATTCATAACATTTTTTTAAGTATATTTTATAGACAATATTTGTGAAAACAGGCAGAGATAGTCAATACAGCCAACTTAAAATAACATACTTTTTTTTTTTAACACATTTTCACACATTTTTTTTTAAGACAACTTTTCCTATTTACATGTAAACTATTGTCCTCATCTTTGTTATCACAACATTTCAGTCATTGTGTATCCTGGCCTTCATCAGGTTTATGCCAATCTGGATACAACTAATGAAGGGACACAACAGGTAAAATGTGATAGCAATGACGATAGTCCATATGTAAATAATGATAACACCTCAGCTCAGAAATACAAACAAAAATCACTTTCATTGTATTTATCAGAAAATCATGATCTAGACCTCTCTTCCTTTGTTCTGTGGGTGCTGAATCCATGTCTGATACTGAAAAGTCTAAATGGCTTGAATGTAAAATTTAAGTTCTCTTCAGGAATTTTAGCTCTTCCCTGCAGACCAGGGATTCTAGACTTAAACCCCTGCTTTTTTTAAAAAATTAGAAATGTGAAAATTTTCTTTAATCTTCCTCTTAGATACAAATAATATTAACACAGTTCCATAATTGAGTTAAAAAAAAGCATTCAGAGGGTCTCAAAAACCCAAACAGTGTGTTTGGCTCTCTTGAAAAGGTAAGTAGTGAATAATGCAGTCTGTTAAAGGTCAAATTTATTATCTGCATTTGGCACCATATGCAAGGCACCTGCATATTTTCTTTTTAATATATCTAAAACTTTTTCATGTAGATATATAGAGCTTGATTAAAAAAAAAAAAATGGTACCAAATTTATCTTACTAGCTCAATTAGCCATCAAGTTATGACCATTAAAAATTTTGTCGGATTTTCCATCTTGAATGCAAATGGGTCAGAAGCCCATTTTAACAGTGTATATGTAAAGATGCAAGGGAGGCAAGGTGTAGTGGATAGCAGCTCGAATTGAGGAATTGGAGAGCTGAATTCGAATTCCAGTCGAATCTGTTACATTCATTTATGTGCTAATACCCTTGGGAAAGATATGAATCATCTTCTTCTCTCCCCAGCTATGGGTAAATAGCAGAACAGACTGGGTTCTATAGCCTTTGATGGCAACTGGTCTAGGAGAAGGACAACTCTGAATTCAAAACCTGCGGAGAGGTTGTTTGCAACCTTGTAGCACATACTGCACCAGGTCTCTGTATCAAAAAGTGTGGTTGGTCCTACACAAAGCCTTCACCACTACAATCAGATCACATGTGCTGGTGTCTGGCTGTCGGTTCCTAGGAACTGAACTCACTTGACAATCACAAAAGCGAGAAACCCAGGGTCACAAATACATCAATCCAACTATATATATATATGAGGCCCAGTGGAGTAATGGATAGCAGCTCAGATTGAGGAATCGGAGAGCCAAGTTCAAGTCGAATCCATTACATTCACTTATGTGTTAATACACTTGGGAAAAGTATGAATCCTCTTCTCCCTCCAGCTATGGGTTCTATAACCTTGGATGGTAACTGGTCTAGGAAAATTCTGAATTCAAAACCTGCGGAGGGTTATTTGCAACCTTGTGGCACATACTGCACCAGGTCTCTGTATCAAAAAGTGTGGTTGCTTCTACGCAAAGCCTTCACCACTACAATCAGATCATATGCAATGGTGTCTGGCTGTCGGTTCCTAGGAACTGAGCTGCTTGAACCTCATACATCAAATATGACGGGAGAGTCATCTATGTAAAGATGCAGGCTTCAAACAAGTGAAAAATCATTATAAATACAATGTCATTAAGGAAAAAAGAAAGAGAATACTAATGCAATTGATTATTAAATTTTTTTCCTAAAAGCTAGAAACATTTAGTTTAATCTTCCCATGTCACCAAAATTCACGAACCAACATATAATCCACTAGGTTACTCTTGGATCAACATACACATGATGAAGGTTGAAGGTACGACGACCGAAACATTGTGATAACAACAACAAAGATGAGGACAATATTCTGCATGTAAATCATGTAAATAATTAATACCAACTCTTCATCCCAGAAATAAAATTACATAGCTAGGCTAATGTCTTTGAAAGGAATTTTACTCACCTGATCTTTGTAGAACTGATGTCATTTTGTATCCATTCTGTTACAATAGTGATGTTATTCTAGAAAGAAAGAAAGTAAAGTTCGATAACAATGTTACTTTTTTTTTTATCCATTTTCCCCTCAAGCAATATGGGAATGTCACAAGTACTGTTGTAGTTTATAAAGAATACACCCCCAGTGACTATATGAATTTGTCCAATACTATAAATAGTTCCATGGTATGAGGTTAGTAGTAGTTGTATTGGAGCCAGTCTTCATACTAACTATACAGGTGTTACTGCAATAGCCTAGGAATCATCATACTTATTATAAAACCCAGGGTGTGTGTGTGTGTGTGTGTGTGTGTGTGTGTGTGTGTGTGTGTGTGTGTGTGTCTGTTCATTTATATATTGGATCGGATTTCCTACATTTTTCAACCAATTTCAACAAAACTTCACAGGACTACATAAAATTACCTTGCGGTGGTTCTGACAGTGCCAAAAATTGGAAAAACAATTGTTTTTGCATGAAATCAATTTGAAAACATGATTAAGAGGCATTAATGAAAGAGGGACAACTCATATCGAGTTATACTTATTATAAAACCCAGGTAAACCTTAAACAATAATCTTTGTCAATTTTATTTTTCAGTCTTTATGATGGTCGATACTTGATCTATCTCTTACTGTTACATCCCCAGACAACACTGGGCTCCACTGCTAGTTATATATAAAAATTATGTTATACTAAGTATGAGTGTGTGTTGTAACAATCACTTTACAAAAGGGAATTATAATAGTTGGCAATGAGGATACTCAAACACAAGCTTGGAATAAAAATCACAGCTTTATAACTGAAATTACGATAGTTGGTGAGGAACTTGAACTCAAGCACAGTATAACAAGCACCGCATTATGACTGGAATTATAATAGAGGACAACTAGATTTTTGAAACTCATACATGTGCAACAGGAGCTACAAGAATTTCGACCATGTTGGTTTTAAAAAAAAAAAAAAAATTCTTGCAGTTATGGAGAAATTTTTGGCTTTCATTGTGGAAATTCAACAACAACAACAGAAGCAACAACCACAAAATACAAAACAGTTGCTACAGTTGCAAAAACAACAAGAGTTGTTGGAAGTGGTTTTGAAGAAATATTCTTCAACATCTCTCACGCCTAAAGCAGTGCAAAACAGCGTATCAGAATTCATATACAAACATGATGAGGAACTGACTTTTGCTGCATATTTTTGCAGGCATCAAGTAATATTTCGGGAGGAATACAGTGACAGGAATGAAGATAGAATACCAGGTGGTTGTTAAGAAAAATAGCACCAAGAAAGTATGAAAAGTACTGTAATTATATTTTATCGAGAAAACCAGGTGAAATAAGGGTTTGAAAACACAATACACATTTTGATAAAAAAATTTTTAGTGACAAGTGCTCTCTGTTCCATGCTCGTTGGGAGTGCATGAACTTAACCAAAAAAGAGGATGAAGATTTTGTCATGTATGCTGGTACTTTCTAAGAATGCGAACAATTTAAACTAAAGAAAATGACTCTGGCTGTGTTCAAGGGATTGATTTTCATGCAAGGTCTAACAATGTAAAAAGACAATGAAGTACGAACGAAAATTTTAGCAAAGATTGAACATAATAATATAACACTACAGGAAATAATGGACAATTGCTAAACAATGCTAAGTCTGAAGCATGATGCTGAAAAATTTCAGAATAAAAAATGTGCATTGGTAAAAGCTAAGGAAAGATGCACAAAAAGGAATGTAAAACTTTGTTTCAGATGTGGAAAGTTACATCTTAGGAAAGACTGTCCATGAAAAAATGCAGAATGCTATAACTGTGGTAAAAAAGGACATATCAAATCACACTGCAGAATTAAACTAAGAAAAAATTTTCATAGGAAGAAATTAACAGACAATGTTGAAACAGGAATAATAGGTACACAAAACATAAGAAAATTTGTTAACATGCAAATCAATAATGTGGGAGTAAAAATGCTACTAGACACGGATAGTGGGATTTCAATAGTAAATAAAAACACATGGAAAGAAATTGGAAAACTTTTGTTAAAAAAGACTTTCAAAGTCGCAACTTATTTTGGGGCGGGGAGAATTAATATGTGATGTTTGTTTTCAAAATAAGCACATAAAAACATAAGCTTATGTTCTAAGAAGTGCAACGAATCTATTCGGTACAGACTGGATGGAACTATTTGAACTTTAGGATTTGCCGATCAATGCTTATTGTAAAAATATAAGTGGACAAATATAAAAAGTCAAAGACATTTAATTTTTTTGAGTTGGTTATCTTGCCTTAATGATAATAAGGTGCAAAAAAGAAAAATTTTGGGCAATCTTATTTGTACATTTTGTAATCTGTTTGTTATTGTCTTGTCAATAAATGTCATTCAGGTTACCTGATAGTATTTTAAGTTTTGTTGGGTGTGCGGCTTATGAATAATTTGGATAAGAGAAGTGAAGTCCTCTTTTCTCTCACTGTTTAAAAAATTAATATTAATATCTGGCTGAATCTTGGTAGCCTTTTCAGACTTGGGGAGAAGGTTTCTCTTATTGGAAAATTCATGTTTTTTTCCATAATATTCTTTTAAGTCTAAAATGCTTTAAATTGATCCTCATAAATTTAGGTTCCTTGCACTTCACAAAATTCCAACCAAAGAATGCAACCATATTTGTAATGGAAAATTTTTTTTTTTTTTTTTTTAGTTTTGCTTGCACCTTATAAAATTCCAACCAAAGAATGCAACCATATTTGTAATTTTTTTTTTTTTTTTTTTTTTTTGCTTGCACCTTATAAAATTCCAACCAAAAATGCAACCATATTTGTAATGAAAAATTTTTTTTTTTTTTTTTTAATTTTGCTTGCAATAAAATTCCAAAGAATGCAACCATATTTGTAATGGAAAATTTTTTTTTTTTTTTTTTAGTTTTTGTAATTTTTTTTTTTTTTTAGTTTTGCTTGCCTTTTATAAAATTCCAACCAAAGAATGCAACCATATTTGTAATGGAAAATTTTTTTTTTTTTTTTTTTTGAATGCAACCATATTATAAAATTCCAACCAAAGAAATGCAACCATATTTGTAATGGAAATTTTTTTTTTTTTTTTTTTTTTTGCTTGTATTAAAAATTCCAACCAAAGAATGCAACCATATTTGTAATGGAAAATTTTTTTTTTTTTTTTTTAGTTTTGCTTGCACCTTATAAAATTCCAACCAAAGAATGCAACCATATTTGTAATGGAAAATTTTTTTTTTTTTTTTTAGTTTTGCTTGCACCTTATAAAATTCCAACCAAAGAATGCAACCATATTTGTAATGGAAAATTTTTTTTTTTTTTTTTTTTTTTTTGCACCTTATAAAATTCCAACCAAAGAATGCAACCATATTTGTAATGGAAAATTTTTTTTTTTTTTTAGTTTTGCTTTTATAAAAATTTTTTTTTTTTTTTTTTTTTTTTAGTTTTGCTTGCACCTTATAAAATTCAACCAAAGAATGCAACCATATTTGTAATGGAAAATTTTTTTTTTTTTTTTTTTTTCCAGTTTTTTGCTTTGCACCTTATAAAATTCCAACCATATATAAAAAATTTTTTTTTTTTTAGTTTTAGTTTAACCTTAAACCAAAGAATGCAACCATATTTGTAATGGAAAATTTTTTTTTTTTTTTTTTTTTTTTTTGCTTGCACCTTATAAAATTCAACCAAAGAATGCAACCATATTTGTAATTTTTTTTTTTTTTTTTTGCTTGCAATAAAATTCCAACCAAAGAATGCAACCATTTTTTTTTTTTTTTTTAGTTTTACTTTGCACCTTATAAAATTCCAACCAAAGAATGCAACCATATTTGTTTTTTTTTTTTTTTTTTAGTTTTGCTTGCTTTTTATAAAATTCAACCAAAGAATGCAACCATATTTGTAATGGAAAATTTTTTTTTTTTTTTTTTTTTTTTTTGCTTGCAAATAAAATTCAACCAAAGAATGCAACCATATTTGTAATGGAAAATTTTTTTTTTTTTTTTAGTTTTGCTTGCAACAAATAAAATTCAACCAAAGAATTCAACCATTTTTGTAATGGAAATTTTTTTTTTTTTTTATTTTGCTTGGTACCTTATAAAATTCAACAAAGAATGCAGATTTTTAAATGGAAAAAAAATTTTTTTACTTTTCCTGGTATTTAGTGCACATCAGATTGGAACCAGCACGTGTAATACATACAAGGCCAAAATTACCTACTATTTCCTCAATCTGAAATTTTAGAAAGAAAAAAAAAATTATTCTGTCTCGCAAGACCTTTGACACTGTAGTTATAGAATGAAGAGGACCTCCACTTCTAAAATGATTAAAAATATTTTTTGAATATGACTATTGTTGTGGATAGAGAAAAGTCTAAGGAATGCTATGCTCCAAAAATTCTTCCAAAAGAAAATTATTAATTTTTTTTTAAATTAGCAGATCTGTCAGTTTAAATTGTGCCAAGGAGCAGGACTGGTTTAAGTGTCTTGTGCTCACCCCCAATTTATGATACTGCCCAATACCCACTCTACTAAATCTCAATTTTCATAAGATAGTATTCATATAAATACAAATTTTATTGTAACCTAATTATGTACAATAATGGATCATATGCAATATAGGTGAACGATTCAACTAGAAAAATAGAAAATAAATGCAATGTATCTAAATACAAATTAGAGACGCGTCGTAATAGATGATCCCATCTTAAATAAATCAACAATGTTTTGCAGCAATTTTTAATATCAACTTGAGATTTTTCTTGTTAAAAAATAATTTAACACATTCAAGATAATAGATTAAAAAATAGTAAATATTATATCACGTTTTTCTCAAGACTTAGCATGAGCAAAAATTCACAGATTTGGATGAAAAAAAAAAAAAAAAAAAAAAAGAACAAAAGAAGACCCCAGAATAACATCAAAATAGACAAAAAATTTTCATCCTTTAACCTTTATTGCTTTGTATGCGACTTCCCTTACAGTACATAATTGTCACTGAAGGTGACTGATTCCTGAACAACAGTGTGTTTGAATTTCATAGTTGTGTTGTCATATCCTGCTATGGCAACAGAAAACAACTTTGAGTGAAATTAACAATGAGGATACTGAAAGTGAGAGACCTTGAAAAAGAATGCACTGGAAAGGGAAGTACAGTAGAACCTCAATTTAACAGACTAAAAGGGGAGATCGACCGTTAATTTGAGGCCTTTTTTGTGGCCTAAAACACCCAGTACAGTACAAAATTATTTTAAATAAAAATAAATACAGTATATGTGTATTTTATTTTTAAGTTACTATATCCTTTTACGTAAAGTTTGAAAAGTTTTAAAGTTAAATCTAGAGTCCATTGGTTCCGAACTGTTAATTTGAGGTTTTACTGTAATATGAATAAAGGTTTTAAGTGACTTCAGAGTATTAAAGGTTAATAGTCGTACTTAGTTTAATTTTTAATGAATATAAATGTAGATAGAAAAAAGCAAAGTCGATAAAATAGCAAGTGTCATAAAGCACTGCTCGGGGCCTCCAATCAGGCTTAAAATGTTAGGGGTTTGAGGATAAGACATGCCAGCTCTGCCAAGAAGTTCGCTAAGTCATTGTTACTAAGTGTTTCTGACTGGGACTTTAAAAGTATGAGCATGTCTTTGTGCCAGATTGGCTTCATTGATTGAACACTCTCTCCAAGAAAATTATGAAGAATACTTACATGTTCCGGGAGCCATAAGTTGGGAACAGCAAAAGACTCTAGCATATCAGCACCACAGACCAATTTGAGCAAGATGGATTCATTGTTTTTGTTCGCTTCATCTAGAAACAAAAAAAAAAAAAAGCCTAAAATATCAGATAGAATATAACATGAGAAAGATATTTTTTTAGAAGATTCTAAGGCTTGTCTTTTGACAGTTTTGATTAATTACAGTAATATAGTTAATAATATATGAGTATGCATATATATATATATATATATATATATATATATATATATATATATATATATATAATATCATAAATAATTAAAAAAAAAGAAAGAACACTAAGATATATAATCCGGTGTTCTTATAGATATTTTTATTTTACAAAATAGTGCTCAATGTAAATTTACAGAGCATTAATATGATTTTAGCTGTGTCTTTAAAACCCAGTAATTTTAAAAGTTACTCCAAAATTTGCTTGAGGATGAAATGGAACTAATGTCCTTAATTTAATTACAAAATTAATTTTGTAGCTTTTAGTTTCCATTTTTGAAACATGGTTAGAACTGTGTAGCCAAAAAAACATTTAACATTTTAAATAAATCCATTTATAATATATATATATATATATATATATATATATATATATATATATATATATATATATATATATATATATATATATATATATATATATATATATAAAATGGACTCTCATCGTTGTTTTTGATGTAGGATTGTGCAAACAGTTCCTAGTCATATGTGGGGGACCTGGCGCACTGTGTGCCACAAGGCACAAGGTTTCCAAACAAACAAGGTTTCCTGCTATTTACCCATAGCTGGGGGGGGAGAATTAATTTAGTACATTAATAATAAATAATATAATTTTAAATATTAATAAAATAAAATATTAGTATAAATTAATTAATATAAAATATATTAAAAAAATAAAATAATAATAATAAAATTAATTTAATATATAAATTGTATAAGAGTTTGATATCAAGGACGCATATAGATTTCCTATTTCTATAATACAATTCCTAAACTTATCTATTAGTAAAAAATTAAATAAGCTTCTTTTTCATCAAATGGTGGGGGGGGGCACTAAAAAAATTAAGAGTAAAAGTGGTCCATGGGTAAAAGAAAAATAGATGAGACCCACTGGTATAAGGCTTGCTCAAAAAATTCTTTTGAGCATGTAGAGAAATTGGCCCTGGTTAAATGCAATTGGCAGAAATGCCCACCCAACGGAATTGACAAAGTTTGCAATAAACAATAATAAGAGTAAGAAAAGAACAGGGTAAAAAAATAATATTAAGAAAACAAGCATTCCGACTTCAATACAAGAAAAAGCAAAACTAATTTCAATGAGACCGAGAAGTGGTCTATCTTATTGGCTAAGAAGAAATCCCAGCATACATCTGTATATTTTATCTATAAATTCAAAAAGGGGGATGTTCTTGCAATCATTCCTACTTGGATTAGGCACCTCGACGTGGTGTAATGGTTAGCAAGCTTGTCACGCTAGATCAGTTACAACTGAAAAGTGAGACCGATCCTCACTAGATGCCCCATACTTTCGGCCTTGTGCCACATCTAAGCTACGCTTGGAAAATAACCATTCCTACTTGGATTGGAATGAACAGAGTGCCTAATAAAAAATTAAGCTAGAGAAAGTGTTTGTGAAAGCATGACTTAACAATTAATAAAATTAAAAATGCCCTTTGTAAAGAGATGCAGGAAGAAAGTTCACACCTTATTAACATTCTGACCTGTCACTGGTCAAAAGTCAAATGTAGTGGAAGAATGTTGTTGGCAAGTGAGGCCAAATGAGGCATTTTGGTAGCAGTGGTCTGTGTCTGCCCAAAGGTAATTTCTAAAGAACTGTCAATTTTTAATTTCTGTTATGTTGTTCTGGGATTTCTCTTGGCCGCATGATGTTTTATTGTTTAAAGTTTTTCTTCATCTGGAGTTTATGTTAGCCATATGTCATTTCAGTGTCTAACACTCTGTTTACTCTCAGCAGAAAAACGTTAATTGACATTGTAGAGTACTTGACCATAATTAGCCGAAATGTGCAACAAACAGAAGCGAGAAAGTTTGCAATAAACAATAACATGAGAAAGAAAAGGGAACCAGGCAAAATAAATAATACTGAGCAAACAATATATGCAAGGCGAAACAACAGCAATAAGGCAAAGAAACAGTAAATAAGGCAAAAGGTTCACAAATTAAGAATGGTGTTAACACACAAAAGAGGAAGCAATCACAGTGTTCTGACTTCAAGACATAAATGAACAAACTTAATGAAAGGAAGAAGTGGCCTAACTTATTGGTAAAGAAAAAAATCCCAGTATGCATCTGCATGTTTTGTCTTATAAAATTTAGGAAGCAGGAAGATTTTGCACTCGTTACTGTGCAGTTGGAACCAATAGACTTCCTTGTCCTCATGTTTGTGTGACTATCCACTGACAAGGTGTGAATGAATAGGCATTTTCACCAGCCAACAAGAACATTTTTATTCAGGTGAACAGGCTCACCCTATTATTGTTGTAAACAAAGACTCAGCATACTTCCTGCTCTTCCCTACTACTGTGACAATGGACTGCTCCTACTCATAAATGTGGCAAGTAGCAAACATGACAAGAAATCGAGTACCATCTTGATGTGCTTCGTGCAACTAATTGTGCCCCGATAAAAGTGTATTAAATTAGTTAAAAAAAAAAAAAAAACTTCAATATCTACTCCTCATTTTGTAACAATTTCCATGTATTTGTCTGTTCATTTGCTTGTGCAATATTACAACAGTTATCTTTTCAAATTACTGAGAGTTTGAAATTCTGTTCTCCTGATTGGTGGAAAATAATTATTAAAATATGTTGAACAAAGACAATATTACAACAGTTATCTTTTCAAATTATTGAGAGTTTGAAATTCTGTTCTCCTGATTGGTGGAAAATAATTCAAAGGAAGAGTTTTCCTCCTTAATCCTTTTTTTTTTTTTAGAACATTTTATTTTTATTGTACTGAGCCAAACATAACATCACCAAAAATAGGCTCAACGACAAGGCTTATCAAGAAAAGTCCCATCCAAACACCTTATTAGTTAATAAATTCTTTGCTTGTAGGGTTGTAATATTTTCACATAAATTTGGGGCACCCAATAAAGACAAAATTCAATGGCACCAAATAAAAAAAACAGGTGGGGGTTAAAGCTAAAAAGATTTTCATACCAAATAAAGTTTTCTGTCTTTTCTTCAAAGGTGTTGAAAAGTTGAGGTTGTCTTCTCCATTAAGCCGATTAAAATGATGACCAAGGACATTACGAGTTTCAGTCCAACAATTCTGCTCGCATTCCCACTTGTCTAACCTGAAAGAAACACAAGCACCTCAACAACAATAATTATTTTTCATCTTCAAAAGGGTATTTTTTAAGGATAGTTGCATACCTACCACCCAGGTCAGGAACAAGTAAAATATTAAGATTTCAAATACTGATTTTCAAGACAGCCAGACATTCCCCATTTGTGGTTGGTTTGTTTGTTTAATGACATATCAACTCTTTATGGGTCATTTAATAGCAAAATTTTATTTTCTTGTGAGCTTTGGTAATTATTTTTCAAAAGATGTATTGCTGGTAATTTTTTTATTATGAAAATATATTACTGGTAATTTTTCCTAATGTAAGTTTATATTTTGGCCCCGGTTTGGGGTTTTACTGCTTGCCCATAGCTGATATGCGAACATTTTCAATTATACCACCTGAGTCATGGTGGAGCTATCTATAACATCAATTAAGAGGTGGTTCCACACTCGTCAAAACCTCCTGATCAGAGTCCTGGTAGCTTATTGCCATACCCAAGACGACGCTTCCCATTTGAAAAACTTGCACAACACCAGGGCTGCCAAATATTAATGCTGTCAACTATGACTCTATAGATTATCTCCTTTGCACTTTCATTGGAAATTCACTTATTCTCAAAGAGAATATATATATATATATATATATATATATATATATATGCAAGCAAATATATGGATATAGATCCGACAGTATGAAGAAAAATATACGGAAAAAACAAACAAAAATCCTTATATACAATTATGCTGTTTTAATGTTAATATGTCAACGTCAGACGTTTCGGTCTAATAAATCATCTTCAGGACATATTCATGAAATATAATTAACATTATCAATTCAACATGACAAATGGAGTGCTGATCTTATAAAACTTTCAGTTATCTGTTTGGATAAGTCTTGTTCTTATGTACATCGTCTTTGTCATGTTGAATTTGATAATGTTATTATATTTTATGAATATGTCCTGAAGATGGTTTATTAGACCAGAAATGTCCGACGTTGACATATTAACATTAAAACAGCATAATTGTATATAAGGATTTTTTTTGTTTTTTTCCGTATATTTTTTTTCATATATATATATATATATATATATATATATATTTTATATATATTGGTGTTATTTGTGATATTAGGTTTCATCTGACAATCACAAATAGTGTTAAACCCAGGGTGTCCATAAAGTCTCTTTAACAATTTAAAAACTATATTACAAAGACAATAGATGTGGTACCCCAACCAGATGACCTTAAACCAGCCATCATTTTCCAGCAAGATGATGCACCACAACATTGGGGACAGAATGTTTGTGGGTTCCAAAAATTTTCAGACTAGTCATGTGAAAAGAGATGGCCCAATTCCCTGGCGACCTTGTTCACCAGATATCACTCCCCTGGATCAAACAAAGATACGAGACATCACTGATCTAAAGCAAAAGATCCCTGATGACATTGCCACCATTGATGAGGCTATGCTACAGCAAACATGACAAGAAATCGAGTACTGTCTTGATGTGCTTCATGCAACTAATCGTACCCCGATAAAAGTCTATTAAATTAGTTAAAAAAAAAAAACTTCAATATCAACTCCTCATTTTGTAACAATTTCCATGTATTTGTCTGTTCATTTGCTTGTACAATAATTTTTTTTAAATTGTAAAGGGACTTTATGGACATCCTATATATATATATATATATATATATATATGAAGACATATAGTTTTAAGGTGTGCTATTCTTACAGGATAAAGTGCTCAATATCAGAGAGATATATGTAAATATAAATATAAAAGTGAACATTGAAGTCAACACTCAGAGGCGACAGGCTGTTTCATGTTTAATAATTGTCCAGGTCGGCGGACCTGATGATTGAATCTTAAATGAAACTGATGTTGACCTCAATGTTCATTTTATATTTTTTATGTTATTTGTACTTGTGTGTTAATTATAGTGATATGAAAATTAAAAATTAAATGAAAAGAATATTTTAACTAATTCTAAATATAAATGTTATGCTTTTTAACGAAACTAACATGGTATGAATTTGAAATTTATGATTAATGTTTTTATTCTCTCAAATGGGGTTGTATCATGTATCGAACAAAGATACGGGACATGACTGACCTAAAGCAAAACACTGATACCATTGCCATCATTGATGAGGCTATGCTACAGCGAACATGACAAGAAATCGAGTACAGACTTGATGTGCTTCATGCAACTAATGGCGTCGATATAGGGGGTGGATTAAATTAGTTTAAAAAAATTCAATATCTACTCCTCGTTTTGTAACAATTTCTACTTATTTGTCATTTTGCTTTTGTAATAATTCTTTTTAATTGTAAAGAGACTTTATGGACATCCTGTACATTTAAATAAGTAAATAAATTAAGTTTAAATATATATATATATATATATATATATATATATATATATATAGAACCCATATATACTTTCTTAATATGTATATATATAAAAAGTTGAAAATTAAAAAATAATGTTTTATTGTGAAAATATTTATTATTTTTATATATATATATATATATATATATATATATATATATATATATATATATATATATACACGGATATAAGAAAATTTTCTCTGGTCCCAAATTAGAGTCTGTGTTAATGTATATTAATGTAAATTAGACCCGGATATAAGAGACTTCTTCTCGGTCCCAAATTACTTTTCTTATATCTGGGTTACACTGTATATAAATAATGGGTTGCAAATTAAAAAATAATAATGTTTTTAAGAAAATATTTATTTATTTATATTTTTTGATTTGCAAATTTTTTTTTTATATATATATATATATATATATATATATATATATATATATATATATATATATATATAAAAATAATTAAAAAAACATTTTTTTAATTTGCAACTTTTTCTAAAAAAATGTTTTTTATTATTTTTTATATATATATATATATATATATATATATATTATTTCAAACACCATTTCCTGTACAGGGTGCGATGTAAAATTGTCGTCATTTTATATTTTTAATTTTGTGCATGCATGTTATTTGCTTATGAATTGTGTGATTGCACAGTATGGTCATTGTCTGTGAGAAAAAAAGCAGCATTATGCAATTCACTCTACAAGAAATGTGGAAACAGTTTGCTGTACTCCTTGACATTTGCACCGGAAGCTTCTATACAAACACTTCAGAGTATTTGAGTGTTGATCTGAGAACAGTGAAGAGGATTCAGAAAGAGTTGGAGGAGTCTAATGGTGATTACAAATGTGTTTAGAGTGATCACTAGTGATGGTGACATTAATGCCTCCATTCATCTTCCCACAGGGCATGAGACTCAACATGGAGGCCCACATCAAGGGCCTTGAGAAGGTAGTGCTGTCCTGGGTCAAGAGGCTAGCTGCTGGAAGACCCTATGTCTGGCAACAGTACTCTGAACCATGCCACACAAGCAGGAGAACCCAGTCATGGCTATCAGACAATTTCTGCAACCATATCACCCCTTACATCTGGCCACCTAACTCCCCAGACTGCAACCCCCTTGATAATTATGTGTGGGGCACAGTTCAATAAGAAACCAACAAACACCAGAGATGAACTGAAGACAAGAATTATGACAGCATTCACCAACTTAAACAAGGAGACCATCCAGAAAAGTTGCAGGAGGTTCTGAAGTCGTCTGGAGGCTGTGGTTGAAGCCAATAGCGATTATATTGAATAAATTTACACTTTAGTATTTCAAGATATTTTGTGTAATTTTGGTAAATATATCTGTTAAAATGAGATGTCAATGTTATTTTCATTTTTTGCATAATTTAGACGACAATTTATCCATCACATCCTGTATATACATAAAAATAGTACATATATATACGTATAAAGGTAAAATACAATAGGAAAACTGTATCATTAACTCATCATTTTATTCATGTCAAAAAGCCTTTTTCAATGCAAAACACCAAATGAATTTATTGAAAACAAAGTAACTATTAACAACAAAACAAAATGTCATTTTTTCTGAAATTGAAAAAATTTTTAATTTTTATTTTATTCTTCTAGTTACTTTATTTTTTAAATTAATTTATTTGGTTGTTTTTCCTTTTTGAATTTTTAAAAGAAAAATGTTAAAGGATCTTACCCTTTCAAAGTTTAAAAACTATCTTTTAGTAAAAAAAATAAAAAGGATTTTTTTACAGGCTAATTCTGATTTTTATATATATATATATATATATATATATATATATATATTTTATATATATGTATGTATTTTAAATTTGTTATTATAAAGTACACATGTATAAAAATAATGATAAATTAATATCATCTATTTACTTATGGCCTTATATTTTTCTCCCTTGGAATATACAGTAATTATCAATGAATCTATCATTATTAAATAACAAACTCAAGTCAAAAAATACGAGCTGTACAGGTGAGAGAGAGTTCAGACATCCCTGAGTGCTCATTGCTTATAGCCTTGTATCAGACTAAGTTAAGAACTAGCTTAAACAGATGTCTCTCCATGAAGCAATGGTAAACAAAGCTAATTGCATAGGTTGCTGAAAGTTCAGTCATCACTGAATGCTCTTCGCTTATAGCCTTGTGCCAGACTAAATTTTAATATCAGGACACCTCACCACAGTGCAACAGTTAACACGCTAGTTCTAATGTAACAAGTTTGGTCCTCACTGTGTGCTGAATACTTGTAACCATGTATCGAACCTGAAAAAGCTTCATAAAGATATAAAAATCACTTAAAAAAAAAAAAAAAAAAAAAAAATTAAATTGATGCCCAGCCATTGTCAAAAGATACACATTGAGATCACAGGAATTTAGAAAGAAAGGATTTTACTTACGTAATCCAATCCGAGGTCTGTAGGGATCTCTCAATCATCTGGCAACGATGTGTGGCACAGACCAATGGCTACAATAAAAAAAAAAAATTTTTTTTATATATATATATATATATATATATATATATATATATATAATGGAATATGATACACCTGTGTTTTTTTCAATGGAATATGATTGGCTGGTGTCTGTCATAAATACATGACAGACATGTAATCCAAAAATTCTAAGTCTAAGTCTATGTATATTTTCATTGGACTATGCCATTGGCTATCCTATTGGTCTACACCTATTACCTGCGAATCTCATGATACCAGTCAATTACTGCTACCATGTACTAAAAATTACAGTAGCCAAACCCTTCCTTAGCTACTTTGATCAAATATATTCCTTTCCGGGACATATCATACATACATATATATATATATTTAGTTTATACAAAACTAGGTAATCCGTATGGGTAGACCCAAGGAGGATGATATCCAGAGAGCTCAATGTAAATTCAAAGCAAATATGTTTGAAGCCCATTAACTTCCTCACTTCGTTAATTTACATATGCTTAATACGGCCTGTGAAAAATGTGTAAATTTCTTTTCATTTTAACCTTTGAAAGTAAAGTCTGATGATCCAGAGCCCCTTAAAAAAAATATATGTGGTGAAATAATTTATTACATGGAGCCCTAAAGTGGTCTGTTTTTATTCAAAAATATATATATATATATATATATATATATATATATATATATATGGTGTAATGGATAAATTATTGCCTGTTTATATTTTTAATTTTATGGATGTGTGTTTTTAGTTTTTGAACAGGTCAACTGCACAGTAGAATCAGTTGGGTATTGTCTGTGAGCAAAATAGGACCATCATGCAATTCACTCTGCCAGATATTTGGAAACAGCTTGGCATTTGCACTGGAAGCTCTAATACAAACATTTCAGAGTGTTTGGGTGTCAAATCTAAGGACAGTGCAGAGGACACAGAAAGAGTTGGATGAGTCTAATGTTGATTACAAAGATACCACAGCTCAGAAAACTCACTGTGATCATTCTGATAAGAAAAGAACTCCCAAATTTGTTGGTGTGGGCCTCATACTCAACACAGAGGCCTACATCAAGTGCCTTGATGAAGTAGTGATGCCCTGGGTCAAGAGTGTGGCTGCTGGAAGATCCTATGTCTAGCAACAGGACTCTGCACCATACCACACAAGCAGGAAAACCCCGTCATGGCTATCAGACAATTTCTGTGACCACATCACCCCTTACATCTGACACCTAACTCCCCAGACTGCAACCCCCTTGATTATTATATGTTGGACACAGTTGAGTGAGAGACCAACAAAACTCTTTGTAATATCAAAGATGAACTGAAGGCAAGGATTATAGCAACATTCACCAACTTAAACAGGGAATCTGTCCAGAAGAGTTTCAGGAGATTCTGAAGTTGACATGGCTGTAGTTGAAGCCAATGGCGATTTTATTAAATAAATTTAATCTTTAGTATTTCAAGATATTTTTGCATAATTCTGGTAAATATATCTGTTAAAATAAGATGTCAGCATTATTTTCAGTTTGTTTTTTTTTGTTTTTTTTGCATCATTTAGGTGAAAATTTATCTATCGCACCCTGTATATCTGTTAAAATGAGATGTCTGTTATTTTCATTTTTTTTTTTGCATCAATTTGGCGACAATTTATCCATCGCACCCTGTATATCTGTTAAAATGAGATGTCAGTGTTATTTTCATTTTTTTTGCATCATTTAAACGACAATTTATCCATTGTACACTGTATATATATTTATTGATTCATTTTCTACAGCTTATCCACCTTTTGCAGGTTATTTAAAACCCCAAAATATTTGATTCATTTTCTACAGCTTATCCACCTTTTGCAGGTTATTTAAAACCCCAAAATATTTTTAGATTTTAAGAATTCTGGAAGAGGTGTGGGAGATAATGTTTTAGTTATACAAGTCTTACTAATTAACCCATAGTTGGGGGCAGAAGAGGTGAATTCATCCCTTCCCAAGAGTATTTGCAAGTAACTTAATGTAACAAACCCAACCAGAACACAGCTCTCTGATTAAAAATTTAACAAGTATTTATCTATTACACCATCCACATATCTAAACTTATTTATTGGAATATATATAATATATATATATATATATATATATATATATATATATATATATATATATATATATATATATGTCATATATATATATATATATATATATATATATATATATATATATATATATATATATATATGTATTCCACAGACAGACTGTTTCACAGTTCATCAGTGTCAAAACATCCGAGTTGCCTATAAAAAGGACAAAATGGTTGAATTGGCATCAGTCAAAAAAATTTTCACTACTTTAAGCCTGTTTCTTTTTTGGATGAATTTAAGCATATTTAGTTTTAGATAAATACATAATGACTGAGAGAACTCGATTTTTTTTACCAAAGGATCTTACATTATTAGCAGTAATAGTCACTGTTTACAAACTCACACTTCCTTCCCAGAGAGCTCAACCGAAATAAATTTTTCAGGAGCATATGAGTTGGAATCAAATACGGAGTACAGTCCAACAGAATGGTAAGATAAAGAATAAATAGGAAAAGTTTATCAATCTAACATGTTTCACTTTTATTAAAGCTTTAAAACAGACTGAGATATGGAGAAAAAGAAGAAAGAAATTCTGGTATTATTTTTGTGTTGTCTGATTTTCATTGGTGAGTCAGGTTTCACATGCATTCAACTTGTTAAACAAATGTTAGTATCGACTGTGGTGAGACAACATGTCCTTCTGAAATTCCAAGAAATCAATTGATTTGAAGCCCAACTGCAAACACGTAAATATTGCTTTATGTATGTAAATGTATAATAATTCTAGTTTGTCAATGTTGGATTCAGATGATAATGTATATTCGTAAGTGTGTGTGTCTAGTAGATATTATGTTTGTTGTTTTTTCGTATGGTGATTTGGGAACATTTTTACATACATACCGTTTGTTTTAAATATACATACGTTAGATTCTTTAAGAATCGATTCAATATAAGTTGGTGATGATGTAATGTAATGTTTTTATTTGGTGATATAGTCATTAGTAATCCCTCAAAGTACTTTTGACGTAAAGAAACGTGAAAAACTATCAAATTTAATGTCTACTACTACAACTACACACACATACTTAATAATATACATTATCATCTGATTCCCACATAAACAAACTAAAATTATTATAGACTTACACACAGCATTCGTAGAAATATGGCCTGATAAAAAGCAATAATTAAATAAAATGATTATATATATATATATATATATATATATATATATAAATATAAAAATGTATAAAAAACAAACAAAAATCCTAATATGCAATTATGCTTTTTTAATGTTTAATATAATGTCAACGTCAGACGTTTTAGGTCTAATAGACCATCTTCAGGACATATTCATAAAACATAATTAACATTAGACCATATTCAATTCAACATGAAAAAGACGAGCAAGACCAATCCAAACAGATAACTGAAATCTTTTATAAAAGAATATGGTCTAATGTTAATTAGACCTAAAAAATCCATTTGACATTATATTAACATTAAAACAGCATAATTGCATATTATGATTTTTTTTTTTTTTTTTCCGTATATTTTTTTCATACTGTCAATGTATATCCATATATTTGCTTATATATATATATATATATATATTAAATAAATCCTAAAAAGCCAAGAACAACCTACCTAATTTTCACCTAAATGGATCTTCAGGGTAGGTTGTTCCTGGCTCTTTAGATTTATATCATTTTATATAATAATAATAATAATAATATATATATATATATATATATATATATATATATATATATATGTGTGTGTGTGTGTGTGTGTGTGTGTGTGTAACAGTATGTGTGTATATATGTCTAGTAGATATTATGTTTGGTGGTTTTTCTCATGCTGATTTGAGAACGTTTTTATGTACATACCATTTGTTTTAGATAAACATACGTTAGATTCATTAAGAATGGATTCAATAGAGGTTGTTCATGTAATATAATCTTTTTGATGTGTGTTTACAGTTGGTAGTATTGTTAATAGCAGTTCCTCATAGTACTGTCTACATAAAGAATTATGTTCTTTTTTAATTAAGGTAGCATTTGTAAAATCAAAGTTAAGGCCAGTTTTGTTCCTGTGTATTACAAGAGTTTGAATGGTTGTCTAAACTTAAATCCCTTTTATGTTCATAGCAAACAAGCTTTTAGATTTTGTGATGTCTCTCCAATAGAAATGCTTTTACATTGTAAGCATTTATATATGGTTTCTCTTGTATATTTTTCTTTTCACAATTCATTTCAGTCTTAATTATTCTGTTAACATTTCATGTTACATGAGACCTAGTAACTTGTTCCCTATATTTAACTACACACCATCACTTAACAGTTCCAGTAAACAGATATTAATATCTTGTAGAAGCTATTAATTACAAGAGTAATTAATAAAGTATTTGTTGAGAATATCATGACAGAACCTGTGAGCAATGAGAAGTCTTAAGGAAAATAGGAACTACAAGGAAACTTATACTTATGATCAAAAAGAGACAACTGAAATTTAAAGGTGTATAAGAATAGTGCAAGTTGTCTTGGAGAAACTAAGCAATCTATTAAGAAAAAGGAAAATAGCCTTAGAATCAAAGAAAATCACTGAACTGCTACAAAATTTTTTAGTTTGGTTTGCTTTGTTTTATGACATGTCAAACAAAATGGGTTATTTAATGCTGACAAGATTTTTACTGTATTTTTTTTTTTTCAAAAATGTATTGCTGGTAAAAAATTTTTCTTCAAAAATGTATTGCTGGTAAAATTTTTTTCTTCAAAAATGTATTGCTGGTAAAATTTTTTTCTCAAAATGCATTGCTGGTAATATTTTTTCTTCAAAGATTTATTGCTGGTAATTGTTTTAGAAAAAACGTATTGCTGGTATTAAAACCTGCTTTTTATGCTTTCATAGCGTTTTGACACTAGTTTGGGGGTTAACTATTTGCCCATAGCTGGGACCCTGACAGGTGCTACCATCTTGGGTCAGGGTGAATCTGGGAACACCAGCAATTAAGAAGTGGTTCCACGTTCCTCAAAGCCTCCTGATCAGAGGCCTTGCTGCTGGATGTAGTTTATCGTTTTACACAGGATGCGGATGTAGTTTATTGTCAAACCCAGGACGGCAAAATTTTTTGTTTCTAATATTTATCAGTGACTCTCCCAATGTCATCAGTTCTCAACTTGGTATCTACACTGAAGAGAACCATGTATTCCTGTCTCAATGCTAAGTCTGATATGTTCGATACGGTCAAATGGACAGGTGATCTTAACTGGGAAAAGAAACGTCCAGTTAATTTTACCACCTCCAAAGCAAAACTTCTTCCTTTTAACCATTTTGCATTTTCCATCAGTATGGCTGATGCTAACCCCCAAGAGAATAAAGCAATGCATTTTCTTGGTCTAACATCTTCATAATTATATCGAATCAATTGCTAATTCTACTGCTGGCAAAGTGGGTTCACTGTGTCATTCTAAACAATTTTTCTCACAATTTTTTTTCACTCATGCTCAATAATTTTTTCTAAAATTTACTCTTGCAGCCCAAAGGTAATTTTCTGCAGTTAGTGTGGCCTATCACATTTTTTTTTAATTGTGCAAGTCTGCTCTAGATAATACAACTAAGAATTGAAACTTCTCTCACAGATTTGTGGTGTCCTGTGTATGGCAATAAACTACATCTGCGTCCTGGGTATGACGATAAACTACGTCCCACAGCAAGGCCTCTGATAATACGTTTAAAAAATTAATATTACCAGCTATACGTTTTTGAAAGAATAGTGTTGTTGGCTGTACGTTTTTGAAAAAAATAATATTACCAGCTGTACGTTTTTGAAAAAATAATATTACCAGCTATACGTTTTTGAAAAAATAATAATACCAGCTATACGTTTTTGAAAAAATAATATTACCAGCTATTCATTTTTGAAAAAATAATATTACCAGCTATACATTTTTGAAGAAATTACCAGCTATTCATTTTTGAAAAAATAATATTACCAGCTATTCATTTTTGAAAAAATAATATTACCAGCTATACATTTTTGAAGAAATTACCAGCTATTCATTTTTGAAAAAATAATATTACCAGCTATACATTTTTTAAGAAATAATATTACCAGCTATACATTTTTGAAAAAATAATATTACCAGCTATTCATTTTTGAAGAAATAATATTACCAGCTATTCATTTTTGAAGAAATAATATTACCAGCTATACATTTTTGAGGAAAAAATTGTTAACAGAAATAGATTTTTGACGAAACAAAAATATTACCAGGAAAAAAAAAAAAAGTTGTTGACATTAAATGACCCATTGAGGTTGATATACCATAAAACAAAACAAAGCAAACCAAACAGATTTGAGATTCTTAATAAAACAACGTAAAAGAAAAATGCATTTCGAAATTGGAGGCATAAAATTGGAAAATTCATCCTACCTTTCGATCATACTTATCACTGACGGGAGATATGATTCCAGCAATGACTTTAAAATTTCCTGTTCTCTGTAAAGCATCACGGGCCAATTCTGAAAAATATCAGAAGCATTAGGAAAAAAACAAAAAAAAAAACTTTTTTTACGGTTCACAACAGACAAATCTTCATTATTTATGTGGGAAAAATTTGGACTGCTTAGTTTACTTATCAAATCAGAATTAAAATTGACAAAAAAAATTAACCAAAATTCCTGACCCTTGACAATCCCCTTCTTCCTCATTTGCAATGTATTCCGATAGTAAAATCATTAGCAATGAATTTACATTATACATATAATAGCCCTATTCTATCAGTAATGCTTGCATTCATTCCTGACCATTGACAATCCCTTTCTTCCTCATTTGCAATGCATTCCTATAGTAAAATCATTAGCAATGCATTTCCATTATACATATAATAGCCCTATTCTATCAGTAATGCTTACATTCATTCCTGACCATTGACAATCCCTTTCTTCCTCATTTGCAATGCATTCCTATAGTAAAATCATTAGCAATGCATTTCCATTATACATATAATAGCCCTATTCTATCAGTAATGCTTACATTCATTCCTGACCATTGACAATCCCTTTCTTCCTCATTTGCAATGCATTCCTATAGTAAAATCATTAGCAATGCATTTTCATTATACATATAATAGCCCTATTCTATCAGTAATGCTTGCATTCATTCCTGACCATTGACAATCCCTTTTCTTCCTCATTTGCAATGCATTCCTATAGTAAAATCATTAGCAATGCATTTCCATTATACATATAATAGCCCTATTCTATCAGTAATGCTTACATTCATTCCTGACCATTGACAATCCCTTTCTTCCTCATTTGCAATGCATTCCTATAGTAAAATCATTAGCAATGCATTTCCATTATACATATAATAGCCCTATTCTATCAGTAATGCTTGCATTCATTCCTGACCACTGACAATCCCTTTCTTCCTCATTTGCAATGCATTCCTATAGTAAAATCATTAGCAATGCATTTTCATTATACATATAATAGCCCTATTCTATCAGTAATGCTTGCATTCATTCCTGACCACTGACAATCCCTTTCTTCCTCATTTGCAATGCATTCCTATAGTAAAATCATTAGCAATGCATTTCCATTATACATATAATAGCCCTATTCTATCAGTAATGCTTACATTCATTCCTGACCATTGACAATCCCTTTCTTCCTCATTTGCAATGCATTCCTATAGTAAAATCATTAGCAATGCATTTCCATTATACATATAATAGCCCTATTCTATCAGTAATGCTTACATTCATTCCTGACCATTGACAATCCCTTTCTTCCTCATTTGCAATGCATTCCTATAGTAAAATCATTAGCAATGCATTTTCATTATACATATAATAGCCCTATTCTATCAGTAATGCTTGCATTCATTCCTGACCATTGACAATCCCTTTCTTCCTCATTTGCAATGCATTCCTATAGTAAAATCATTAGCAATGCATTTCCATTATACATATAATAGCCCTATTCTATCAGTAATGCTTACATTCATTCCTGACCATTGACAATCCCTTTCTTCCTCATTTGCAATGCATTCCTATAGTAAAATCATTAGCAATGCATTTCCATTATACATATAATAGCCCTATTCTATCAGTAATGCTTGCATTCATTCCTGACCACTGACAATCCCTTTTCTTCCTCATTTGCAATGCATTCCTATAGTAAAATCATTAGCAATGCATTTCCATTATACATATAATAGCCCTATTCTATCAGTAATGCTTGCATTCATTCCTGACCACTGACAATCCCTTTCTTCCTCATTTGCAATGCATTCCTATAGTAAAATCATTAGCAATGCATTTCCATTATACATATAATAGCCCTATTCTATCAGTAATGCTTGCATTCATTCCTGACCACTGACAATCCCTTTCTTCCTCATTTGCAATGCATTCCTATAGTAAAATCATTAGCAATGCATTTCCATTATACATATAATAGCCCTATTCTATCAGTAATGCTTGCATTCATTCCTGACCACTGACAATCCCTTTCTTCCTCATTTGCAATGCATTCCTATAGTAAAATCATTAGCAATGCATTTACATTATACATATAATAGCCCTATTCTATCAGTAATTCTTGCATTCATTCCTGACCACTGACAATCCCTTTCTTCCTCCTTTGCAATGCATTCCTATAGTAAAATCATTAGCAATGAATTTACATTATACATATAATAGCCCTATTCTATCAGTAATGCTTGCATTCATTCCTGACCATTGACAATCCCTTTCTTCCTCATTTGCAATGCATTCTTATAATAAAACCATATAATTGTCCTTTGTAGACAATCTGTCTCCAAATAGATGTTGAATTACTGCCCCCTGATAATAATCACAGAATGCGCAATATTTGAAGGTCCCTTTCTTGTTTCCCTTCAACTTTCAAAGCATGTTTCCTTTCACTCTAATTGACACGAGGCATGCAGGTTCTCCAGTGACACAGACTGAAGATTATATTGAACTGTTCATAATATTCATTATATTGAACTGTTCATAACTTTGTTTATTTTTTAATCCTTCTGTGACATGTCTTGTTAATGCATTTATTAATTGTTGGTTGTTTGAATTCCATGTTTTGCGTCCTTTTTTTATACCTGGACTCACATGAGTCCACCATATATTGTTTCTGGGAAAAATGTACCAGAAGGCATGAACTGATAATACTTTACACTCCTGCAACATAGATTAAATAATTGTCAACTTTGCCGAAACAGTAAGAGAAGCAAGAAAAATTGTGAGTAACCTACATTATAAGTTTGTGCGAATGGATAGCAGAGGACAGACAAAGAGGGATGGTAAAGAGTCAAAAGCTAAAGACGGAAAGATGTGGAGAGCCATGATCCCCTACTTAATGAAAATACAACGTGCTTTCTTATTAACATGGCAGTTCCTGCAGATTGTAAGGTATCTTTAAAGATCTTCAGAAAACTATCAAAAATAAAGGCATGTTGAAGTGGAAATCTAAAACATGTGGTATATGAAGACATCAATAATTGTGCTTCGTCTTGGGTTGATAAAAAAGGAAGGAAAAACGGAGACAAAATGAAAAAACCAAACTTGAAACTGCAGCTCTTTACAACCAGAAACCAACCCCAAAAGATGATCTATCAACTGAAGTTCCTCACCTGCAGAAATAAAATAGGTTAACAGCAGGCAATGGAATAAAGATTGTCAATCTCTCAGCTAGCAACATCTAGTAAAAGTTGGGGCTCAGCGTTTGATTGAAAATAGGTTCTGATAGAATCATCGAAGGGATCCCTAATAGCCTAGGGCTTAAGGAAATTATGAAGTTTAAGGTTATGTGTGGGTGTATTGTAGGTGAGTGCATGTTCACATATAAACAATGAAAGATGCAACAAAGTCTGTGTTTCTTTCTATGGACTGTTTCTTCTTCTTTTTTAGATATAAAATCTGTAGGGAAACAAAATTCTCAATGTCTCTTGGGTATGTCCATTTTCTTTTTCTGGTCCAGTCATGATAAGAATGGTCATAACAATTCAGCTTCTTGTGGATCTAAGAAGGTTGCATGAGTGTTTTAAATGTTTCACTGTTAATGAAACATGCAATATCCACAAACATTAATTTCAGTATCTGTCTATATTTTTGAGATGAGGTATTATGTACACTATTTACATTATTCAGACTATTATCCTCATCTTTGTCGCCATATTTATTACAACGTCCCGGCCCTTCAGTATCTGTCTATATTTCTGAGATGAGGGTATTATGTACACTATTTACATTATTCAGACTATTATCCACATCTTTGTCGCCATATTTATTACAACGTTCCAGCCCTTCAGTATCTGTCTGTATTTCTGAGATGAAGTATTATGTACACTATTTACATTATTCAGACTATTATCCTCATCTTTGTTGCCATATTTATTACAACGTTCCGGCCCTTCAGTATCTGTCTATATTTCTAAGATGAGGTATTATGTACACTATTTACATTATTCAGACTATTATCCTCATCTTTGTCGCCATATTTATTACAACATTTCGGCCCTTCAGTATCTGTCTATATTTCTGAGATGAGGTATTATGTACACTATTTACATTATTCAGTTGAAATAAAAGACAGAGAATATCATTGGAAAATTCGTAAACTTGCAATATGTGCTCTGGTAAAAAAATTTGCAATGGTAACAGCAAAAAATTGCAATATGAGCACTGGTAAAAATGTTTGCTAAAGATATTAGGTTTATAAGTCCCAGAAATTCATACACAGATGTCCTCAAGTGGACACAGTGGATAAATGTGTTAGTGACAGGACCCAAAGAGTGTGAGTTCAATACCCGGTTAAGGCAGTGGAGATCTTGGAGGGAATTAACAGGAGATAACTAAAATCCATTAAAACATGGCATGTGGAACTAGAACAGCGAGCGAAATAAAGGGTTCAGTTCGACATTCCAACCACCTGAAGAAGGCCGGAGTGTACATAATGAAAGCATTTCCTTCAACTATAAGTGCCAACTTCAAATATTATGTTTTAAAGATTCACATTTATCTTATGACTTTTTCAAGAATGAAAAAAATCAAATGTTTTTCTTTCATGAAAATAATTTACCAAAATAAAATTAAAAGAAACAAACAGAAAGAATTTCTTTTTTAACTTCATTTGTTAAGTGCCATTTACAAATTTTCTATGCACTTGTGGAATAACACAGTAATTCCACCTACATTTTACGTGCGCACGAGTTTTCCTCCCTTCCTTCCACACTTGCGCGCGTGCGGATTGCAATCCTTCCTCTCACATTAAGCTAGACATAGCAGTAAACGGCCTCTTTTGGCTGGAGTGAGGAAGGTTGCTTACTAGCTGCTCCTGATATCTGTCTAGGACGGAGTTTGAATTTTTCCCGCGCGTTTCCTGATGTCACCGACGATCAGCATTTCCAACTCAGTTGCATCCCGATTTTCAAACTAGAAGGACAACTCATTTATTCCGTGCCCCTAACCCATACGCGAGCCGGAATATCTTATTCTTAACTAAAACTTCAACATGTCGACCTCACACTTTCCCAAGACTCATTCTCGTCTTGATGCAACCCACATGTTGAACCTTCTTCGTTTTCAACTAGAAAACGTGGAGATCCACGACACAGTCGTCAATATATATTTTTCCAGGACAACTTCTCGTCTTGATGCGAACAACTTTTGAACTTTCCTCTATTCACTACCAGAGTTCTACAACACGGTCGCCCTCACTCCTTTCCAAGACTCAACCTTGTCTTGATGCAAACAACTCTGAATTCTCTTCAATGAAAGTTGATAATCTGTTCATACACCTTTGAACCTTCTAACTACTTTGAACCAGTACCTAAAAAAATATTACATACACTCACACTATCAAACTTCACAGTGAGTACTTTTCCTATTTGTGTACACATACACCTTTCGTTTAACAAGTCATTTTTCCAGAACTTTCTTTCTGATGGAACTATTCCTGCCTTGGCCATCTTGGTTTTCTGTTTTGGCGCGGAACACTTTTACTAATGGTCTCAACTGACGAGACAACTTACTTGTTTAAATATAATAAAATTTCATATATGTTTTTCAACCAGACTCATTTTGTCGTTTAATTCCGGCTATCTGCTTGTATTATATTTATGCACTTGTTGAATGACCCCTTTTCCTCACTATGTTCACTCACGCAATATTTTTACTTTGTTTGTGGATTCGGTAGTTTTGTGTAGTGTCTGGCACAAGGCCACCTTTTAATAAACCAGCACTGCACACTACCGGGTCCGCAACACACTGTACTGTTGACTATCATACATGAGGCAATGTTTACCACTTTTTAAAGATAATCTATCTGTACAAAAAGTAATATCTGCAAAATATATTTTTTTTTTTTTTAATTAATAAAAACAATCTTATTCTTAATTGAATAGTTTAAGAAGTTACTTAGCACAATATCAATATTTTAGACTAGAGCGTTAGGATAATTGTCTTTAATCTTTCTCGGAAATCCTGCACATACATAGGGAAAAAACTCTAAACTTGGCAGGGTCATATCTTCTAAAGTAGACTTAAAACCCTCACAAAATTTTTTGGTGAACTTGAGCAGGCATTGTAGATGTTAGGCAAAAAATATTATGAAAATTGAAGAGGACGTATTTTCGATAGACTGACCGTAAGCTACATAGGTGAAAAGTTGTTGATTTTGGGGTCATGTATTTGGGTGAGCAAAATAAAATTTTCTATCGAGTGTAGGCTTAAAATAGTTAAATATTTGGATTCTACACTTCTTATTTGCCCTACATACCAATTTTCAGAAATATTCAAGGTATGGAAGTATTTTTCTTTAATTTAAAAAAAAAAACACTGAAATTCGGGGACGTTGCGCGGCCTTAATTTAAAAAGGCAAAATAAAATTATACACGCCCCTTAAAATTGGAACGGTAAAGTCTAGCACAAAATAATTAGGCACACTTTCCTAACTCATGAAGGGGAACATTTGTGCCAAATTTCAAGTAATTCGGTGTCGATGGGTGCAAATTTCAACTTTTTGCTGGTGTTTTTTTTTACTTTTTTTTTTTACTCACTAGCATCATGGGAGAATATATTTCTTTTTTTATTCATTATTACTATTTTTATTTCATTTTCCCACAAAATACAAAAAAATTGTTCTTACAAGTACAGCTTCATACTTTACGAAGGGCTTTAAGGTAAATACTGATCTGATAAAAAAAAAATACAACTTATTTTTCATTTTTCTTTTTCAGAGTTACTAAACAAACATTTTTTTACAAGTTCCTTGCAATTAAAAGGGATAGTGATAATTATCCTTCATTAAAAAAAGAATAATTTATCTTCAGCAAATTTTGAAATTATGTTTTTTGGTAGCCACTTCGATTTTCAATCATGAACATCGTTAAATAATTTATAATTTTTTTTTTGTCATAGGTTTACATTGAAAAAAATGTCACAGAAAAATTTTTTTTTAAATACAACAGAAATCAAAAAAATTATGTGCCATACGTGTAACACGCTTAGGCGATCATGACAAGGCATTTTTCCGACAGTAGGTTGCCATTTCTATCTGTGGGCTATTTACCCATAGCTGGAGGGAGAAGAATAGGTTTCATACCTTTCCCAAAGCACGTACGTGAATGTAAACGGATTCGAACGCGAACTCGGCTCTCCGAGCCCAAAATCTGAGTCGCTATCCATTACTCCACAGTGTCTCCCACATCAAATCGTGGTAATTTAATTATTTCAATTGAATTGTTTCAATTTTGTTGTGATTTCCTAAAATTAAACTTTTTTTATTATTCAAATAACTGATTTGTTCGGTAGTTTTTTAATTTTTTTATTTTAAATATGCGTGTTTGTTGCCTAAATTTATTATTTTCTTGGAAATTATGACATCAAACATTTTTTTTTATGTAGTTTTACTTTTAGTTTTTAAACAACTTTTCAGGATCAAATATCAAATTATTTTTTTATCAAGATTTACTCCAGTCTTTCACTTTACAAACGAATTCAATTTTTTTTTTTTTTTTTTTTTTTTGTATAAAGAGATTGTTTTATAATTTATTTATTATTTTTCTGACGTCTCGCTTTTTCGTCAAACTTACGTGGAGGCTGGTAGTCAATTTTTAAAATAAATCACATAAATATTTATGGATAGAGAGAAGATTTACCAAATAAATTTTAATCTCGTGAGAGCACCTGCCTGATGGTTACATTTTTCACGTTTTAAACTCCAGTGTAACCCGGATATAAGAGAAACCCGGATATAAGAGAGATTTTCTCAGGTCCCAAATTAGAGCCCATACTTACGACCTAAACAAAATAGACTAAACCCGGATATAAGAGACTTCCTCTCCGGTCCCGACAACTCTCTTATATCCGGGTTACTGTACCTGCTTGTCTTTGATGCGGCTTTATACGACAAAATAAGGGTAATTAATTGCGTATAAATAAAGTAAATCAGAATCCTCGTCCCACCCCATCCAAAAATATAATTTGGAATCAAAATCGTTGTTAACTGATTTTTCTACGTTGTTGTCCTGTCAAAAGTTTGATGACCTCAAGAAAAAAAATATATTGCTGTCAAAAGTTTAAGAACATATCGGTAAAGATGAAAATAAAAAACCTAGGAATTATATTTTTTAAATTTATTTAAATAATAAATTGGAAAAATATTTAGAATTAATTAAAAAGAAAAAGAAACATCGAGAGACAATGTCAATTAAGAAAAAGTTTGTCGTTTTTTTTTTTTTTGTTTTTTTTTTTGTAATGTTTTTACCGGTGAAAAAAGTCGCATTTTTAACAGAAATTTAAATGAAAAGTGACATGAATTTTTATTTTGTTTATACTATGACGAATCTAGTTTCTAAAAAAAGGGGGAAAAATTAAGAAACACGAATAAAAATTTAAATAATTATATAGGTAAATAAATAAAAAACAGTTTATTTACTTACCAAACATCCTCAAATGCATATTCGTAACAGGATTGAACGATCCACACGACAAAAGGACGACTTTCGTTGGTGTCATTGTGTTCATTTATTTTCTGAGTTTTTAAAGATTAAAGATGCCTTAGATAAAAAGAATCTGGCTTTCTCTTGTCACGAAGGCAAAACAAATTAGAAGAAATTATTATCTAATTCGGCTTATTTTTGTTTCACTGCTTTCGCTTTGCAGAAACTCATTCCGTTGTTCCGCTTCACTTATTCTCTTAATCCGGAATATTAAAAATAAAAAAAAAAGTTTCCTTTAAAAAAAAAAAAAAAAGAAAAGTAAAAGTTGCATAAAAAAATTGAAAAGCTAAACACGTTCTTTAAATTTTGAAATATATAATTTTAATCTTTTTTATTTCTTTTTTTAAATTCAAGTTATTTTCCTTTCTTTTTTCTAAACATTCAAAATGTAAGTAAATCCTTTTCAATTTCTATAAAAATAAAAACACGCTATTTTTTTATTATTTGAAATAAAATTTATAACAAACGTTCGGTTAAACTAATTATTACATTTTAAAACTTTGTTTTTAACAAACTCGACGAATTTAAAATTTATTTATTTAATAAAAAATAACATCTTTAGCTTTCTAAGGGAAATAACTAATAATTAAAAACTTTTTAGGGAGCCTTCATTATTTTAAAATATCACTTAATCATTTACTTTAAAAAAAAAAGAATTTTAAGAAATTTTTATTAAAAAACATATAAATATTCAATAATTAATAATTAAATTACATATTAAAGTATATTTGAAAGAAATAATTGTTTATGTATCAGTGTATTATTTTAATTAATATACAAGCTATAATAAATAAACAAGCCCGTCCCTGGTTTTACGAATGCCGGCGCGAGGTTTGTTATTAGTCTATTTTAGGTGTTTTTTTTAATTTAATATTTTCTGTTATAAATAATAATACCGTTGTGGTAAAAAAAAAAAAAACTATCATTTAAAATTACGGAGAAAATCATAATGTAAAATAGAAATTATAACCAGATTGGACATAAGGTTGTGTTTTTTTTTGTTTCACAAGAAGAGACTTCGTTATGGATGTAGACGACGTTTCGTTAAAAACAAGGATTAATGATATTCTACAACATTTGAACTTTGATGGACACAACAAGGCGTCAACGGAGACGGAGCAGTTTATATGCGAATGGCCCGATAGGATCCAACAAGTCCTCATGGACTTGAAATACACCATTGAAAGATTTGAAAACGTTGACAGGACTTTAGCTGATCTTCCTGATTTATGTCAGTTTCTGGGACGGCTTAATAATGTCAGCATTTTGGCCCTGCACCCAAATCTTTCAAATCTTGTTACTGACTGTATTCTACAACTTTACACAGAACAACCGACTACGGTTCTTGAAAAGAAAACCCAAAAATGGGTCTTGTTTCAAATCCGAAATTCTATTTCTTTACCCCAGGAACAGGAGGTATTATTCGAACTTGTAGGGAAAACCTCGAATTTGACTTATCAAAAAGCCATTTGTGTGCTGAACCAACACGTTGCAGATTTAAAAAAGAAAACTACGACTTTCTGTGGTTATTTAATCCCTTGTGAAAGTAAGTCCCCCCAAAACCTGGACGAATTATGCCGAATGTTAACCATTCTTCTTTATAACCAAGATCAGCATTTTTCCTCCTTAGTCGACGCTTTCATGGATTTACTTTCTGTTCATTCTAATTCGGAGATTGTCCGGAGTTTATTTAAAAAGATTACATATTTACAAGGAGATATTTACACTGAGAATGGTGCGGATTTTAATAACACCACCCTAGGAATAAACAAGGTGTGGCTGAGCCCTAAAAGTTTGGTTAAGTTATGGACGAGCTATTTACCAAGTCTTGAACACGAGGTCCTCAGTTTGGTTACCCAGACTGTACTAAAAATACAGAATAGTTGCCCGCTTTTAACGATAAAATCATTCTTGGAATGTCGTCGTCTACCCCAATCTTGTGCTTTCAATTATCAATTATTCTACACAACCACTGATATATTCCATTCACTTGTCCAGCCTGATTTCAACCCTCAGACAGGAGGGCGCCAATCTGTTTTGATTGTAATTTCTCTATTTTACGATTCTATTCATGAAAACCTGGTGAAAAATTCACAAACAGAGGAATCGTTTTTACTTTCTTCTCTTTATCCACCACATCTTTCAAATTTTATAAAACACATTCAAACTATTTCTCCTTCCCAAAGAGTTTCCTCTCCTCTTTGTATAAAAAATATCAGTTTGTGTGTTAAAGCCTTTTACGAGGAAATCCGTAACGATCGACATTCCTTAGCAAAAACCTGGTTATATTGTCAGCATTTTGCTTTAAAACTTATCCCGTATTTCTATCAACAATTATTTATACTACCCGACAAGGACGTTTCTGATTGCCTTTTTCTCCTACTTTGGTTCTGTCAGCCTCTGTCTGCCAATAACCAGCAAATTCTATCAATTCTGGTCGAGTTTCTTTCAAAGCTAAAGATTTTATTTAAAACCAGTAACGGAAACGTCGAAGAACTTTTACCGGACGTTGCTAGCCGAGAAAATGACAACGTCTTAAAACCTTTATTTCATTGCCTGCTCTTAAACTGTTTTATTTCCGCAGACGAGGAACTTGAGTTGACAGATCGACTCTTGGAGTTGGTTTCTGGTTGCAAAGAGCTGCAGTTTCAAGTTCGTTTTTTCATTTCGTCTCAGTTTTTCCTTCCTTTATATCAACCCAAGACGAAGCGCAATTATCTTAGAGTTATCTCCCTTTGTCGATCAAAGCTTCTTCATGGTAACGCATTTGTTGATTGTCAGCAAGCCTGTACGGATATCATTAATGCATATTCGTAATAAGGGATAAAATAAAATAAAAAGTTTAAGCAATTATATGTATGCTTATATATTTATTTATGTCTAATTATCAATCAATCAGCATACAGTACCTGAAAGTGGAAAGTGCCTGAAAACAAGTCTTGTAGTAAATGAAATTATGTACTAGGTGAACAAAATCAAACACAAATAATGTGTCCGTAACATATTAGCTAACCACCCTTACAGATCTACGGGCACGGAAATTAGTAGTTGACCATCTTTTTTGTAGATTTCTGTGAAGGCTTTCATGGCTGAGCTGTTAAGCACACCAAGCTTATAGGTACCACCACTGACATGCTAAAAAAAATTAGCATGCCATGATGAAAAAAATGTCCCAAACTTAATAAAAACTAAAGTTTTATAGTTAAAATCTTTGTTATTATAAAAAGTAAAGTAAAAAGTAAAGACCAAAGGTTTTTTGTAATTTTGGTTAAAAATCCCTTTTTTTCTTTTTGTCAGTGCTCACAAAAGATTATGATTGGAAATTTTAGCATCTTTTTTTCCAGTGAAAAACATTTATTCGGTAATTGTTGCAAAAAATCAAATAATTGTTGGATTTTAATAAAACTATAATGACTTATTCACAACTGAATGAAATTATTTTAGAAATGTATTTTTTTTTATTTTATTTTATTTTTTTTTACATCTGTTACCCCCACACACACTTACTTAATTTCATGAAATTTCAAGAAATTAAATTTTGCTTAATGTTTAGTTAAAAGCAGAACTTCTAGGAGAATTTAAATTAAGTACCTCCACTAATTTTTGATACCCAAGGTTTAAAATGAATTTTTAAAAAATTTTTTAAGCTTTCTTTTTAATTGAAAGCTGAAGGATTAAATTTGCTATTTCCAGTAAGCAAAATACTCTGTAGTGTATTTCAAATATTGATTGGAATTTCAACTTTTTATTTGATTTCATATAATCATTTAAAATCGGAATTTTTTACACATTTGTAAACAAAAGTTAATTCTTGGATTTAAAAATCTTCCAAAAATAAAATATACTTTTCTAAAATTTTATTTAAGGAATATTAACTGATTTAAAATATAATTTATCTTATTTGAAACAAATATTATTTACTTTAAGTTAACAATAACAGAAATGGATTTTTCAAACAAACAGTAGCAGTGATTATGGATTTGTCACTTGTCAATCACATAAGTGCTGATAAAATGTGTCAACACCTTTATTGTTCTCATGAGACTTTATCCATTAAAACATAATTTAAGAAAATGATGGGTGGGTGCCTTTTTTATATCATTTTTAAGTACTCGGTAATCTTAATGTTGAAAAATATTCTCTGTAATCTAATTTAAGGAATGTTGGCTTTAGATTTACTATAATCGCTCTTATTTTTTGGTAAGGTCATGTATGGCCAACCATACTTTTAAACAGGCACATTATGTAATATTTTATATACATAAAAAAAATATATATTTTAAGTCTTGGTGCAAAACAACTTTTATTAAGCTGTTCAATTTTTGATTTGTAAATGTAGTTTTCACTTAACAATATCTCCTAACCAGATGAAAGTAGTGTAGAATTTTAACCAATTTAAATTATTATAATTAGCATTTTTGAAAAATGAAAACAATTCTTGTAAACATTATTCATCAAAAAAAAATTTAATTAAGACAATAGTGTCCTTAATAAATCTTATTTATAAAAGCAATTAAAAACTGTCATAGTTGTATTGAATTTTTTATTTTATGATTCAGAGCAGATTTTCAGGAAATTAATAATAGTTTGAAAGAAAAATTGATTTACATTCTCCAAGAAGTCTTGCTTGTAACTAACAAAAAAAATTGAAAATTAATTTCTTGAAATTTTATGAAATTATTTAAATGGAGGGTAACATGTATAAAAAAAAAAAAAAAAAAAATATATATATATATATATATATATATATATATATATAAATCAAAAATGTGGTGCAGTTCAATTTATATTACATGAATTATTAATACAAAAAGTAGATTAGTAAAGTTAATGATATACATGACGAAAATCATCTTCACAAACAAATTTATTAAAGTCACATTAACCTATGAACCACTCGATAAATGTTATGATCCTTGTTTTTAATAACTTCAAGTTGTATAAGGTCTTTTTTTTTATTCTGATAGTACTTTCAGCTGTACATTCAGCCATCCTCAGGCATGGAAATTTTTTTTT